CCGTGTTCTTGGTGCTGGGGGCCTTGTTGCCGCTTGGTTTCTCCGCAGTGTTCTCCATAGTGTTCTCCGCAGTGTTCTCCGCATTTGCCTGTTGTAGTTCCTCCTCTTACTTCTTGATGTAGTGGGGATGATAGGCTAAGTTGCAGTGGTGTTCTCCGCTTGTTGAGTGATGATTTGATATGGAACCGTGGAGAGTATATGACGTGGGATCTTGGAGAGCTGAGCCGTGTTCTTGGTGCTGGGGGCCTTGTTGCCGCTTGGTTTCTCCGCAGTGTTCTCCGCATTTGCCTGTTGTAGTTCCTCCTCTTGCTCCTCCTCTTGTAGAGTATCAGACTGAGTGGCTAGCTGAGTGGCTAGCTGAGTGGCTAGCTGAGTGGCTGACTGATATGACGTGGGATCTTGGAGAGCTGAGCTGTGTTCTTGACGATGGTGGCCTTGTTGCCGCTTGGTTTCTCCGCAGTGTTCTCCGCATTTGCCTGTTGTAGTTCCTCCTCTTGCTCCTTAATGTAGTGGGGATGACAGGCCAAATTGCAGTGGTGTTCTCCGCTTGCTGAGTAATGATTTGATGTGGAATGGCCAAGTTGCAGTGGTGTTCTCCGCTTACTGAGTGATAATTTAATGCGGAACCGTGGAGAGCATATAACGTGGGATCTTGGAGAGCTGAGCCGTGTTCTTGACGATGGTGGCCTTGTTGCCGCTTGGTTTCTCCGTAGTATTCTCCGCATTTGCCTATTATAGTTCCTCCTCTTACTCTTTAATGCAGTGGGGATAACAGGTTAAGTTATAGTGGTGTTCTCCGCTTACTAAGTAATAATTTGATGTGGAATCGTAGAGAGTATATAACGTCCGGACGCGTTTGGTGTGACTATAATATTTGAATGTTAGTTTAACCCACTTACCGCTGGCTTAAGAGGAGTATGTAGGGGAGGACGTATCCGTTCAGGCTCTTTTTAAGGGTCTTCTAACGCGTTTATAAGCAGTAGTAGGTAGCTGTTAAGCTCGCTTGCGGCCTCGATTGCCAGTAGTAGCGGATTCGCCGAGGGGTGGCCTGGGGGCGTCAGTAAGGGGCTCTAATTGGGCGAGGGGTACCGAAGACGATTGTGTTCATATTGGTGGAATTGGTAGAATTGATAGAATTGGTAGAATTGGTAGAATAATGGAAGAATAACAAACAGGTGGAAGGATTATTATCCGATCCCGGACGCGTCTAGTGTGACTACCATGACTACTATATTTGAATGTTCATTTAATCCACCAATAGTAGGCCAAACTTCATTATTTTTACAGCGTTAGAAAGTGTACACCGAGTTCTATAATTTACGAAATTATAAAGAAATAGCATTCGTAGAGAGCTGGTTATTTCAGAGTGTAAAACTTCTATATATAAATTTTTGATAAGGGAGCTCGAAAGGGCTAGCGGGCTAACTTAGTCAGTCTAGCCAAAAGACGTAATAACCTCGAATTAATGATTGGCTACACATATAAATTCAAGGTTTTCAAGCTTAGCCCTACCTTATTCTTTTATATATACTAATTAATGATTGGCTATATATATAAATTCAAGATTTTTAAGCTTAGCTCTATCTTATTCTTTTATATATACTAATAATAAGGGAGTACTTTATTCGATAGTCTTCTATAGTAAGAATCTTACTTTAGTTAAGTATAACTATTAGATCTACGATAAGAAGTTACTAGCCATTATTCGCTATCTTAAATACTAGCGTTCTAAGCTAAAATATATCAATATCTCTATTAAGATCTTCACGGACTATAAGAACTTAATGTACTTCGCTAAAGAAAGAGACCTTAGCCGTCGTTAGGCTCGCTATTTGAATATACTATTCGAATTTAATATAAAGATTATCTATCGATTAAGGTCTTAGAATATTAAGACGAATATACTTATATAAATAACTAAGTATAAATTAATTAATTTCGAGAATAAATGATTACGTTAATAGCATTAAATAATTCTTACCCCTAATCGATTGAAATTAAATGGCGAATATATCGATATATATATAATTAATAACTTTATTTATTATAAGATAGTAGAGGCTAATAAGAAAGACGAGTATTATACGGAAATTCGTAAGGCTATCGTCGAAAATAAGAATAAGTTTTAAGGAATTACTCTTAGTAAATACTTCGTATAAGACGAAGTACTTTATTATTAGGATCGTTTATAAATATTCGATAATATATATATCGATGTTATTCGAGAGATATACGATTAACTATTCTACGAACATTTCGAGATAGTACGTACTTATAAGCTACTTAAAAGAGAATATTATTAACGAGATATAAGGACTATTATAACTATCTATATTTAGAATTACTATATCTATTAAAGAACTAAGACGTCTCGCAATCGAGAGTATAATTTACTATAGTCTCTATTAATTCTATAGAAGCGATAATAAGATATATCGATTAACTTCGTTATAGGCTTATCTATATCTAACGACTATAACGCTATTTAAGTAGCGATCGATTAACTTACTAAGAAATGTTACTACGTAGTCTATTTCGATATCGATAAAGATATTACCGCTAAGAAGATAGTTAACTTATTACTTAAGAAAGTATTTCGTCTATACGATCTATCGATCTTAATAATATCGAATCGAGGTCTTTAATTCATAGCTATTATATAGAAGTCTTTTTACGAGAGACTAGATATTATAGCTAAGCTATTAATAGTCTTTTACTCTAAAATCGATAAATAGACCGAACGAGCGAATTAGAATATAGAGCGTTATCTTTAAATATACTATAATTATATATAGAACGACTAGATAAGATAGTTATCTATTACCGAGTTCGCCGATAATAATACTATCTTATCGACTATCGATATCCCATCTTTTCTCGTAAATAAGAGGTTTTATTCTCGAATAACTTTTAGCTCGAATACTATCGACTACGAGATTATACGTAAGCGTCTTAATACTACTTAGACGAAGAATATTACGAATTATATAAAATAAGTTCTTAAGTATATTCGAAGTAATATAAATTACGCTTAGAAGACTATAGTTATATAAGTTAATAAGTATTAATAAAAGATTACTTTTTAAGTAAACGATACGATCTTTCTAAATAGTAAGAATATTATCTTTAATCGCCCTTCCCGCAAATTAGATTATAAGAGACTCAGTTTATTTAAGATTATAGACTTTATTAAAACCTCTTATCGTCTAAAACTTCTATCAAGTATAAGAATTCACGACATCTTTCACTTTAATCTCTTAAGTCTTACGATAAATAACCCATTATCAGAATAGATAAATCCTTCGCCGAAATATATTACTATTAACGGTCGAATCAAATAGATTATTAAGGAAATACTTGGCTTTAAATTAATTTATAGTCGTCTTAAGTATAAGATTAAGTGAGAAGGCCTCGATAATAACTCTATCTAATATAATGCGAACGGCGGTAAATTCGAAAATTGCCAAGACCTAATAGACGACTTCTATAAACGATATTTCGAAGAGTCTTATCTATAAAGGGTTAACTTATAGAATAACAGAGGATACCTCGTTTTCAGTCGAATTGAAATCGTCCGATATCTTTACGATAGCCTCATTTTTTTCAAACCCGAGAATCGATTTCTTAGGCTTATGTTAATCGGGAATTATCTTATATATAATCTTCTACGTAAGCCCCCTTGCTAATATAATTCTAAAGATCTTTCGAAGCTATATTAGCATATATATGAACTACGCTATCGTCGTTACGAAATATAATCGATATCAGCTAAATAACATACTATAGAGAGAACTATATCAAAGTCATTTGATATTAAATTAGAGTTTTTAGCGTCTACGACTCGGTTCGACTAAATGACAGCGCTAACCGTATCCAGTAGGTGTCTAACCGTGAAAGATATATAAGGCTAACAAAGTCGGGCGTAGTAAATAGAGGCTTGGCGTTATTAATCCCTAGCTTGGTATGGTATTACTGGTGATACTGGATTTCAGCCCTAACAACCTCTGAGTCCTACCGTTTCCCTCGAATCTCACGCTTTACCTTACTACAAGCCTTTTGCAGTGCGGTCATTTGGCTATATATGACTGTCAAATGACCGAGTAGGTCTGACCTGACGTCACGTGTCATATGACACATCCGCATCCCTATTTGAAGGGATCAATACGAGCTTCTAAGATTCGTGGCCGGCCCATACCATTCAGACCAAAAGAGCTTACACCTAGTGCACAGTCTTGGAATGTGCGGATGTAAGGCTCTAGGTCCGCGAACATATGCTATCTCCATTCCGTTTGAATTGCAATGTCCTTTTGCTTGTCCCCGCAGACTGTGCTGCGGGATCCTTTCGAAGAGTCTGCGGCTCTGGGCATTGCAGGAATCCTCAGCCAGCCTCTTTCGCCTGAATAACCACTGCCACCGACGTGTAGGTGGCTTGGGATCTAAAATCCTTGACAACGCGCCGCGTCCTAACAGGAAAATTATTTTCAAACTGGTTGTTGGAGGGCTAATTACCGAATCATACCCCCGAGAACTATGAATCCTTACCGAATCATACCCCTAATTACTGAATCATACCCCTACACCAAAATTTGGGGTATGATTCGGTAGCCTTAAGTCCGGGAGGTATGATTCGGCTAATTTACTAAACTCTGCCATAGTGGCTTACTTGAATAGCCTACTTGTAGATGCAGCTAGGTGTCTACTTTATGTCTATACTGCCCATCAAGAGTGTAATCTAGGTGTCTATACCTATGTAGACTATTGGGGTGAAGAGTGTGTGTGAGAGTCACAGACTGGGTGTAGACAGGCTGGGGGGCCAAATTTAGCCACGGGGCCCCTCGGCCCTTCCGGGGCCCTATTTAGGTCCAAATAGGGGTGTCTGGCTGTCAAGCGCAGACACCCCCGGGACCAGGCTTTTTAGCTGTGTTGCTAATAATTAGTCCCGGGGTGTCCCTTCGCGCCAGACACCCCTATCTGGACCTAAATAGGCCCCCGGGGGTCTGCTAACACCCACTCGGCTTTCGTCTGATGTATTTAAGCTGGTAGATCACCCATTGAATACGATCGGAGATATTTGCTTTTTCTATGGTCGGATGGCCCAGGTCGCGAATTTTCTCTTTTTCAATAATTGTCCCGTTCAGCTTCTTTGATACTCTCTGGTACCTCTGCCAGTTGGCCTCGCCCAAGCGCTCGGCAAGTGTTACGTCTATTTTGGGAAAGCTATCTATGGCTTTTCGAGTCCAAACCTCTGCTGTTCCGGAGATCTTGAAGGATACTATCGGAGTGGCTCGCCTTTCATCAAGATCAGCATCGGCCGCTGGGCCGTCTAATAATCCACTCAAGTCTGTCAAGCATTGGTTGCGAGATCGTAAATCGGCGATAATCTCTTCGAGTAGATCCCCAAGTGATCTATTGATGCTGGTGGGCTCCCTCCTACTGGCCTCTATAGTAATGAAGTCCTTTTCATCATCATACTCTACACGATGCCTCGCTTTCATACCAGTCTTGATCATCCTCACGAACAGATAGTCATAGCAGCCGCTGGGCCGTTCTAAGCAACAGTGATCCTAGACGAACATGAAGCTAACAGAGACTTATACTTGGTACCGGAAGGTACAGAATGGCACTTGTGCAAAGAAAAATTCAAGCCCAGCATTTGTGTATACCACTGTCAAGTTAGTGAAAAGCTGCTGATAAGATTACGACGGCATGGAGGCAAATGCATTTTTCGAAAGGTCTTTATTGAGCAACACTCATAATTGATTCTACCAAGTCTGCAACAACTGTAATACTTCTAGACAACGAAGAAACTGGACTGTCCCGAAGCTGCATAACGGGTGAAGAATCCAGTCCTTTGAAAGGTGCTCAGGTCACTGTGGATCAAGAAACCATCATTAGAAGTGATCTCCTAAAGCGAGTAGGCACCGCGCGGCAAGCACATTGGGGAAAGCGGTTGGAAGGTACCGTCAAGACAAAAGGGTATATCAATGCGGAAGAGAGCCTGCCACAACAATCATGACAATAGGATTATTAGAGCATCCCTTTTCAGTCAACATCTCGCACTCGATATCCGTGATGGTAGCACTCAGAGTGAACGTGATGCTGTCTCCTCGATTGAATCATCCCTATCTAATCTGCTCTTGGAGTTCCGCTGATCGGCTTTCTAAAAGCGGGTATCAAATCCCCTTCCGGGCGAGGGATGGCTATATTACATATATCGGGTGCCTAATTAAGTGATCTACTCACGAAGAACACAAATCTCTCTAGTTTCTGCTTTACAGTACCATCTGGAGATATAGTCATCCTGGGTATTTCCTCGCGCTGCCTGTGCCCCATATCTCGGCGAGTCCGGGCGTAGTATTTTAAAATATTTTAATTACTCTTATATTAAAATTAAAATATAAAACTTATTTTCTTTTAATATTAATTCTATATTTTTAATATCTTTTAATATAATTTTATTAAACTAATTATATATTTCTTTATAATTTAGATTATAAAGAGCTTAACGAGTTATATCGTAATAGATATAAGATAAGAAACTAGAAGAGATATCTATAATATTAAATATTTTACGAAATAATAGATCTACGTTATTACGTAAGGTATTTTAATATAAACTCGCTTAGATATATATTAGTCGATATCGATAGTATAATAACTTAATAAAGATAGTATATAAATAGAAAGATGCAAAGAAAATGGAGAATCGTATATAAATCTGTGTGCGATTCCCCGCACTTAGTGCGGGCTTGGCGTTCCAATCTTTTTGTCACCCGCGAGCCTGTCTACTAATAACCCCACTCCATCCCCTCCTTCTCAATTTCAATGTCAATAGATCTCGCGGTATCCGTCACGTACTTCATATATGATTCGTAAGCTGTTACATCGACAATGCCTCTCAATGCCTCTGCCATTTATCCATCCTCAGATCCCGAGTTCATCTCCTTTCCTAGTCGTCGAAGCGTTGTTCATAGTACCAATGGCATCGTTGCGTGTACCCAGCCGCTGGCTGCTCAAGCAGGGCAGAGAATGTTACGGGCTGGCGGGAACGCAGCAGATGCGGCTGTGGCCGTGGCAGCTGCCTTGAATATGACGGAACCCTCTTCCACCGGGATTGGGGGCGATATGTTCTGTCTCTTCTACAACGCCAAGACTAGGAAGGTGGAATCTATGAATGGGTCTGGCCGGTCTTCAGGAAGCGGTTCATTGGAACAAATGCGAAAGGACTTAGGGGTGAAGCCCGGAGAGCCTGGGACAATCCCTATGACAAGCGTCCAAGCTGTTACGACCCCAGGGGCCGCAGCTGGATGGGTAGACACAATTGAGAGGTTCGGTAGTGGAAAGCTCAGCATGGAGGATATCCTGAAACCTGCGATTGAGCTTGGCGAAGAGGGTTTTCCGGTGGCAGAGCTGTCTTCGTTTTTTGTGAGCAGCGAAATTTCATCACATATGGATCAGCGCTAATCATTGGTAGTGGCGCGCCAGCGAGAAGCTCATCCGCAATGCTTCCCCAAACTTTGGCGAAATGTTGAAAACGGACAGCAAAGCACCAGACGGCAAACGAGCGCCTAGGCCAGGAGAATTGTTCTACAATCCAACCCTCGCTAATACGTTCCGGCTTCTCGCCAAAAATGGCAAAGCTGGATTCTACGAGGGTTCGGTAGCCGAAGCTCTGGTAAAAGTCGTTCAGGACCTCGGAGGTCATCTAACTCTTGAAGATATGAGATACCACGCCCAAACAGGAACCGAGGAAACAAAACCAATTTCCTTGATATTCAACAGCCAAGACATCGGTGCCATCCAGAGTAAAGGTCTCGATGGACAACCTAGCCAGACCGCCCCATCCCATGGAGTGGAAGTATGGGAACACCCACCTAATGGTCAAGGAATAGTTGCTTTGATGGCCCTTGGAATACTGGAAGAACTCGAGAAAGCGGGCAAGATTCGTAATTTCGCGGAAAAGGAGCACAATTGCACCGAGTACCTCCATGCGGTCATCGAAGCTCTCCGTATTTCTTTTGCAGACGCCGCCTGGTTTGTCGCAGACCCCAACGTCGTCAAAGTACCAACCGAGGAAATGATCTCAAAGCCCTACCTTGCTGAACGCGCCAAACTCTTCAACCCCAAAAAAGCATCAGAACGTCCAGCTCACGGCTCACCGGCCCACAACCACAGCGATACCGTCTATTTCGCCACCACCGACAAGGATGGCAACGGCTGCAGTTTCATCAACAGTAACTTCGGCGGCTTCGGCACATGCATCATTCCCAAAGGCTGCGGCTTCACCTTGCAAAATCGTGGTGCGGGGTTCTCATTGGAAGAAGGCCATCCCAACGTCTTTGCGCCGAGGAAAAGGCCGTATCATACTATCATCCCATCTATGATCACGAATCCGGATGATGGCAGCTTACACTCCGTATATGGCGTGATGGGTGGCTTCATGCAGCCACAAGGGCATGTCCAAGTCTTGTTGAACATGCTAGCGTTCAAGTACGAACCACAAGCTGCGCTAGATGCGCCGAGATTCTGTATAGGGGCTGGTATGCCAGATCAGGGCAGTTTGTTGGATACTATTTATCTCGAAGATGGCATCAGCGAGCAGGTCAAGAAGGGCTTGACAGCATTGGGGCATAAGGTTGAAACAGTCAGAGGACATCAGAGGGGACTATTTGGTAGAGGACAAGTAATCAGATGTCATATGGAAGATGGGCGGCATGTGTTTAGTGCTGGGAGTGATCCTAGAGGGGATGGGGCGGCCTTTCCAGTATGATGGATCCAACGTCAGTCTTGCGGGTTCCTTGCAAATTGACGCTCTCCACGGTATCTCCCGTGTACCAATCCTAAAGCTCCACTGCCTGCTCTTCGGACTGCAGACTTACCTCCAAAGCCGTCGCGTATCTTTGCGCTCGTGCTGGTAACCCTCTCCATCGACCCCATACCTCATGATGTTGCCTGAAGTATCTGTCTCCTCCCATGGTGGCTCAATGCTTCCGTCAGGGGCGCACATAATGACCCACAGGATGTTGAGGATACGTTAGATCTGTGCATGAATGGGACCAAATCGGGCCATCCCATATCTTGGCAGATGGATAGTAAATTTCTTGGCCGAACATCAAAGATTACTGCTTTCTTTGCAACGGAATAACCTCTGACTTAAAAGGTTTACCATCAAATTTTGTATGACAAACTTTTATATCTACTCAGAAAAAGAGTTCGCGATACTAAGATTTTCCCTATAAGTCGCTTTGTTACTGAGTTGTGCTGTGTTAAAAGCAACGAATTCTTGATGTACTATACGGTCGGCAGCCCCTGATATTTACTACCTGCCAAGATACGGGATAGGTGCTACTGTAGCGAAATTTAGATGCAGTCCGCTGAGCCAAAACAAGGGTTCCGAAGAGGAGGAAACGTTCAATCAGATTGACAGGCAACACCTTTTTTGGTTCTAAAGGAATGCCATCTGAGTTTTCTACGCCCAAAGCAGGAGGGGTTTGAGACTCGACAATCGAAGTCCAGTTGTGAGTAACTTACCTTGGCAATACATGCAAAGCGGTGCTGAACGTAGTCTCCCGTGCGATGATCAGGCTCCCCACGGCTTGCTGACCGACCTGATATCTCGCGCGTTTGATGACTCGTCTTGTCTTCCAAGTCGTCTCGTACCGTGTTCAGGCAATGTAAGGCGTGGAACATCCTGCTTATACGTTTCATTGCGCTGCACCCACAACTTCCCATTTGGGCTTTATCATCGCTGACTTCCGATCTGAGTAGTCTTCGCTTAACAAGTTGATTTTCTTCGGCTACTTGCACGCATCCTGGTACTATGCGACCGAGGTTTACACCTCATAGTCCGGAAGGAAGGGAGATGTGCTGAATGAGAAACTTCAAGGGTGAGGAGCGTTGTGCAAATGAAAGCTAGACGACCGGCAATGACCTTGCAGATCAGGACTTGAGAGGAGCTCATGGCTCGATCGATGTCCTGGAGTCTGTACACAAGCTTCCTTTAAAGGATAACTCTACTCCTTGTTAAACCAAAGGGCAAAGTAGCGGGAGAAATGCAATATCCAATGGGAGATGCTCAGACCTCAGACCAGGTCTAGAACGCAAGGTCGTATGACGTGAATGGCCTATCCTTCTTCCTCTGCCCGATCAACATGGTCGCATGCAGGGCGCAGAGAGCTCGTTCCATCAGGATGCGATGTCTCGTGAGATTCTGCAAATGGGACCTCCGTGCTTTCACTCACCTTATCAGATGGTGACAAAGTTCGATCCGCGATCAGCATTACAGGACATAAAATAAGGAGTCAACTATATCCATTGGCCATGATTTCGCACATGACATCAATCAAGCAATTGGCAACTATCTGTGCGCATGCAACTTTGGATATCTGTTACGCTTTCGAGGCAAAAGGTTCGAATGATTGGGAGCAAAGCTCATGGCTGCTTTCATCACAAATATCCGCAATCGAGATATAGGCTATAAAGAGAGACCCTTCTGAATTACCAAAAATCCAACCTCGGTCTCGTCAACGGTGCTTCGCCCTAGAAGATTAAAAACCCCACGTTTCAGCGCAACCCCTCTGATATCTTCCCCGAGACCGAAGACCTGAAGTCCTCTTGCTGGGTCGCCTATTTGCCCTCCTCGAACTCCTAAACACCATCAGATCCGCGCTTCTCCACCAACCATGAAGGAATGAAGCTTGTCTATCGAAGCACTCACCTGAGCCGCAGCGCGCTTCTCGTCTTCCGGGTAGGTTTTGAACGGGTAGATGTAGTCTTTGGCTGGATCGGATCGCTTCTCTTCTTCCGGGTAGGTTTTGAATGGGTAGATATAGTCTTTGGCTGGATCGGATCGTTTTCCTCTCCCGGGTAGGTTTTGAACGGGTAAACGTAGTCTTTGGCTGGATCGGATCGCTTCTCTTCCTCCGGGTAGGTTTTGAACGGGTAGACATAGTCTTTGCCTGGATCGCCAGGAGCTGCCACTCGCTTCTCCTTTTCAAATCTCAACTTCTGAAACGTTGGAACGTGTCTGCCGGAAACTCACTTTGATTTCAGAGCCAGATGTTGGCGCTGCGATGGTCACAGTGAGCATTGCCGCGAAGACGGCGATGACCGAGGGTTGGAAATGCATGTTGGATTATCGGTCTTGCCTTTTGAGGTGAGTAATTTTCGAAGCAATTTTGAGCAACAGACAATGATGTAGGGGACAGTCGGATTGAGGAATAGGGGAATTCAAATAGAAGAGGATTGTAATGCTTTTATGGAGACTTGGTGCTGGTTGCAACCTCCTCAGCTGACCTTACTATCACACTCTAGCTTCGGAATGAACAACGAGTGTTCGGCAGCCCCTAGGGTCGAATTTTAAAATCCTGCACCGTTACTGGATCCTGCTCGCAATGCTCGTAACACATTCTGAGTTTTGGATCGGCCATCCAATTAAATGCTGCGTAGGAAGGTGGTGCGCCAGCGACATCCTGTCAGTCCATGCTCGGAGTGGAGTACCCCACTTTGCACTGCTGTATGATCTGTAGGCACCATCGCTCGTGTCCCATCCGAGCCCTTCCCACTGGTCAGAGAACGAGATGCGGGGCTGGTGGTTAAGGTGTTGGACAGCGTTGTTGGGCTATTGATCTTCTGAATCCGGTTTGACAAGTGTTGCTTTTGCATCATATCCGCATTCTGAAAAGACTTTGCGTCAGAGTGAATTTGGGACCAGCTGAAGATGAGATTTCAAGGAAGCTCGTTCTCATGCACCTGAACTTCCGGAGCAGATAATTTCTATGCACCTCGCATGCGCATGCGCTATCATTCATGCATTTTCAATGAGAGGCCAAGAAAATTAGACGAGTTGAATCCTCATAGTTCTGTATCTTCAAAACAAGTCGATCAATCGTCAAAATGATGGTACAATAGTTGTTCTAAGGTATGTCTCAGCAAGCAGTACCCTGCGTTAGCGTAAACCTTGTTCGTATGCGAAGTCGCTACTCGGCTATGTATCTGACTTCCATTCAACTTCACATGTATACCTTTCAATGTTCTAGCGTGTCATCGTCCCCATGTCCTACACCAAATCTTTTTCGTCTGGCCCTGCAACATCAGTTCTATAGGCTGGTCCTGCTCTGAGCAAAGACCATGCAATGCCGCGCCATGCTGGGATTTAGGTCCGTTGCGGGGAAACCTACTCCTGGCATCTTGCATGCAGATTGGGCCTCGCATCGTCCCTTTGTCCCACACGAAATCTTATAAACCACATGCATATCAGACAGCGGACCGTCCTGCCCCGCAATATCAGTCTTGTATCCTGATCCTGCCATTGAAATGGCAGGTGCAATGCCAAGCCATGCTGGGGTTTAGGTACAGTGCGGGGAAGCCCATTCCGGTGTATCATGCACGCGCGTTGGGCCTCGCATCGTCCAGTCGTCCCGCACCGGATTGGAGAATTTTATGCAGGTCAGACGGGAAGGGAGCCCACCTCCGCAATATCAGTCTTGTAGTCTGGTCCTAGGCTGAGTCAAGTATATGCTGTGCCAAGCCATGCGTTGTTTCAGGCATCAAGTCTGCCAACGGATGTGAGACACTTCGCATCGTGGTTCGTCCATTGACCTTCGTTCGTTGCAGCTTTGCGCGTGACATGAACGCGAGCCTGCTGAAGAAAACTTGATGAGGTCGAGGACGCCGATCCCGTACGAGCTTGGACGTGGTAAATTCGCTCCGCATCCATCCTTGTTCATCTCCATAATTGAAAGAAACGTGTTGCGGGAAGATTGGCGTGATTGAGATTATGCTTTTCTCTAGCATGAGTATCCCATCAATGTACTGTTCTCTGGGGAAAAGGGGAGCCCCGTAAGACCTTAACATGCGCAGCAGGATCAAAGCCAACCCCTCAGATCTGGGATGTAGGTCGTACAAGGATCCCGATAATCTTGTCTCCTCAGCCTTCCTTGAGCAACTCATTTCATCTCCTCGAACGCCTCGACTCAACAAAATTCTTTACCGGAGAAAGTTATCAGGGATTTCCTGACAAAGACCTAAGCACCTTTGGACTCGAGATGCCTTCTTTCGACCTTTTCAAGTACTCCAAGACTGCTCTCGCACTTTCAGAAGATTCGTTGCATGAGAAGCTCCATCATGGACAAATAGAAAGCTTACTTGGAGAAGAGCAGCTCCCTGACAGGCAAAAGTATGACCGGTCGCAATGGAAGACAGTTACGCTCCGAGTTTGCGAAATAGTAGTAGTGTTGGTGTGCATCCTGATGTTTGTACTCGGGCTGCGCTGGCAGCTCAATGCAAACCAGCATTGCCTCGAACTCCAATCTTTCTATTGTAGGCACTTCCGCAAAATTTTACCAAAAGATTTCAGAGGCCCTGACTGAAAATGTTAGCACCCGTATTGAACCAAATCGACAATCGCTACAGATTAGTGCAATTCAACGGCTCCCTAAACTGGCCATCGCCATATCGCGGCCACCCAAGCCCAGAAATCGACGCTGAATGGAAGAAACTGGAGTCACGTACGTACCCTCCCCCCCCCACACAGCAATATCCTTCCTTCTTCCTCTCAGAGCTGTAGCAGTAACATCTTTCTTCACCACTAGTATACCCTGGCAGCTCCACCCTTGAAGAAGTGCTCCTCTCGGGCGGCACAGCAGACGACGTGCGTCTGCCGGAAGAACTTGGCGGTGGCTACATGACATCGTTCGAGGTAATCCATCAGCTGCACTGCCTAAACCTCATCCGCATGGCCACCTACTTCGACTACTATAAAGACAAAGCGATCGAATTCACCGATAAGCCGAGAACAGTGCGCTTGCATATCGGTGATTTCTTCCCCTCCTACCCTATCCCAGCACTGTTTCTTGCCTACCTGGAAGGACCTCTCCGCTGACAAGAAAGGAAAAGACCATTGCATCGAAATGACACGCCAGAATATCATGTGCCACGCCGATGTTGGGCTGATGAGCAACCACTGGATCAAGAACTATCCGCGTCCGTTTGCCAATTTCAACACATGGCATAAATGCAGGAATTTCGATGAGGTGCTGGACTTGGCGTATAAGCACCAGGTACCGACGCCGCTGCCTGAAAATTACACTTGGCCTGTAGTAGAAGGGAGTAGAATTTGGGATGATGAGCCACAGCCGGGGGAGTGGGAGGGGATGATTGAGGGGTTTGGGAGTTGATGGGGTGGCGTAGTAACAAAGGGTCGGACAATTGGATGTTTATGACAGTAACAGTGAGGATACAGGTCTACACATCTCTAAAAGATGAGCGGTCAGTAAGGTAATGCAATGCTCAACGAAGTCCAGTATTTTCAGGGGCTCGACGTGTATCGAACAATGATGTGGAATCATAGTATGTGAATAAGTAGTATACTGTCTATGACAAGCGGCGGTCACCCTGAGTATGTAGGGGGTCGAGGCCGGGGTACCTTTCAACCGGCTTGGCAGTACAAGGCATAAGAAATGTACCCCCACTCACTCAAGACCTAGCAACTGTCTTGCAACCCCCCTATGTATGATAATGATTTACCCTACGATACTCTCTCCACGTACGGAATTCTCCTATCCTACAATACTCTTGCATTATGCGGTGTAAATCAAGGCCATACTAACTGTTAGTTATTACTTAAAGTAATCTAAGTTTAAGTAGAATTTAATATATATATATAAATTGTTCGTACGCGTCGACGCGAGTATAATGATTCGGTTTATGATAGAATTAAGATCAAGTCAATGACATTAACTACTTCTCCAGAAATCTAGATACAAAATAATGAGAGAAGCATGTATCAAGTTCACTAGGCCTGATTGCCAGTATGTGTCAAGAGTTCCCCGTAACAGCGCGTACTTATCTTATTCCTCTTTTCATATAAAGTAGCATTCCAGAATCCTTTAATTGCTTCATTTCTGCTTCATTCAGAACGTTATATCGATCGACTTTCTTGCGCAACACGTTCCGCCAGTTCTTCCTCATCCCAATATCCATATCTGCGACGTTTATTCTTGATAGATCTCGGCCATAAACTCGAGTTCCTTTAGCCTCTAACTCAGCCAATTGTGCCTTCTCAATTTCAGTCAATTCGTCGCCTCGTTTGATGATCGTTATCAGAGTTTTGAGTCTGGCGTGTCTAGTGGCGCAATCCATGTCGTCAATTTGGACCAAGTTAAGGTCTCGAAAGAAATGCTCGAGACGGTTGGTGCAAGAAATTTTCTCGGACCACATATTCATCGACACTAACTTCCTTAGAGAGAACCAGAGAAGTCGTTGACTCCTGCTTATTATGAGGTCCAAAGTGGGTAGTGCCTAAACGTTAAGTTTCAGTTTCAGAGTCGATAGCCTTCACCTTCGCAAGCTCTGTTTGACTCTTCAAATTCGATTCCATCCGTGGGATGTCGTCCGCCGGATTTTCCTTTGCTCTCTTTTGGAAGAGATCGCCGTCCGCTCCTCTCTTGCGTTTGCATCGTTTGTCGCTCTCTTTGCTGACGGGAAGATACGAGTCATCACTCAATACGGAAGTCGCTACCCTGTCACTGCGTCCTTTCCTCGATTTTGGTGCATTTCTGTCGTTTGTGATTAAACTGGATAGAATCATATCATTCTCAGTTGAAAGCAACTCGTGGCCAGCTTCTCCAGATACAATTATTGGATTTGGCGTAGAGGACAGCGCTATAGCAGGGCTGGCCATTGAAATCTGAGTCTGAAATTGTAGAATTGCTCGAGCCTGTGCAGTACTGTTCCTTGCTTGTCGAGGGTTCTTCCGAGGTACACGGAACCTCTTGTTCCTACAATTTTGATTCGTACTGCTTTGAGCCTCATACGGTACTGCCGAGTCTGAGGGATTTCGTCGTGTATTCCTTGGAAGCTTTGAGGATGGGGGCAATCTGTCCAGAAGCATGGCTTTGATGTTGCTGTCAAATTGTTGGAACTTTTGCGCAAAACCTAAAAGATAGTTGCGTTCAACAGAAAGTATCTCCTCTCGAATCGGGATGATCTCTTTTGTTGGTTACACGTGCGACAGAACCTCACGCGCTCAACATAGAGAGGACGATTCATATGCAGCGTCCAGCGTGGATTGCTATCGACTAGGATTTGCCTTGGACCAGCTTTGATGGAGTTATTGCAAATGATGCAGCTGCATTCTACCTCGAAAGGGAGACCAGAGTCAGCAGGCTCGATCTGCAAGCATGTTTCCAAAATCGTAGATCCGGTCGAATGCACTGGCTTTTGCGTCGCTTCATCCATTCGATGGTCTACCCTTTCAGTTTTGCATTCGCTGTTGGTCATCTGTTCGACATCCGTCTCAGATTCGGAGCGATACAAAGCATTTAAAACAGAACCTAATTCCTTGATGACCATTGCGTGGAATGGGTTATTTACCAGTCTATTCCACTCCTTTCGGCGAAAATAGAACTCTCTGACGGGCATACCTGTCATTTTCGAGGCTGCAATATGAATCTTGTCATGCAAAAGAGTGATTGCTGAATCTTTTGGTTCGTAGAAGAGTCTCTGTGGATGTAAAACAAGCAGGCAGATCCTTCGAAATCTGTATCTCAAGTCGGCATTGCGGTAGTTTGATTCATGTGCCAAAAATAAAGTGACGCCTTCGAGAGGACCCCAGAGTGGGAGAGCCGTGAATTTGTTGACGTTGCCCCTACTGCTTAAGATTCTGTTGTGAACTTTGCGGCCATGCAGCAACTCGACTTTTGCTAACATTGATTCAGAGATGTCCCTCGTATGATCCTCATGGCAATCTAGAACAGGTTCTGGGAGAGTTTTAAGACCCTCAGAATCCTCGGAACGTCGATGGAGATGGTCGAATACTAAAGTGCTCGGGGTGTAAAGGTTGCCAGTCAACATAGCGATACAACCGTTAGTTGGGTCGGCCGTTTCACTGTCATCTTGCGGGGATAAAGTTGTGTGGGATGGTTGCGAAAGATGATGCGCTAGAGGAGCATCCAATGATCCAGAGGCACGGACTAGTGCATCTCGAGGAGGGGGCTTCTGGCGTGCTAGTCTCCAGCTGTGTAGCTCCTTGACTTTGAATTGGTCATATGCCACATCTAAAGACTTCAATGGCCTGTTGAGCTCTAGATCCGTTTTAGAATGGAGAATCGCAAGACACAGATACTATACGTACCTCTCAAATTTCGACTGTGAAGCATTTGGAGATCTTTCTGGAGCGAAGGAGCCAAAGTCTCGTGGTCTTTGAAAAGGTCACAGTCAGATGGACGAGGAAGATTGAGATCACCCATAATATGGTAGCTCCGCTCCATCCGAAGTTTGTCGTCTGTTAAGCCACAAAAAAGTGTGCCACAAGGTCCATCCTACGCGAACAGAGCTTAGACCGTGGTCTAGCGTGTTTCCGCTGTGCGCCGCTAAAGACCTATTCAAAATGGAATGCACTATTCTCCTGAAAGCTCTCCAACTATGGATTGAGGCGAGCCAGGTGTGATTTTGACGGCAGCTTGAGGTAGAACACTTATTTGTATTAGTCTAAGAGTGTTACGGAAGAAATTCATCTACCTACACGTGACAGCACGCCTCGAGTGTGTCAAGAAGTTAAGATAATATTAAGTAGCTAGAGATTTGGTCTAAGATGTAAGACGAACACGACGGAAAAAGAAAAGAGAATCAAGTTCGCTATGAGAAACCTTCATTATGTATCTGCCCACGCCTGCCACGCTAGCCTTTATGTCCATACTAACCCAGTGTTCGCGTGTGTCTACGTTGTGTGGTTCTCTCAAATTGTAGTCATATGACCGGAACTGAATGTTGAAGGAAAGATGTTCACGATGGGGGTGGATACGAGTAACATTTAGCAAAAATTGAAGTTCATTCCAATGATTTTGGAAAAAAAACATTCGACACCTGCAGGATTCGAACCTGCGCTCTGTCAAATTGTTAGTCAATTGAGGTCTAACTTTCTTTACAACCTTGACTTACCTCGAAAGAAATGCCTTAGCCGGATAGCAGGGCATCGCGTTAACCACTCCGCCAAAGTGTCTTTGTTATTGGATAAATGATTGCTATTTTAGTATAAGTTCTAATAAAAAATGTTGAGGTGGGAACTTCAAATTATGCACAAGGTGTACGCGGTGTAAAATACGATGTTTTCACTCTCGTTTAGACTTGTGCTGTGGCTCGTAATTTGCCTTAGTGTGTAATTTCCCAGCTTACCCAGGTGGTGCGACCACAGGGCGGCGAGATCGGGGTACATTTCGTATAGCTTGGCATCGCGCTTCGCGTCTCACTCTACAACAATTGACGCTGCCAAACAGACAGCTCCTTTTGCTATGACACATCCGCTACTCTCAACTCGTGATGCCTACCGGTAGCATCTTTGAGCATCTACCTCCTACTCCAAATGCTGGTTTGAGGCCACTACATCGCCGCAATAATGACAGAGACGCTCCACAACGCGCCCATAGTGCTAGACAATGGGAGTGGGACGATACGAGCTGGCTTCGCGGGGGAGGACCTCCCGAAATGCTACTTTCCATCCTTTGTGGGTAGGCCAAAACATTTGAGGGTGTTGGCTGGGGCTCTAGAAGGGGATGTGTTTATTGGCAAAAGAGCGGAGGAGTTTAGAGGATTATTGAAGATACGATATCCCTTAGAGCATGGCATTGTCACAGACTGGGATGATATGGAGAGGATATGGCAATTTGTGTATCAGGAAGAGCTGAAGACTTTGAGTGAAGAGGTACGCTGCTCACAGGATCTCTGGCACTTCCACCATGAATTGCCCCTAGAGCTCGGCTGACTGAAGACCTTCGTGACTACAGCACCCAGTCCTTCTCACAGAACCCCCCCTAAACCCACGAGCGAACCGGGACACTGCCGCCCAAATTCTCTTCGAAAACTTCAATGTCCCGGCACTGTACACCTCCATCCAAGCTGTCCTCTCACTTTACGCCTCTGGTCGCACAACAGGCATAGTCCTTGATGCAGGCGATGGTGTATCACACGCAGTACCAGTCTACGAAGGCTTCGCTATGCCAAGCAGTATACGGCGAATCGACGTTGCGGGGAGAGATGTGACGGAATATATGCAGTTGCTGTTTAGGAAGAGCGGCTATGTTTTCCACACGAGTGCGGAGAAGGAGATTGTGAGGAATATCAAGGAGAAGCATTCATACGTGGCGTTGGATCCGAAGAAGGAGGAGAAGGAGTGGATGCAGCATGCGGGAAGGCCAGAGAGCAAGGTCGTGGAGTATCCGCTACCGGACGGGAATAAGATAAAAGTGGGTTTTTGGCATGCGTTCTTGAGAATCACGACACTAAGGGTGAATAGATTGGTTCGGAGAGATATCGCGCGCCTGAGATCCTGTTCGACCCTGAGATCATCGGACTCGAATACCCGGGAATACATCAAATCGTTGTCGATGCAATTAACAGGACGGACGTGGACCTTCGGAAATCCCTGTTTGGCAATATCGTGTTGTCAGGGGGCTCAACACTCACAAAGGGTTTCGGAGACCGGCTGCTGCATGAAGTGCAGAGACTAGCGGTCAAGGACATGAGAATCAAGATCTTCGCTCCTCCCGAGAGGAAATACAGTACTTGGATCGGAGGTAGTATTCTTGCTGGGTTGAGTACTTTCCGAAAGGTTCGTCATCCAGTCCCGATTAGTCGGATCTCGGTATTAATGTGCGCTCGCAGATGTGGGTCAATATCGATGACTGGCACGAGAACCCTGAGATCATTCATACGAAGTTCAACTAGGGAGCTATATGTGTTTTGACTGCCAGCCTATGATTTCTCCACTGCAATGGTCAACAATGGCAAGCAGTCCGTCACGAGAAGAGGGGAAAGGTCGATCTTCTGTGTCTCGAGGTCGGCACTACTTCCTATCACGACTTCACGAGGGAAGACTGGCAGACCGACCTTAAGGAGCCCAGGTTTTAGAGATTCCAGACCGCTTACCAGGCTGCGTACTTTGCTCTAGGTGTTTATCCGGGTTTCTGAACGTCGTACCTGATCGTTAGAATGCGGGGAAAAGCACTACTACACGAGCCCAAATTTAGGGGCAGGTCCATTCAAGCTGGCATGGAGACTCGTGGTATGGTCAAATGAATCCGAGAGGTGGCATGGGAAGAGCGAGAGCTTGGAATATGTAGCTGGATGCATGCACAAGTTATTACAGCCTTCATCGCTGTCAAGACAATGCAAGAAATGCAGACTGCTTTGATTACAGGGGGTCATACTGTGTCCAGTGGATGCGTCACGTTCTTCAACTGGACATGGGCAGCGTCGTAGCATCCGCTTTGGAATTTCCATTACCCCCATAATATGCAATATTACCCTCATGAAATTGCCCCTCCCGAAGCCAAGAGACATCAAGGCGTAAGCAAATGGTAAATCAAACCAACATGCTCCCAAAACCTGAATCATGACTGGATACAATTATTTTCGAATTACGTTTTGCCTTGATTTTCCGTTTCAAAAGCAGCGAGTGAAAATTCTGCCGTGTCCGATGGCTCTTCGCGGAGCATGTTCCGACACAGTGAAATTTCAGTGGAAGCTTCTGGACAATCCAGACGCCGCTTTGTCGGAACTTTCGCCTTACTTACCCCATCGGTTGCCGTTAACTGCAAGGCGCCTCGGTTGGCTGCGGTCACGCACCCATCGAAAATCCTCGCTTTTAACTGGTCTTTCCAGTTAACGGATTAGTATCTTCACCTAATGGCAAAGTAAGGTGCAATTGTTGAAGAAGCTTCCAACATGTCATTATTAACCAGACGGTGGCTCCGATGGGGAAAGAGGATATATAAGGGGGTGGGAGTGCGACTGTCTTTTGATTGATTTGAGCATTCATTCATCAGACACATCTACCTACCTCCACATCCACACTCAGATCAATTTAGAATCCAACCATTCAATCAATCAAAGACATCTACCCACCTGTCTGATATCCAACTGAACACCCTCCACCCAACCACCCAACCATCCACACCCCTCCCCACACCACAACCACACCCATGAGCGACGCATTCATCCTCGAATACCTCTCCGCCCGCCCAAACCAGGTCGGTCTACCCCACCACCACCACCACCACCACCACACCCCCCCCCGCCAACATGTCCACCCCCCTCCTCCTCCTCCTCCACACCCTACACCCTCCACGAACCCGCCCCCACAAGGACCACCTTCGGCCGCGGCGGCGCCGGCAACCGCACCCCCCCCCCCCCCCTACCCATCCGCCATCCGAGCACCGCCGTCCGACACGCACGGCCGCACGCCCAACTACAGCACGGGCCGGGGCGGCGCGGGCAACATGCACGCCGCGGGCGAGGAGCGGCGCGTCTTCAGCTTCGACGAGGAGTTGGCGTTGACGGGGGGCGGGGTGCCGGTTTATCACGTCGGGCGCGGGGGGGCGGGGGGAATGCGGTCGGGGAGGAGGTGGGGAGGAGGGGTGGGGGGTCGAGTGTTGGGAGCGGGGGGAGGGGGGGGGGGGGGAAGAGGGGGAGTTGGGATTGGATTCCGGGGGTGGGGAGGAAGGCGTGAGGGTTACGACTGGGCGGCTTGGGTGGCTGAGGGGACTTGTTCTTCGCGTTTGCGGCTCTTGCGGGGTTTTTTTTGGCGATTCCTTCTATTTGCTCTCGCTTGATGTCTTCGGGGCTGGTTCCCGGTGAGTACCGTTACGGAGTTTCACTGCGCCAGATACCCAATATAGCGAAGACGTCTGTATAATGCTCCTTGCACGGACGGCAAAAATATCCAATTCTTGCTTCATCAGAACAATGACATTACCACGCTATCCTGCTCACCTCCCTCCCTTCCAAAATCCAAACACTGTGTCGGTGGTGCCTGCTTGAGTTCGTGGGGGATGGGTGCGCAAGCGCTCTTGAGGGTTTGAACAAACTATCTATCAAAATGCCTGAACTTGTTCATTGAACCTCGGACCGTCCATCCACCCCACTCCGATCTTGCGCCTCTTTTTCACTTCTGTGATAGCTCTAAGACTCATACTTTTCTTTGTCTTTTCTTCTCTATCTGATCTTTCTATCAAAAATGTAAAGATCTTACTTCGATTACTAGCTTTCAAACAAACGTCTCTGTGGATTTTGACAGCGATTGTCCGAGGATCGATTTTGCAGGATATGAGTTTGATACAGGGCGTGCGGCTGGGGCGGATGCCTGTTGTTCGGATATCTGCTGCAATGAAGCTTGTTGGTCGTCTAGGATTCCGCATGACGTGACTCCGATCTATGATGATTATAGCTACTGTTCTTCGACTAGCAACCATCCTATATGCCGAAAAAGCGGGCGAGGCTTTGTTGACAGACGTAAATTCGGGAAGGAGGGCAATGTAAGCAAAATATTTATCACCAGGCATTCAATGCCTTGCGCAGGTGGGTCAAATGAGCGAGTACGACATTTTTGAGCATCAACGCTGAAGCTTTTGAAGATGCAATCACACAACACAATAACAGCTTGGTCGAGCACACCAGTGCAAACCGTTTCAAGTTGTTTGCACATACCTGCGATGACGATGACCTCGGCAAGATTCATTCCATGTGTGATGATGGTAAGATTTTCACGGTTTTGCCATCCCAACCACGCCCCTTATTCTCTCTGCACTAGCAGCCAACCACGTCCCATCACCACCCCAATCCCTATCAGTCCCTCTCTTTGTTTGCTTCTTCTTCGCTTTTGCAGTCCTGGCTTTAATCCCCGCCTCCGCTGCCTCCTGTAGACCTGGCGTCCACGCTAGTCCGATGTGGTGGTCCAAAAGTCGCAGCAGAGTCTCAACGCACAAACTGACCTTCGTATTATCCACGATACTGGTTGTGTTCGCCGGAAAAGGCAGATAGCTCCTTCCGAGTATGTCTTGTGAAATGTTGTCATTAAGCGGCAAAGGTGCAGATGCCGCGATGAGGGAACGTAGTATGTATTGTGCGAGTGATGATGCTGCGGCTGGGGCGAAGACGCGGAGAGTGGTCGGTGAGATTATGAGGAAAAATGCAGGTATTGGTAGAGAGCGGATGTGCTCAAGGAAGTTATCGTAGAGTGTGTTAAGGTCTGTGAAATCGTCGGGGAGGCCGGCGGACACTTTGGACAGGAGGGAGAGGAGACGAAGACGCAGGTTGACGGAGTCCATACCGCCAAGGTCATCTGCGACATTGGGGATGGATTCTGTCATTTGCTCAGGGGGAGGCGAGAGATCCTCTGGTGAGTCCGTCAAGTCCTCATCATCTTCGTCTTCCATGTAATCGCCGTAGTTGTCGGCTTCGATATCGATCTTCTTCTCTGCTTTTGTGACGTCGACGTCCTTCTTCAGCTCTTTTGTCTCGTTCTTCCAAATTTCGCCAAATTCAGCCACTGACTTTGTCCTGCCATCTGCAAAGACGGCCCTTAAAATGTGTCGTTGCCTCCCCGCAGTGGTGGCTCCGGAGTTGATATATTTCATGATCAAGCTCTTCTCTCTCGATTCATGCCCCTCTCCGTGTTCCCGCGCATCCCAGTCCACTTCGAGAACCTCGATCATATACGTCAGCCAGGCGTTCCATCTCTCCCACCGCCGTTTGTGCAGGATACTGCAATTGAAGCACCACCCGACAACATGCCAGAAACCTTCTGCATGTGCCCACAATGACCCAGCATTCGCCAATTCGGTATCAATGCGCTCATCATCGTCGACAGGAGGGATTGCCCCTTCGCCTGTAATTCTTCTTCTCCCACTTCCTCCGCGCCGCGACGAAAAGCTAAGACTATTGAATGTGAATGCGTCATTGAGATTGCCATTGACAGGACCAGCATGCTTTAGCACCAAGCGTAGATATCGAAGCGCAAGATTGGCGGCTTGGACTCGATCCAGGGTCTTCGCCCGTGTCGTCAGGGTAGGATGGACGGCTAGGGTCGCGATCAGCGCGAGGTAATGAGGCGGCGGAAGGAAGGCAGGAAGTGGGCTCGAAGAGGTAAACCCGGATGTTAAGAGTGAGGTCAGAAGATTTAAGGCTTGACAGTGAAGACCCTCTTCGAGATATATCATGCAATGCTCGCGGAGCTCATAGGGTAAATTTTTAACGGCGCGGTATGAGGGTAAATGGCCAGCGGAGTATGCCGTTGTGGGGGAAGCATCCAGTTCTTTGGCTGATTGCGAGGAGCTGAGTATAGTCAATGAAGATGTCGGTGGAAGGCTCTTAGCCTGCATCTTTCGTCGCGCGTGGCGGAGGAAGCCCCTCGAGTCCTTAATGGCCGGTACGAATAAGGGGAAGCCTTGAATGAAGTCGCAGTGGCTGTTGCACTGACGAAGAGACGCGATCGCGTTAAGCGCGCTAAAGAATGCGCACGTGACGTCTTATATTCCATAGAGGTCCAGAGCTTCAGTCTTTACAGTTTTGTGGTTTTTGCACTCCTTGCCTAGTTCATTAGAACAAAGATTTGGTCCCAAAGCTTTCACTGCGTATCATTTCAAACAACATAGATCCCAAGAAGTTTGATGATCTGGCGGCATCTTACTCCTGATTTCTGTTACTCTTATTGCGCTCTGACTAGAAAATTGTAGTCCTCTTCTGATCTAGGCACCTTGTCAGTCGTCGAGGCTCATGTTTTCCAGCAGGTACCTAGACAGTCCAATTCCACGATGACAGAATTTTCCCATGAATATGACACGGCAGCCAGACGTCGGCATTTTACAGCTATTCTTTCCTCTGACATCTCCTGGAGTGGCACCGGATGCATGCGTAAACGTACACGCTCTAACTCAGGACCTGGCTGTATCGCTCTGCTTGCGGTTGGACGCCTATGATACGAAATTCTTGCCTTAATGCGAAGTCGTTATCGTCCAAAAGTAATCAAGGTACCACCACAAATGCCTGGCGACCAAGACGTCGGGTACCCTCTCAATCATGGCAACGCGGACATGGTGGGATCCACTGCCTAGAAGCGGGGTTCATCAATGGAAGAATTGGTCTTGATTGGCTGGTGTCCGACCAAGTTCGGGGAGAGTGCGGCGCTCTGACAGCTTGCCCGGCGGTCATCCATTCTTTGAGCCCGTTGACTATTCTTTCCTTTCCCTTGGATAACAGAATCAGCCAAGAGTGTAGCCTATGTATCCTTCCTTGACCTTACCACCAAGCTACGGGCCTCTGTCTTAAAACATATTATCGTGAAAGCAAGGCTTACGATTTCAGTCTGGGCCAGTTGGCGCGCATACAACAAGGCTCTTGGGGATGGAATAGACACTGGATTCTCACTCAGCTGACCCACTTTGCCTATGCTTATGAGATTTGGAAGTTCAAATTCGGTCATTCGCTCTTCGGGTATCTGCATACCGTCATCATCCTAGAGATTCTGAATTGAGCTTTTATGAAATAATTGTTCAGTCTCATAGTCATCCTATGACAATGATGACCCACCAAGGCACCGCCTAACCATTCTTTGCACCGTAATCGCTACCACCTATCAACTTTCTCCTGATAAAATAACTCCTGTCCTATATACCTGGTTCATCCTCTCAAGCCGCAGACAATGGTAAAACGAGAGCCGCAGAGTCTGTCGCCGGCAAAGGCATGGCAGCCTACCGTGCGACGTCTCTATTCCAGCCTCATCATACCCGTGAAGCGATACGTGATGCCCACGAGGGCAAGATCCCACCTCTCCTTGGCCTGTTTCTCGCTTTGAGTACTGTCCCCACTGCAAGATTCATCGCACCACTCGGTTTTGATGCCGTCTGGATCGATTGGGAGCATTCTTCTTGTGGCGTGGAAACCATGACCACGGTACGAATAAGATCCCTTTCAGCAATATGCTGTCTAACACTGTGTTTAGATGTTTAGATGGTCCACGAAATACAATTCATGAGTGAAGGTCGAACCATCCCCTGGGTCCGGTATGTCCTTCGACCTATCCACTCAAATCTACATCTCTGACAACGTCAACCAGAGTCCCAGGGCACGACCACGCCACCATCGGCTTCGCCCTCGACGCCGGCGCCTCGGTCGTCATCCCGCAAGTCAACACCGTCGCCGAAGCCCAACACGCCATCTCCTCCGCCAAATACGGTGTCAAGAACCGCGGCACCCGCTCCGCCCCTCCCTACCGCCTCATCCCGGGCGTCACGACCCTCCCCAGCGATCCCGCCGAAACCGTCCACGAGAACATGAACCGCCAAGCGGCAATCATGATCCAGATCGAAACCGTCGAGGGCATCGACAACCTCGACGCCATCCTCACCCACGTCCCGGACATCGACGCCAGCACGCTCGACATCCGGGTGAGCATGGATCCGGCCGCGACGGACTACGGGGACCCCGGAACCGGAGTACTCGGAAGCGGTCGCCGAGTTCGCGCGCGTGCTGAGGAAACACGACAAGCCGCGCGGAGGGCTCGCCATGGGGAGGCCGGAGGTCGTGAGGGAGTTGGGCAAGGACGATTGCATCAGTTTCATCGCGGGCAGATGTGGCGGCGTTGACGGGCTTGGCAGACGTACTGCCTGTGGCGAGGGAGATGTTTCCGGCCAAGGGGAAAAACGTTGGGTGTTGAGGTCAATGGGCAAAAGATGAAGTGGCCAGGTAGTTTCGTCCGTATTGCTTCAAACGGAACAACCCTCGTGCGTTGTCAGAGAGTCGTTAGCGTGACATGCTAGACTAGCAGACTAGGTAGCTGGTACAACTGAAGAGATTTGATATCATCTATCATCGTGCTTTTTTAACATCGAGCAGCTCGTTTACACTGCGTGATATAACCACGCATAGAGATGGAGTCCAACCCTGGTTCGTTGTTAGAGCACGAATCAAGACGGATCGAAGCCAGAAAAGTTCTGCTCAGAAAGGGTTACATTCTGAAGGCCTAGATGCTTTTTAGACGTCGGTTTCAGGCATCAATCAAGCAGAATAATCGTTGGTTTCTTTTCGAGAAGAGCGTCGAAAATGATCTTGCGCTTGTCGACAATTCTTAGATGTGTGTCGCTGAGACAGGTACCTTACATGGCTATTCGGGCGGTGAGAGGGATGTAGGGAAAGACATTCTTCAATCGAATGGTGGTTATCAGTGACTGAAATCGTGCAATAGAGCTACATAGCCGATGATTCATTGTCCGAGGTAGCTAGCCAGCCATACAGTGCTTTCGTTCCACTTCCAAATACGTTACTTGGTTAAAGCCATCTGAGACCACTTACGCCCCGTCCTTCTTGAGAAACATGGCCTTGAAATCAGCATTGTTCTTCGCATTTCCCTTCTCCTCTCCTTCCACCGTTCCGTTCATCTCCGCATCCTTGTCCTCCCCATCCTTCGTGGCTCTTGATCCGCTCAAGCCTACTCCTCCCCTCTTCATTCCCAATCCGCCTTTCCCACCCCTTCTTGTCCCAGGTTGACCAGGCCTTCGTATTGGTGCCGGCCCTTGTAGATGTGCGTTGGTAGTCTTTGCTGCTGCACCGACTGCTATACGATCGCTGCGATATTCAGCTTTCTGCTGATTCATTTCACTGACTGTTCCAACGCGTATCTTCCTTCCCGGAGCTATCTCATGCCCTTCTAGGGCGAGTGACGCTTTGCCTACCGAGGCTTCATTTTTGTACTCGATAATAGCTCCCTGATGATTCGGTCTGAGGGATACCTTGACCAATTCCCCGTAAGGTTCTGTGAGAGCTCGAATTCGGGCGTCATTGACTATATCTGGTATATTGAGGAGCGCGAGGGTACGGGATTCGATTTCGGAAAATTTGGACTGGCCAGCTAAGTTGGTGGGAGGGGCGGGCGACGCGACACTGTGGGTGTCGCCATTCGTATGTGGAGGTGGGGAAGTGGTGCCGCGTTGAGATGTCGAGGTAGAGGTGATGATTTGGTTTTGCTTGCGTTTCAACTTGTCGTTGGTAGAGACCGAGACGTTCAAGACGCGATTTCCGAGCGTTGTGAGGTTCATTTCGAGGGCCGCTTCGGCCTCATCCTGACGAGCTGTTAGCGAGAGTACCGAGAATACATTCAATGATTTTGAGCCTACTTTACTTCGGAAGACTACATAGGCTATGCCTCTACTAGTGCCGTCGACTCTGGTGAGTACCCTCACGCTCTCAATGTGGCCGTATCTCTTGAAGGCTTGTTTGATGTCTGCCTTGGTTGTATTGCGATCGAGATTGACCAGGTAAAGTTCTCGTCCATCATACATGGCGCCCTCTCTCGGCTTCTTTTGCCCCGGATCCGATAATTTGGCTACAAGTTTGAGGTCGTTTCCAAGGTCCTCACCGTCAAGCTCAGTGGCGGATTTAGTATCGCTTGATGATTTGAATTGAACATAGCAGAAGCGCCGGTGCGTGTCGAACTTGAGGGATGGGAAGCGTATGTCAACAATCTCTCCATACTGTAAGCCAGTCAGCCATTTGAGCATCTATTTTGAGAGAGGCATCTCACCCTTTTGAACTTCTCTCGTATCCAAGTCTCATCAGCAACAGGAGGAAAATTACAAACGTACAGTGTCGATCCTGAGCCAATTTGAACTTCGATTGCCCTATCGTCAAGTGTCTTCATATTTTTTGTTTGGGCCGTTAGAACGTCTTCTTTCGAATCGAATTCGATGGACGCTGTTGCCGATCGACCATCAGCCTTCTGACATGAGCGTCAGGCTGTTTATTATGCCGCACTGTTAGATAATCAGCACGTTAAAAGTGGATGCCAAGGCAATGGGACTCACATCTCTAAAGTACTGTCGCAGCCTTGTCTCAGTCGTCTCGGGAGGTAGATTCTTCACCACTACGGTGGCATTTTCACGATCACGTTTGAGTATCGAAGGAGCCGCAAGATGCTGCTCTTCTAACTGCGTTTCTGTTGACTCGGCGACATCTGGTCGACTCCTCTTGCTGAACCCTGCCTCATCCACGTCCTCCCGTTTCCGCTTGCTGGAAATCTGGCTGTCGTCTTCAAAGCTTGCGGGATCTTGCTGGGCCCCCTGCTGTTGCTGTAACGCTTCGGCTTGTGCCTTCTCATACGCCGCGTAAGCCTCATTCTCCCTCCTCTTCTGCACAGCTCTTGTAGCTTTCCAGACTTGTGCGACTGAAGACTGAAGTTCCTCAGCATCTTCATTGTCTTCACAATGATGTTGCAAAGTCTCAATGATCTTTTCCGGCCAATCTAGGTTTGGCCGCCTCAATGCTTGTTGCAGTACCTTCGTGGCCTCGGTGGGCTTGAAGGGTCGTCCACCGCCGTTGGGATCGGTCTCAACGTAAACCAGCTTGCTCCAGGTGTTCATCTCCCATAGATAGAAACGAAGCCAGAACTCGTAGCTATCGCCTCTTTTCAAAATCAACTTTTTCCAGGACTCTCTGGCGCCTTCCCAATTGCGACTCTGAGTCAAATATCTTATATAGATCTTTTCTAAGCGGTATTCTGGATCGCCTTGGTACTCAGTGCCATACTTCGTACGGCCCACGTTGTCCATGTCCTCAATTGCAGAACGAATACCGACCTCTGCCACATCCATATCTTCATCTGTAGAGTCTTGATGGAAAGCTCGCCGTCTGAGGAAGCCGCACCATGCCGTGCTGACTTTGAGTACCTCCTCCAACCCTCCAGCATCAAGCAGACCAGTACTTGTGGCTTTGTGCTTGATATCTCCGATATCGGGAAACGGCAGATTGTTGTTTTCTGCTGACAAGAGAAACTGTGACCATAAACTTCCTGACCAAGGACAATGACGGGTTGCCTTGTCGAGAATTTGGAGAGCTGATATATCTCGACGACGATGAGTTGTGATTTCCTCGACCAGGAACATAGCGTAGCCCTCCCATAACACGGAGTTGGAAGGAAACCGAAGGGTAGCCCGTTGATAAACAGCATTCGCAAGTTCGAACTTGAAGCTGTGTTTCTTCCGACTTTGGGAGAGCTCCCAGTCGACGTAGTCGTTATATGCCTTCAATTCGGCGTCTCTGTCATTCTTGTCACCCGCGCGCATGATTTCGAATTCCCTAATCTCGCGCAAACTGTACGTTTGTTTGGCATTTAATCCCAGCCTATTCGCTGTTACCATCGTGACTTCGTATTGTGCATTATCGTACCTCGAGACGAAGTTCGAGTAGGCTTGAAAAGTTTGATCCCATGTTGCGTGAGGCGTTTGAAGACGATTGATGAAGTGATACTGCGTATCGTTGATCGCCTCTTGCAGAGGAGATGACGCGAGCTCTAGCATCAACAACTCCGTCCATATGTCCCAGACGAGGTGACTGTCATTGATCCGCCACCTTGTTTCTTGTTCAGCACACTTCCAGACGTCCATCATTTGCGGCCAGCTGAAGACCTCTCTTGCCACCATACTATCTTCCTCAGACCATCCGTGCCGTGCCGGGATCGTCCCAATACCAGACACCCTCTGGTCGTGGGGATGTGCTTGTTTGTATAGTGACAACATCCATTGACCATATGCCAGCCATAGTTTCGTGCTGCCAGGCTCTTCTTCCACAGCTTTTGCGCATATTTCCATGACCGAAATCCTATCCTCGAGTGAGCTCGCGAGCAGTGTTTGGTCTTGTATCCAGTCCGCCCACAGGTCCTCTCCCAAGGCAAATCTGGAGCTCATGGTTTCTCTTGCGCTTTGTAGATCTTGCAGTAGGTCGTAGGATGCGGGTGAATGGACATGAGAATGGTTGGATAGGCCTTGATGCAAAATCTTAATGAGTTGAAAGTGAGAATCATAAGAAAATGGGTTGGCAGCGAGGTACTCGACCAGCTGTGTGACGGTCTGGAGATCGGTTTCCGAGAGAGCTTTCGTTGAGTACCTTCGCGGCGAAGGGGTCTCCGCTGGTCCGTCTGCCATTGCCATGTCATAAGACCCTCCTCTTAGCTGACTCGAGACTGTTGGTCTTGACATTGCCTGTAGAGCTGGGAGGATTGCTGCTGACGAAGTCGAATGATCGTAGATCTCAGCACTCCGCAGGCCGCCAGCATTTGCCCGTGCTGTTTGCTGATGATGTTGCATCGAAGCCAGGTCCGCTAATGTATCCATACCGGGTGTTGAAGGCTGCCTGCTTGTCCGGACGCCATCACTGGGGGATGTGCTACTAGCACTCATCCGCACTCCTAAGGCAGCAGGCCCCATGGCGGATGAGTTCGGGGCAGCATTTTGCGCTTGCACCACAGCGTTCTGCGGTAGGGTAGGGGGAGGAAGAGTGGTGTGGACAAGAGGTGAAGGTTGATTCACTTTGGATGTGCGTGGCTTTCGTGGTTTCTTCGCGGAGGCAGGTTTGACAGATGGGGCGGGAGTAGCGCGAGGAGTTTCTTGGGGAGAAAGCAGGAGATTGATATCCATGATTAGAGTAGTGAGTAAGGTTGGATCAACGGATCAACGGATCAACCTCTCATGCACGGTTGAGAGTAGAGGCCAATGACGGTTGGAAGGAAGGGTCGGCTGCTGGCAAGAGCAAGCGACGGCACTGACGGGAGTTGCTCGGTCTTGACGCACTACACCCTCGTCACGAATCGTTGAACCATGGCGCACCACCGTGTACACGAGCTGAATAACACCGACACACGACTTTGCCGCCGATATAAACTGAGATACTTTGCTGTGAGTGACGATGGATGCAAGGGGGATAGCTTGAATGAGGCTGAAAGGTTTTGGCTTGTCAGAACGTTGGTTCGCGTGGATTCTATTTTGTAGCGGCACCAGCGGGGCGCCGATCCAACCGCCCAAAAGTTCAAGTCACTCGCCAGTCTACTTCACTATCTATTGCAAAGCACTCTCTCGTCTCAACTTTACTGCTACCATGGATCCTGGAAGCGCAAATCTCAGCTCAACATCTACAGTACATTATTATCATCATCATTATCAAGACGTCATCGAATGCCATCAGAACGGGACAAGGAGTTGGTGAACGGTGGGAGGAGTGAACTGAAACGACGAAATGACGCACCAGAGCCACGCTTAGAAAAGCTTCGCTCCTCGCTTGCTTTTCTCCCGCCGTTCTAGAACCTCCAAATTACAGGGACTTATCTACAGCAAGAGACAACATAAATTAACCAGAGCCCGCCCCACTGCTAATAATTGCCAAAGAACATGCCATAAACAGAAATAAAACTTGATGCCCGAACCCACACTCTGCAAAAGAAATGCAGTGCCATTACTTAATTCCTATCATGGAGGAAGTCAATGCTTTTCGACAGTCAGCAGGTAAGCAAGATTTGTGCACTTACAGGTACTTCTCTGGTCCAGTCTCCCAGGATGTTGCAAATATGAAGAATTTTCTTCTTTCTTTTTTCCCCAATCTTTGAACCCTCTGCCGAGCTGATCATTCGACAAATTCGACCGAATTGCTCGCTGTGCGGCCCTTAATCGGGTACGAAGCAGCGAGTACCGGTGAACCAAAATGCCAACCTTCTCCAACGCTTGCCTGGTGAACAGCAGAGCATAGCTATCATATGTGTCCCCCCATGGCGAATAATTTCCCTCCGTCAGGGAGATAGATACCCTCAGATATTTTGGAGCTCTTCGCTCAACTTGCAACAAGACTCTTTCTTGAAATCGACTCGATCGACTTTCTGACTGCACGGCTGGGATGACCAAGTCGCAGCGGCGTTAGTAAGGTGTAGAGCAATTGACGCGGTCTTGTCGAAGGGATCTAACGGATAGGAGAAGGAGCGCTTGGAAAAGCCCGATCGGAGCCTCGAAATTTGTGTTTGACAGTGCTTGATCTAGCGTTGTCGTTGCGTTGCAGGAATGCTGGTTTCGTGCAACGTTGATGGATGTCCTGGAACTTGAAGAAATGGTAAGACCTGTTCTATGACAATAGTATCACCGAGGACAGCAGAGAAACCCGAGTCTGGAGCACGTTTCCATCTGAAACTAAATGTCAAACCTGTTACGTGTAACGTGCCGTTCTTAGGCATTCAGTGACCGACAACATTCCCTGTGCTTTAAGACAAACTAATTTTCCCAGATGCAACTTCTCTGCCATTATCCCCCAGCAGTGGGCAGGGCCTTCGGGTGCTTAGTAAGAGTCGAAACTGCTCGTTCGTCGTGCGTAAAAGGAGACCATGACTTTGGTGCAACAGGAACCGCATGTTTGGCGGAGATATTTAGTTCGTATTAGGTTCGATTCCTAATGGCGCTGGTACAATGGTGTTGCGGTGCTATTTATTTTCTCCGCAGTGATTTACCAATAGCTGAGTCGAAAGACTATTTCTCGCGTTATCCCAACATTGCTTGTTACCTCGGCTCAAGTCATACGAGGGCGCTCGCCCTACTTACTCTCCCTCGGCTCTGATTGTTAATGTCACCGAGGTACCGACTGATGGCTTCTCAGCAAACACCAGGCAAGGGAGCACTGCTCGGTTGTGATTCTGTCTAATGGGCGGACTTGATTTCCAATCTGAAGTTTCGGCTGGCTAATAATCGGTTGCTTCATTATGCCTTTATGCCCTCCATGCGTTTCCTCAACCCTCGTCCGCTCGCTCAGAGAAACCTTCACATACGCTCTCTATACCAGATTCAGACATGTCGATGTACACTTTGAGCGGTGACTCGTCTCAAGAGAAAGCTGTGAAGCTTTCCAGCAGAGGTGGAGTGACCAACGCGATCGAAGGAAGACACAACAAAACTGCAGATGTTGTGGGAAAGGGCCCAGAGACTACCCTTGCTGATGGGTCGGACATCCCAGAAAAAGAAGATGCGCTTCAAATAAACGTCACGGCCCACGATTGGAACGGCCCTGATGATCCAGAGAACCCACTCAACTGGCCCTTATGGCAGCGGATCTACCACACAACAGTACCGAGCTTATTTGGTTTTGCTGTCACTTTGGGTTCTTCAGTATACACACCAGGCTATCCTGACGTTGAAAAAAGATTCAAGGTTTCGTCAACAGTAGCTCTGCTACCTCTTTCGCTCTATGTACTTGGTCTTGCCTTCGGGCCCGTTCTGGCTGCACCGATCTCAGAGACCCTGGGCCGGAGGGTCGTGTATCTGATTTCCTCGCCGATCGCAGCAATGTTCACCTTGGGCGCTGGCTTCTCGAATACCATTGCTGCCTTGGCTATCACTCGGTTCTTCGCAGGTTTCTTCGGATCACCAGCCTTAGCCGTCGGTGCAGGCACCAACGTGGATTTATGGGCCCCAGTCCATCGCGCTGCTGCCGCATCCGCGTTCCTGCTTGCGCCGGTCCTGGGTCCGGCTATCGGGCCGGCTGTGGGAGGGTTTGCTGCGCAGTACAAAGGATGGAGGTGGACACAGTGGCCGATATTGTTCCTTTTGGTCCCTGTCTACTTATACTCGCTCGGTATGAAGGAGACGTACAAGAAGATCATCTTGCAAAAGCGTGCGAAGCGACTGGGGATACCTCCACCGCCAAAAGTGGGCCCGTCAGGATTAGCAGCTGTCAAATTCTTAATCACAGTCACACTCTTCCGGCCAGTCCGGATGATCTTCACAGAGCCTATAGTCTTCTTCTTCAGCTTTTACATTGGCTTCAACTTCTCCGTTCTCTTCGCGTTCTTCGACGCTTTTCCAATCGTTTTTGAGGGCGTCTACCATTTCGACCGCGGCTTTTCCGGCTTGACGTTCCTTGGCATTGGCTTCGGATCCTGCCTAGGAGTGGCAACCACCATGATTTTCAACAGACTGCGTTATCACAAAGAATATCTTAGAAGTCATAAAGAAGGCAGAGGTGGTGCCGTCGCACCAGAACATCGTTTGTATGCGGCAATGATAGGTAGCTTTGGTGTACCAGTTGGCCTGTTTTGGTTTGCATGGACATCACGTCATGACGTCCATTGGATCAGCCCAGTGCTTGCAACGGTTCCTTTCGCATGGGGCAACATCTCCATTTTCAACGCTGCGACGCTGTATCTTGTCGATGTTTACGGACCACTGAACGGTGCCTCGGCATTGGCGGCCACTGGTCTGGTCAGGTATATAGCAGGAGCTGTTTCTCCTCTCTTCACTGTCCAGAGTAAGTCATGCATCCCTAAAGGCCTTGTGAAGGGCATTCTTGCTGATTCGATCCTGTCAGTGTATGATAGAATGGGTATCGCATGGGCTACCAGTCTGCTCGGGTTCTTGTCGTTGACGATGTTGCCGATCCCTTGGGTATTGTTCAAGTTCGGTCCGCAGGTCAGGGAGAAGAGTCATTTCGACACTATCAAGGCATAGTATCGGAGCATATCGGCGCAGGTGTTTTTTGGTTGCATTGTCATCAGCGGTCATAGTAATTAGTATCGTGAGATGCCTATATCAATCGTCGTTCAGGCCTCGGCGTAGATGATGAACTAGGTTCTCGGCAAAGAAAAGCCTGAATTATGATCCCGCAAATCCTCACTGATTACGGCAACCCATTCTGGATTTCAGAAATATGCTTCCTCCAAACTGGGATCGTGATGGCTCGCAATTCTGCAGGCTCCGACGATGCCATCCACACGGACAGGAACGCGAGGGCTCCCGATCATGCAATCTCTGACAGCGTTCCCCACGAGAACAAGAACACTGAATTTGAAGCGCTTTTGAAACTCGGAAGCCAAGAACTCACAGATGCAAATGCAAATCTGCTAAAGAACCCAATACACCCAATCTTCCAGAAACAGAGGTGGCGGAAATCAGCGCAAGATGCTTGGCTTCCACTGCAACCTGCTCTGAGTCTGGCGTCAAAAGCCATCGGCGAAGACGAGATGGTAGCTTTTTGGTACCATCTGGTTTGGGGAAGATAAACAACGCAAGATCTGTGCGAAGAATTCGGCCACGCTCTTGAACATTTCTCTGCTGAAGGACCATCGCTCATACAACAAAAGGCAGCAAAACCATTGGCTCAAGGTTTCGCAGGAGAAGCCGACTTTATTCAGCTTCCAGGTGCCTACGGGGACGAGGTTGGGCAGAACCCGAAGAACCCGCTTGGGTTATTCGGGAGGAGATGGAACCCGATCACCCATGACCATTGCAGCGGCAAGGAAGTACTCTCGAGACAAAATTGCTCAGGGTAAACCTTTGATTGCCATGAACTCCTTCACGAACTCGCACACGCGGTCACAAATCTTTAGCCGCAGTAGATACGAACCCTATATGGCAACCAATAATGGCTGAGCTAGGTCAGCGTGGGGGTGCTGGGCCTTGGCGGCGCGATCAGCTCTATCAACCCTATCAGGATGGAGAAGCCGGCCTGCATTGGTGGTCTGATCCACCCCCACACCATCATCACCCCACCAGAAAAATTCAACCCTAGAATTGGCCTGCGAGTCGTCCCCCACCGCCGATTTTGGGTGATTTGACGAAGGATGAGACTTTTTGGATTTTGGCGATGGAGTACATCCAACGCTTGCAGACGGAAGAATTTTGGGAGAACGAGATCAAAGCGCATGGAGTCAGAGCGTTGCATGTACCTCCGACTACTGGAAATCACGACAGCCAACTTTCGTTGAACACTAATTGGAAGGCGAGCGTGAGTATGACGCGAGGCCCGAATGGCAACATGGTCGTTGACGTTTGGTCTTCTAAGATGGTGCAGAATCCAGAATGGCTGGAGAAAATCACTGTTATCGAAGAGAGTGCAAGTGTGTCCTCTAGTTTGAAGAGCAACAAGTAAATAGCCCGCAGTGGGAGTCTTTTCGATATCGATGAGGAGGCTGTGGCTGTGGCTGTACAGGCAGAGCCGTTTGGATGAGTCCACCGTCCATCTTTCGGACGGAATATGTACTATCGAATCCATGCTCACCTCCTGGAATGCTAGCAACTGCGACGTCTTCCTCCATCGCAGAATAACAAATCATTCCACATGCCTCGTGGTTTCCTCGTCTTATCCTGGTCCAGCCCACTCTTCTGAGCTTCCGGGGTGTTATTTCCCGTATATTTGCAGCGAAGTTGCACGCTAGCTAAGTTCAGGTAGGCTGGTAGTCGCAGAAGGGAAAGCACTTTCCACGAAGCTCTCCGGAGCGTCCGGATGGTACTCTACCGCCAATTCCGGGTGAAGCCGCAATCGTAATTGACCTGAACCAAATTCATTGATGAGCTGAGCGATGTGACACATAGGTAGTAGCTGAAGCTGGGGCTCTGACATGTTGTCCAAGAGGTGAGATCTTCCCACTCTTGGCAAACCTCGGCGTAAGCGCGCCTACCTCGGAGGAGCCTGATGGCTTTTCAGCTCCTGCGGGCTGACAAGACATCCTGAGTGCTGATTGGAACCACCAGCGATGATCGCAGCCTACTACAATTATAGAAGTGCTTTTTACGACAGCCAAAATTCAGATGGCGCTGAGAGCCAATCAATGATCATGACTCCATTGCCATTGGTATACATCAAAGCTTGGCATTGTACAGTATACTTATAATTCCTCAACAAAACACTGAGTAGAATATTCCGACGATTCTCTCATCATCTCATGAAAGAAATATTGATGAAAAGAGATCAAAGTCTGTCAGCAGCTTGCCTCGAGACTCGAGGATACAACGTGACAACCCCGCCATTTTCCCAGTGTGACCTTTCCACAAAGAGTCGCAAATCTAATGGTAGGTTCGAGCCGAGTCGAAGGATTCCCTTACATGCATACCGGCCTAGTAGAATCTATTTGCAGAAGTCTTTTCCGTTACATGCAGCAAGCTAGGGCTGCATCGCATCTAGTTTCCCTCTCGAATTTAAAGATCACACAGGACCTCTTCCCTTTCTTATTTGGTTTCCTTGATATTTTGTACCGAGTCATCTTAGATTTAGACTTCATTTTCCATGGCTCCTTGTCACGTCCTCCATCTAAGGGCCCTCGTTTTGTTGGCTTCCACCGTAATCGCAACATCTTGTACGTCGCTGCTCTCATACCCTGTTGCTGAGACTCCGTCCAAGAAGATAATCGATGTACGGTGCTTGTGTGCTCTTCGAAAGTACAAAAGTGGTGTTGATGAAAGATCTTGGCTTGCAACGTCTTCGTCTTTGATGAAACGGAGGACTAGAGTATGTTAGGCTGACGGGCTACAAATTATAGCTTTATCCGTGAAGTATACCGCAAATTCGACTTTTCCCTCCTCTGTAGCAAATGGAAGTTCCCCCATAACAACGTCATACACTAATTCATCTTGGTGCACTGATCCCGTCAACTCATGGGTAACAAAATGCTCATGTTCCGAGCTTCTGAGTGCTCAGGAGAGTACGTCCACGGCGTTCTATACCCTCCAAGAGGGGACATCCTTGGTCACGGGTAGTTTGTTTTATATATATCAGCATGGTCCCACGTGGGAAATGCCGATGGACTGCTGCTATAACTGCGAAATCTTGGCCGACGAAGTGAGCCTTTTGTATTGGCCCGTCGAAGAAGACATGAGGAATGCGTCAAAGGCAAACTCAACAACTCCATACACTTTGGTATCTGATGGATTCACATAGTTCGTGCTACCTTGTACTCTTGCACCATGAGCTGACACTACATCAAGCGTATCTCCGTCGGTGTATATCAGCTACACCAATCTGTTTGCCACTGTCAATTGTGTACTCACAGACGCCGTAAGAACGGGAGGGACTTACAGCACTCTAATAGCATACCCACCAGAAGCCTTGTCCACACAAGCCTGTACGCCCGGCACGGAGTCAGACGACCCTTTCGTATTCGAAAGTGGATTCAAAGCGGTCAACTACACACAAATGGAACAGCAAACTGACTTTTGTAGCGAACGCGATTACACAGTCCTAGGCAATCCAAACGATTGGACCAGTCGTTCTGTTCCCTTCTACCTTTCCTTCCCCCCGGGCTCTCCTTAATAGACCCTGCATGGAAGTCCTGCAAAAATTTCCAGCCAGGCGTTTTTGACCCTCCCCGGACTCTCAATAAAGCGACGGCCTTGGTGGGCTTAGGCTTAGGGGGAAGTCAAACCTCGACAGCGGCCCCTGGAGCAAAGCCAACACCTAGCCAAGTGTCAGCGACGCCAACTCCGACGGCTAACAATGGTGGAAACAATGCAGCAGAACCACCGGTCCCCCCGCCTGGTTCCCCAGAATCTGACCCTCCAATCGCAGGCCCGACGAAAGGTAATCCACCAAATTTAGCCGATCCTCCGGCCATTCCGGTCTTAAACAGTGCCGCGGTCTCAAGTATCATTCAAAACCTGCCATTGGGCGGCAACAATCCCGAAGCGCCTTCCAGCCCTGACGACCCGCACAACTCTGAAGGTAATGGCGAAGGGGATCCCCAGGGAGCTGTAGGCAATAATGATAGCGACCCGCCTCTTCCCTCGATCGGAAACGATCAGATCCAGAAAGCGGATGGCGGTGGTATCGTAATTGGAAGCACAACGCTTCGTCCTGGTGATCAGGTCACAAAAGATGGCACCCCGATATCAGTCGGCAGTGACCGCGTCGTCATAGGTGATAGCACAATACCCCTAGCTGCACCTACTGGTGATTTCTCGGATCCCAATACAATTGTCATGGCTGCACCAGATCCGATCATTGTTGGTGGGAATACGGTACATGGACTTCCAGCTGGCGGAGTCTTGATAGCAGGCTCAACGTACTCGCCAGGGGCTCACACCATGATATCTGGTATCGCCGTCTCTGTCGCCGCTGATAACGTGGTTGTAGACGGCGTCACCTATACGCTACCATCCCAAAATAGTCCAACTCCGGTTCTGCTTGGCGGACAAACAATCACCAAAGCATGGAACGGTGGCGTTATTATTGGAAGTTCCACATACTTGCCAGGAACCCAAGCTAAAGTATTTGGCACCGCACTCTCCGTAGGAGCAGACAATGTAGTCGTGGACGGCTCCACTTACACTCTCCCAACATCTCCGACGGGAAAACCCATCCTTATCGACGGCAAGTCTATTACAAGAGCTTCCAATGGCGGCGCTGTCATCGATGATACCACTATAGCGCCAGGCAGTCAAGCTATCGTATTAGGTCACACGATCTCCGCCGGCTCCTCATCAGTGGTTATTGATGGCAGCACATACGCATTACCAACGAATACCGTACCTGAGAATGCGGTTGCCCAATTGCTCACGCTTGCAAACGGAGTAGTCATTAGCGCAGGCGGTAGTGCAGCCGCAGTATCTGGCATAACATATTCGATCCCCTTGGACAATGGAGAACTCATTGTAAACGGCAAGACAATGGCCTTCCCAACCGAGGTAGAATCTGTTTTCACGATAGCTGGTCAAACCTTCACTGCGAATCCGACTGGGTTCGTAGTTGATGGTTATAGTGTTTCGCGAGATGGATCAGCAATCACGCTTTTGGGGACGATAGTATCATTAGGACCTTCGGGCTTACAAATTGGCTCTTCGACAATCCCTCTCACCTTTCCGCAGGAGACAGCTGGGTTGCAATCAGTATTTACAATAGCTGGTCAAACGTTCACTGCGAATCCAACCGGGTTCGCAGTCGATGGTCATAGCGTGTCTATGGATGGATCGGCAGTCACGCTGTCCGGAACGGTGGTATCATTGGGATCTGAGGGGCTGCAGATCGGTTCTACAACATGGCCTCTGACACCTGCGCAGGAAACAGCTGATGTTGGCCTCGGAGGCTTGATCATGTCGGGTTTCGGCAACGGGGCTGGAGCAGCTACGAATGTTTCGAGCCCGATGCCTTTCACGGGAGGAAGTCCGAGGTTGCGAGCTGGAGCGTGGAGCACGATTCTAGTTGTATTTGGAATGAGTGCTGGCATGGTTGCATATGCATTGTGAGCGGTATAGCATCTTCTATCTCGTCTCCAATTCCAGCAGATCTACACCACACGATGGCTGTAGATCTCATGTCCTCCCACGCAAATCTCCATCGCTGTGGATTGAAACCATATTGCCGGAAGAGCTTCAGGAAGCAAAGACGGAGCTCAACGCAAAGATGGCTTGTCACCTTAAAGATTTGCTTTGTCATGGTGAGGTTCGATTGTGTTCATGCTAGGAATGCCAGTGGGGCAACTCCTTGTAATGGACCTAGGACATAGAACAGTCGCAAGTGGGCCCATGGGGGATGATAATGATGCATGCAACGAGTCAAGCCAATCGGATGTAGTGGAATGGTGTTCGTGGTGCTATGTAAGTTGGTAGACCTACAGTGGTGATATCTACATGAGCTTTTGATACTTGGCTAAATCAGGATTAGCTCTATCGTTGCTTGGCACATCCTTCGACACCTTCGTTGACAGTAAAATGGGCAAAATCATTCCAACGAGATAACAGGGCGCGTCGGAAGTGATTAGAAACAGGAAACAGACGTGGTGTGGTGGCGAATTTATAATTCTAATGTGAGGTAAGGTACGATACTGGCGAGGGATGCCAAGAAACTAGAGAGCGGCTATCGGCAACGTACTCTAGATCTTCACGTCACTCCTTCGGAAAGCTTGAAAGCTTAACAGACTTCCATGATTCTTGTGAGAGATGGAAGTGAGAGAAAGAACTTTCAGTCCATCCTGGATCTGCCTGTGCGTCCTGGCCTCTAGAACCTACAGCTTCCGTATCAGCTAGGGTTGTCTTAAGCAACCTTCGTCCAACTGCGAGCTTCACCAATTGCATCCCAGAGACATGGATTGCTTTCCAATCCCCTTCGTATGCTTCCAATGCGGAACCGATCAAAATCCATGCCATTGCAAGATCGTGGGCCCCACATTGGGTGAGTGTCCAATTGCGCAAGCAGAGAAGTTGCTGACTGACATGGCTTAGGGTTTGCCACCACTGTCATTGCTGCCGTACGCTTGAACCTCAAAATTCCTTCCACGACCCTTGACTGAAGATGTTTCAGGTAATATGCTGGCCAGGAGCTTTGCTGTGCGGGTGCTGCCTGTCTGATACTGGGAAGAGGTACGCTGGGATACTGCGATGCACGGAAAAGGTTAGCTGACTTCTGAAATTAGGATGCTTGCTGCTCCAGTGGATTCTGGTGGAGCTGTCAACAACGCGGTACCATTCTGAAGACAGGAATCCAAACTTCTGCCAGCGGGCAGCTTCTTCATGGCAGCTACTACTAGCGAGCGGCCATGTCTTTCTCCATGGTGCCAGGCATTGAAATAAGCCTTGTTGACTGAGAACAGCATTGATTCCGCAGAAGGTACAGAAACTTCAATTCATAGGTCTCATAAATCACAAGAACAACTATCCTTTTATTACTGTTGCCGAGCATTGGAGGACACCAGCTGAGAAGAATAAATCAATTGCTTGGAAGATACTGCATGAGTGCCTCCACTGTGTAGATGTTTGAACACGACAAGGCGTTGAGAAATAAGCCCAAATAACGTTAATGCAAGTTGTAATTTCCGAACGAAGATGAAGAAATGTCGGTGGGAAATTCATGCTCGAATTCCTATAGCAAGAAGTGAATGCCGGCTGGCTCAAACTCAAGCCAATGTGTTGACTTCGGCCAACACTTCACCTTTATTCACGACCTTTGACCTTGCTACGCCCTATAAGACGCACACACTCGTTATTGCTCACGCTTTTTACGTTCACCTGTTTCGTTTACCGTTGCAACACCGTCAACATCCATACCTTCACACACACAACCTCTTCATATCTTTTTGAGCTTGACCATATCCACCTCTACCTTTTGCTACATTGGCCTATCCTTATGTCGCTCCGCTCACTTGATATGAGCGACCAAGACATCGAAAATGCTCTGGTACCTGGAGCCGGTAATGTCTCTTCCAAATATCTCCTTGGGCCGTAACTGATATCAAACAGCCGGAGGGCTTTCTCTCCAACAATATCCTTATGAGTGCCCAGACCCAAGCTTTGAGTATGCCAGTGAGAGCGATTTCCTCAAGCCTACTGTCGGTATGCTAGCATCAGATATCCTCAACATAGGATAAGATAAGCTTACCGAGACAGTGAACCCCTACGGCCCACCATCAAAAACACCATCAAAAACTAAGAAACTGTGCGATCAGGCAGGGCGACCAACTGCTGTCCCGAACCTCGACGATGTTGAGGCCTTCATGTCTGAGCCAGATTATGTGGAACAACCAAAGTCTGAACTAGAAACTCTGCTTGCATCTCAGCACATCCAGAACCCATACCCTTACCCCGGCGACACTGCTCTTCTGCCATCATACAGCTCTGAGCCCCCAGAATCCACCTATGCAAACAATCTGAGAGAGCAAGTGAAGCATGCTCTTGCAAATGCTTGGAAGTATGATCCGATTGGATGCTCGGTCAAGGCCGCCTTTCAGGTCGCTCGAGATCTACCTAGTATCCCAAACCATAGCCTCGCCAAGCAAGAGCACAGCTGGACCACAGGAGGGAAGTTGACAACGGTGAAGAAAGCGCGAAACGCGGCTCGGATAGATTTCGAGCAAGCCAGAAAACAGTACGAGTGGATAAAGAGCTCGGATGAGGATGATGAGATTCTCAACTTCACTGGTACTATCATCGACCAAGAACTTGACGAATTCTATGGCCCCGACGGTACTGATCTACGTCCTATTGACAATGGCTCTGATGATGAAGGCTTCTGTGAGCCAGATACCATCGTCACCACAACATTCTCGTTGCCCGATAAATCTCTTTTGGAAGAAGGAGTTACCCCGGGAGGGATCTTCCAAGACTCGGGCATTTCCATGGATGAAGGTTACGCCGAATATTCTCTTGCCCACTCACTCCCCAACACTGCCAAAGAAATCACGGGAATGGTCCCAAGTGATTGGCCAACATTCAACGCAGACGTCGCATCTCTTCGAGTCCCGATTCAGAGAGGTCGATGGCTCGGACTGGTTGGAGACCAGAAGCAGTGTGAATGGCCTGGAAGACGGCAAGGGCCTTACGATCTTGATGGCCTTCAGTCTTGGGTTCGCGCTTCAAACAGCGATCATGTGGAGATTCTGAATGAACCTGAAGCTGGCAGCAACGGTAGTCAAGATATGGCGGGGTCCTTCACTCCGCAGCCTGTTGTGAGAGAGACTTCCGTTGGTCGCGATATCGAAGCGGCCGTTAGCCAAGATGTCGACGCCACAGGTGCACGATTCACGGCAGCTTTGGCTGTTGCTGAAACTCGAGATGCAGACCAGATGGTGGACACCCCAATTGTCGACACTACTTATGAGTCCCCACTGCCAGCTAAGGTCACATTATCAATCGAGTCGGTGGAGCGTGCTCAAGAAGTTTCCGAACCTGTTGAGGGCAAAGTCGACGACAAGCCCTCGGAACCTACACCTCAACTGTTGGGCCAGGAGCAATCTCACTTTCTCCATGGCAACAACAAGAGCGGAAGATTTATCGAGAATCAAGAACGATTTCATGAACTTCCCACCTCCGACAAGGAAACAGACAACAACAAGACTTCCGAACTTGTAACTCAATTGGTGAGCGAGGAGCGATCTCAACACTTTCCTGGCTCCATCGAAAACGGGAGCGACAACGAACCCTCTGTATCTGCACCTCACGTCATTGGAGAAGTCCCACAGATCCAAACTGACGTAAAGGTGCATGTGCGTCGCAACATCCTTACTACGCCATTCACCACCCCAGTGAATCAACGAATCAGACAGGTCCAAAAGGTCCAAGTGGATACCCCAGCAACTCCTGCGACGGTCAACATCAATCTCACGCCGGAGTACGACAGTGATATGGATGCTGATGATGCCTCTGATGGCAGCCTCGAAGTTGGCCTGCCCAATTCTCCAACCATTGATACTCAAAAGGGGCAGAGCGCGCTGGGTCGTTACGTGCAAGAGACGAAATCGCAACCAAATCTCGCCCTTCAAGGCAGTAGCACGGTTAGCCTTGATGGCAGCGAATCCGAGGAAGTTTTGCTGATTCCCACGCAGCAGCGCCCCAGCCCACCAGAGGGCCATGCAGGATTCAGCAAAGGTGTGGAGCTCCATCAGAAGAAGAGCGATGCGGTATTCACTCTCGGCACGCCTAAAGCATCACAAGAAACCCCCTCTTCTAGCAAGGCAGCTCATATCCCCGCTACACCAGCAAATGGAGAGGACTCCGCCTCCCTCCGCCCTACCACGCCTTTCCAGCATGACGATCGCAACCATCGCTTCGATAGTCCAAGCACGCCCACTCCGGCGTCTAAACCTGACGAACAGCCTCGCGGTGACTCTTCCCCCAGCAAGAAGAGCGTCATGAAAATCTTCCAGAGTTCAAAGCTGGGCATCCGGAGCCCAGAGCGTGCAAGACCGAGCCCCGAGATCGCCGTCGCCCCTACTACCCCCACGGCCGGAGCTGGAGCCGGCGATCGGTATGGCGGTAGCCCTTTCGGCGGCCAGGGCTTGCTTTTCCAGAAGGCGAAGAAGAACGAGAGGGATACGAAGAACGTGCTCAACAGCCTGAAACTGAGCCCCGAGCGAGGAAGCGGACACCCTGTGCGAGAGGTTCCGGAAGATTACGGGGATGAGCTAGCTGGGGAGGAAGGCGTCGAGGTGTACAAAGAAGGGAAAGGGGGTCCAGAGACACGCGGGCCCATGGGTTCGAGGTTCGATCTCGGAGCCCGTGGTGGAAGAAAGGTGGCTCAGGCCGTTGTGGTGCCGAGCGTGAGGTCTCGTGACGAGGACGACGGAGGTCAGACTGAGGGAGTGCAGAGCCACGAGCCGCGGAAGAAGAAACCGAGGAGGTCCACGCGCGGTGGTGTTGGGGGTGCGGATGTTCCGGATGCGGGGCCCTTGTTCGAACACCGAGAGGGATACCATCACAGCTAGGGGCGAGATTGTGAGGGAACTGGCTACCGGTAGTGAGGAGGATGTGTTGTACAACTGCCTGCTGCAACGACTATGAAACGATGAAAAGCGACTTGTGATCTGGATACGATACGATACGATACGATACGATACGATGAGTGGATGTGCCGAAATTGATGGAAGCATCAGGTCTAGGTTATGGCACGATACGTTATGATGGACCGAGCTTCTTGAATGGATGGATCTGGGCGTGTGGCACGGTACGATGGATCTCTGTGTGTTAGGAAAGGCGAAGGCTGTTCGTTCTTAGCCTGCCTTGTACAGAAGCTGCTTTTGTACACCCAGAGAAGTGTCTATGGCGCTCTACTTGTACCTCGGACGGCGTGAGCCTTTATTAAAAGTATCTTGAATTTCGTGTATTGAGAGAGGACGCGAATTGAGCACCATTGACAACATACCAGCATCATTAACGTGAGTGTCCAGTGAAGATCGATCATGCAAGGCAAGTCATCTCGAACGATGTAGTACACAGAGGTGTATTCGTACATGTCTGCGTCACATTTCCAAGACTTGCTACCTATGTACGTTCATCAGTCATACAATCCTCTTCAGAGTCACGTGAAAGCCCATATCATATTGTCCCAACTCGTTTCTCCTCTTCGCCTCCTGCCCAAGAACGCCGATCCCGCAGACCATCATATTTCCCTCTATGTAACCCCAAACGCACTACTGACGCCTTCGAATTGCTCAATCGTCCCACTAATCGGCGTCTTACTAGCTCCGAAATACTTGATACGATATCGACCCCTCTCGACATCGTCTTCAATCTCCCACGTGATCTCTACCTCGCTGGTAGCTAGCACGCTATTCGTTCTCCGCCAGCGGAAAATCAGACTCCAGTCATCGTCGTTCCTGACCTGCACCCATCTCCCATTGCCATCAGCCTTTTCAACGGCAGCGTAAGTGTCTTCAAGGCGAAGATCATTGCGTGGATTCGCGCCTACGAATTTGACACTTGCCATGGATCCGGGTGGGTAAAAGGGTTCGACGTCCGAGAGCACGTCCCCGAATGATTTGAAAAAGGGGGCGCGGTCAAAAGCGACGCCGGTGATGAAGCTGAGAGATTCATTGATGTAGATTGGTGGTGCGGGACCTCGAGGGGGGCTAGTGGTGGATGAGGAGTCGAGGTAGGGTAGATAGGACGTTGTGAGGTTGATGTGGGCGTTTAAAGTGTGAGGGCCGTAGAGCGTGGAGGCTCCTTCGTAACGCTGGATGCCGTATTCCTCTTCAGTGGCTATGTAGTGGGTGTAGCTGTTCGCGGGACCGCCGAGGACGATGACAGGATCTTCTCCGGCGGTCAAGGAGGATGCGAGGGCGGAGGAGTGGATAGCTTCTTTCCAGCGGCGGCCTGCCATAGTGGTTGCTTCGCCTGGGCTTACTATGATGATGAGCTGGCCGACTCGGAGCAGTTGGACGTCGACAATGTTGGGAGTCCAGAGGTAGGGGTTCTCGATCTCGCCTACGTCGAGGAGGATGGGTTTTGAGTGGTGGCATGCTATTTGTTCCTCACTTGGCTCACGAAGGAAGCCACTTACGACAGACCAGACTGGGTTGGCATTGGGTGAGCCGGTGTTGTTTTGCTTGAAGTCGAAGGCGCCCGGTCCGTCTGTTGTTCCTGCTGCGAAGGAGTACCCTAGTGCAGCTGGACATGTGGAGACGGTTGATCCATTTGGATGCTCGAATGAAAAGTTGGAAAGGTCATGGAATGCATGCAATGACTTGACGCCGGCTCCTTGCACATGCTTGCCGTTCTCAGCCATGTCATCATAGAGAGATTTTGCACCCTCGAATTGCCTCTTGCCAATCTCAAAGCAGCTGGAAGCACCTTCGTCTTTTTCTCTGAATCTGGGTCCTCGGCCATGACAGGGCTCATTCTTTCCACCACAAGTGCTATCTTCGAAATTGCACATCTCTCCAGATCCGTCCTCGCAGTAAGCTCCCAGTACATTAGGAGAGGTATCTCCAACGTTCGCTTGGGAGAAGCCTGCGACAAAACCCTCCTCGGCATTTTCTGATCCTTGGACAGCTTGTTCGAGAAGGATGGCAGCAACGCCTTTGTTGTCGCCAGTGATCAAGGTGTTATTCCCAAGCATTGACGTGCCATGTACAGGAAACCATGTCAGGACACCCAGATTCTTGCCATTCCCGGCACTCTGGAATTTGAGCATAGTCATAGTCTTGTCTACGCTGTGTTCGTATCTCTTCCTCTCTTCTTCAGGATTTGCAAGGTATGCGAACGGGCTTCGGTTGATGTTTGCGTCATGAATGTCCACGGAGCCAAGGCTTAGATGACCCGGCCCAAGAGATTCGTGCGCCCTCTTTATTGAAAGTATCGCGCCATCAACGATAGCCTGATAGCTTTGCTTGTTGAATCCTTTGCTGGTGATTTGAGGCAACAGATAGTTGAGCCATGCTCCAGGTCCTGAGTGTGAGTGTGTCCCTGTAACAGCCACATTCTTTTGCCCATAGATAGCATATTCCGGTCCCAACTCGGACAATCCTTGGAGTATACCGTATCTGACAGCTGTATCACCAGATTGGGTGTCCAGTACTAAGTACACGAAGCGGTCCTCTGAGTTGACAATGTCACCAACAATGAAGGCGCGGGAGTAAAGGCGTTGCCGAAGACCTGATCCAACTTGTGCGGGGTCTGCATAGCCCATCATATTGATCTCCACGACAGGCCTACTCGTATTGATTCAGCAACACATACTTTCCACAGTCCCGAATTCTCAACTCGAGAGCCATACCCTGTTATGTCTGCCTTTCCCACACCAATACTGTATAAAGTCCCATCGTCGGCGGCTTTTTCCCCCACATCGTATGGCGAATTTATGGGGTACTGGTTGTGTGCAGATCCTATTATGGAAGCGTCGTTTGTGAGATGCATAAAGTCAAGTGCGGGTAGACCGAAATGTGAGATCAATTGGAAGGTGACGAGTAGTGCCAAAGTCGCAGCGCCCAAGGCGGCGGCGATATGGAAGCGTGCCATATCTGTAAGCTCCGCTGTGGATGTGAGATGGACATTGACATAAGACGAGTACGTTCATAGGCGCAAGAGTCGAGTTGCTGGGAGGGTTAGAGAAGGATGCGGCGGGAAAAGGTTCTTGTTGAACAGTCTACGGCAAGTTGTACGAAAATTATGGCATTACGGCAAGGTGTGCGCAATATAGGGACAATCTCAAGGTTTAGATCCAAATCTAAGAATTTAGAGACCTACGAGGTCCCCCAGTATATACTTCAGAAATCTTTAATACCTGTATCTCATCGACACGTGCATCATTTCACACAACATAGGAGCAACTTTTTCAAGCTGGAAACCATGTCAGTCTCAGGGATTAAAACTCCAAGAATGAAATAGAGGCCCATCCTCAAATTCTCTAGGCACGACTTTCCAATCAGACCTCGAGTATCTCGTTGCGCTGTCAGGCCCCTTTTCTCACACACACATTACGATTCAGATGGTGATGTGACACATCCACACACTTATCCAGCTCGCATATTCTCTGATAGAGGAAGCGTATTCTTCAACATCTTGGTCTCGGCTTCCTCGTCATTCAGCCTTAGTGACTCCTGCAATCTGCGATTGGATGAGAAACGAATCATCAAAAGTGAGACTCGGGTGTGTCACAAGACGAATTGTCAACACGTCTATGCGTACCTTGGCACATAAGCTTCAAGGTAGATAAATCACCCTTCAGACACAGAGACGGATGAACATACTTGCACCACATTCGTACTTCAATATAGACTGTTAGAGAGAGTCACTCAACGGCCGCTTGATCCAGCTTCCAAACCACAAGGCTTTTTATTCACGTATTCATTCAGACGCAATCACAAGCATCAGATCAAGTGCAGGCTACCTCTTCCAGCTTCAGTATCAAATTGGTCTTTCGTTCGGACAGCAAGCCAGGAGACAAGCAAACCACGTAGGACGAGATCAGCAATACCAAAAATGTGTCTGAATGGTTCGAGAAATTCAAAACATCCCCAAGCCAGTAAATGCTACCCTTAAGACGTATCCAGGTTTTTTGCCAGAAGAAATCATTCCTCATGTGGAGAGCGTGGTGAGCATCTTACCTCTCTGAACTTCGATCCCAAAAAGCACCTGACCGCTGCTAACGACTGAATAGCGCACCCAGGCTTTCCATGAATGGTCGTATCCATGTATTGATCAACTATTGTTCCTCGACTCACCCTATCCAAGCATCCTGACTACCCAGAAGTACTCTCGCGTCTTGGGAACGGGCAAACCTTCTTTAATGCAGGATGCTGTTTCGGCCATGGTTACGCAAGCTGCTCTTCGATGGTGTGCCATCCTCAACCGCCCTGTATGACTTGGACATTGTGCCGGCTCTTTTCAACCTCGGCTACAACCTATTCTACCTCCACGTCAAAACGTACCAAAACACAAAAAAAAACAAATAAGGAAAAACGCAATCACTATAATAAAGAGCTTTTCCGCGACCAGGAGAAGCTTCATGCAACCTTCATCGTTGGAGGCTTGCTCGAACCCGCCAAAAACCTACCATCGTTGGATGCGAAGATCGATATGATAAGCGCTCTGAACCTTCTTTACCTCATCCGCCTTGAAGAGCAAAAACGCGTGTCGTGTCGTCTTATGGGATCTACAAAGCAAGTCTCCAGCTCTACAATCCTAGGCCGACAGATTGGAGTTCCAGTGGCCGGACAATATCATGGATTCACGAAAGATACCACGGTCTGTGTGCGCAACGTGAAAACCTTCCAGCATTTTTGGAGGACGTAGCTGTTGCCACTGGTAGTACGTGGACTGTCGATGCGTTCCTTGAACCGGTGGAAAGCCAATGTCTCAAGTAAGTCCTGGGCGAAACCCGATATGAGTTGGCTGTACCTCAGAGTCATCAGGCAATGAGTCTTTTACGCTGAGTATGAGTTACCGAGATTTATATAGAATCACTCGGACCTCGTGAATAGATAGCAGCCTTATTGTTAATTCAAAAGTGCTACCAAACCACTAAAGATTCGTCGCCTTAGACGAAGATTGAGGCGGTGATTTCAAATCAGTTTCAAGTATCCGCCAAACACTTAATGAAAGGGAATTGCGAAAGATGTCCACAGGATGCCTTGGAGAGGAACATCTTTGCGCTCCTCTTGCTCGAGACGACCGTCGCATTCCCGATGTCCATGGAGGACGTTGGCTGCGGACGCAAATCCTTAGTGCTCTCATTGTCAGGGAGCCGCGTGCTCCTTGGCCGTCTGACCAAAGCTCTCGATGCCAGCGAACCCATTGAATTTTCGACAATGTTTCCCATCAAACGTCGCATGCCGCTCTGCAGGAGCGAAAGGCGGTTTGGTCCAGCGGTTGCAGCTTCAGGACAGTAGGACCTTCATGTAGGATCCTCGCCGCTTGGCCTCATTAGTGCCGAGCACAGGTTCCCGTATGTCTAGATCGTGCTTGCCACTCGAGTCTTGAATGAAGAATATGTACTTAACGCGAAAATATCACCTGTGTGCACCCGGACATTTGGATCATAGAGTCCCGCAGTACAGTCTATTGAACATCCACATATTTGTTGCCTTCGTTTGTTGGACTGGATTCGACCAGGTATTCTAGCAGGTCGTCGGCTGCAAGTTCAAATCGAGGCCCAGTCATCGTCCGGAGAAAGCTCCTCCTCAGCTTCGAATCTCCACTACTTGTTCCCGTATTGCAACTGCAATACCTTGCCATTCGTTACGGGAAGTCAAAGTCGGCTTTGCTGTGCCCGGGAAGCTGAGATCTGCGTTCTCGCTCAACTTCGCTGGGTACTCGAAAATTCTGTCCTTGAGGAGAGTTTTGGGGATATGCCAGACCGCTGGCACGCACACTCCACCATCACTCTTGCAAAGATTGTTGTGCCATTGGTAGACTTATTTTGTTTTTCTCAAAATTCAAGATCGGTCTTCGACAACGTAGATATTCCCTTTATCCTAATCTTTGCTGCGCAAGTAAAAGTAGCGTACTATGAATGCCCTGATGCAATGACAGCTCATCTTCTGGCAGCTCGTCGTATCCCAGATCGCGATCCCACGGCTCGTCCTTGAGCAACGTAACGTCCGACGGCTTGAGATCCGACGTGTCTTCGTTGCAATTATCATCCTGCTGCAATGAATTGTACATGGCCGGTCCTGCTCGAAATTTGATGTGGCTTTAGAATCCATGCACGTCCGGAGTAGCGACCAGTGACTTACCGCTTCTATGTTATTCGCGGCTGTACTCCCCAGAGCTCGGAAAATCACTAAAGGCTTTCTTGCCTTCATCGGATTCATCTGCACTCAAATTCTCACTATCTTTGTCTCCAAGTGATATAGGAGTCACCTCATCGACGACATGTTGCTTGTATGTCATCGCAGCGAGTTCATCATCGTCAGTTCGTCGCTGTCATATCCATGGCCATCCAGCTGGTCGCCGTTGAGTTCGTTAGATCCCATCATGACATCTATTACGGCACGAGACTACGTCTCCTACCCTTGACGTGTTCACACTTCTTATCGCCAGCATCGTATGTTGTACCCAGGGTCCTCACCAGAGTTCGATAGAAGCCGAATTCCAATGAATGTAGTATGGAGACGCCAGAGGGATCCTCGCTACGCAAGCACAACACTATCTGAAGAAGCTCAATGTGAAGACCGGGGCATTGTGTGACGTTGCGAGTCGGGGCGGAGGATATATTCTCTGAAATCTTTTGTTCGCCATGATCGCTAGTGAAGAGCAAGGGTTTCAGATATACATTCTGAATGGAGATCGATACTGTTAATCCAGATGGATACGTCCTCTTAGGCCTTGGCTCGTCTGGTACTGTTAATTGGTCTGAGTTGGATATATTAGAGTACAAATGCTTTCTGGCCATCGCAACATATCCTCCATAGTAGAAGGCAACGTGACATCTGTTAGTATTGATAGGTCATATCTCAGTACGCTCTTGCTGCGGATTGACCTGGGTAGGTAGTATCAAGTTTCAAGGTATCGATTGCAGGCTCTGCAATTTTGATTCTCCGTAGAGTAGTCAAGCTTCAAATTGCCCTGAGTATACTCATCTTCACAACCAACCACTCTGGCATGATATTTCTGCCTGCAGATTTACTCAAAATGATATTTCAAACACTTCAAGATATTACATCTTGTCTTCAGGTTCTGGAGATTGAAGATTCGTGATGACTCCACGCGAGGTTGAGGGCCGTGAGGGTGCCGTTAATTTTTGTCTTCTCGGCAACTTTTTCTAGACAACTTGCCTCTCCAATAGCGCCCTTCAACTCTTCATGTCTTGCGCTTTCTAGTCATCAGGTATCTAAGCTGTTAGCACACCGACCCATGGGCTACAAAGCCAATTATACCACGGAGATGGTCTCGAAAGATAAAGGACTCGCGCCCCAAACACAGTAGCCCTCAGTCTTGCTGACCTTCGCAGTGCTGAGATTGGAGGATTGTCTTAGCAATGTCCCACTACGGCCAGTACAATGCAGCAGGCTACCAAGTCCCAGGCGGTGACCCTCGACAAGCAAAATCTGGAACACCGTCAGGACCACCGCAATCCCGTCCTCAAGTAGCTCCCACTCCGCCTGGGTACCAGCAAGGAGGGTCGCATTATCCACAGAACACCCCGAGTCTCCAGCACAGCCAGTATGGCCAAACGCCCCAGAATGGGTATCAATATCAGGGGACACCGGGCCAAGACCAGGGGGACTTCTCTCTCCAGAGCCAAGCTGCGATGGAGGATCAAGGTGCAATGGGGGGATTGACTTCACAAATGGGAGGAATGGGTCTAGGAGGGGACGGTGCTGCTGCAAGTCGGCCGAATAAGAAGAAAAACCGGCACGCATATCATAATATCGACCAGCCGGTGGTGTCTTCACAAGCGTTCAACCAGAGCACTGGAAATGCCGAACAGTACGTGAATCAGGATCCGTCTCAGCAAACGGGGGCTGGCAATCCATACGGTGGCCAGCAAATTACACCCGCTATGAACCAATTCCCTGCGCAAGCCGCTCCTTCTTTCTCTCCGGGCCTACAGTCTTCGGGCGCAGGGGTCGCAAATGCAGCTACACCGATGCCAGCGCCTAGCGGACCTGGCGTATCAGCTCAAGGGCGAGTGGATCCAGAGCAAATACCGAGCATACCACGAGCTCGGGATGGTGCTGCACAGTACTACCTAGATCACATATACCCCACAATGGAGCAACATCTCCCCCCACCCGGGGCTGTGCCTTTCGTTGCCCAAGATCAAGGCAATTCGTCCCCCAAATATGCCAGACTCACGCTCAACAATATCCCATCGACATCAAATTTCCTTTCCCAGACCGGTCTACCACTGGGGCTGGTCCTCCAACCGTTGGCTCCTCTCCAAGCCGGGGAACGACCGATACCTGTCCTCGACTTTGGAGAACTGGGTCCTCCTCGTTGCAGTAGATGCAGAGCCTACATTAATCCTTTCATGACATTTCGATCTGGCGGCAACAAACTCGTCTGTAATATGTGCACCTTCCCCAATGATGTCATTCCAGAATATTTTGCGCCCACGGATCCAAGTGGCGTCAGGGTAGATCGAGCACAACGGCCCGAATTGACGACAGGGACTGTGGAATACTTGGTGCCAAAGGAGTACTGGGCTAAGGAACCCGTAGGCTTACGGTGGCTGTTTGTCATTGATGTCAGTCAAGATGCGGTTAGCAAAGGTTTTCTAGAAGCATTCTGTGAGGGCATTCTCGGCGCTCTTTATGGTGAGGACGAAGACGATGTAGATGACGAGAAAACAAATAGCGAAAATGCCTCGGAGAAGAGAAGAATCCCTATTGGCTCCAAAATTGGATTCGTGACATTTGACAAAGCTATGCATTTCTATAATTGTAATGTAAGTGGTCGACTGAAACATGTACCATGCATAGCTGACAATTGGCAGGAGAATTTGGAAAGAGCTCAAATGCTCGTAATGCCAGACATCGAGGATCCCTTCGTGCCACTCGGTAGCGAAGGACTCTTCGTCGACCCATACAAATCAAAGTACGTCTCCTGTATCCAATATCACGTCGGAGACAGACTGACCCATTAGGTTGATTATAACCTCTCTTCTCACGCAATTGCCAGCCCTTTTTTCGCACGTCAAGAATCCAGAGCCGGCTCTGCTGCCTACATTGGAGTCGGCATTGTCGTCACTGAGCGCCACAGGTGGAAAGATAGTGTGTTCCTTAGCAACATTACCGACATGGGGGCCAGGCAGGCTGTTCCTCAGAGATAAAAATGATTTGCACGGTATCGAAACTGAGAAAAAGCTATTCCAGACAGACCATCCTGGTTTCAAGAAGCTTGCTGGCAAAATGGTCGAGAGTGGTGTTGGCGTCGATTTCTTTATCGCTGCTCCAGCCGGAAAATACATGGATATTGCCACCATAGGTTCGTTTCATCAGTATTTGGAAATTTAATGCTGTTGTGTGGCTAATGGCTGGATCAGGTCATCTCTCCGCAGTTTCCGGTGGCCAGACTTATTTTTATCCTAACTACATTGCGCCTCGCGACTCGCTCCAGCTTGCGCAAGAGATCAAGCATACCCTCACCCGAGAGACAGGATACCAAGCGCTTATGAAAGTCCGATGCTCGAACGGCCTACAAGTCTCATCATACCACGGCAACTTCCTACAGCACAATTTTGGTGCTGATCTCGAATTTGGTGTCATAGATTCTGACAAATCAGTGGGTGTGATGTTCAGCTATGACGGCAAGCTAGATGCCAAATTGGACGCTCACTTCCAGTGCGCTCTGCTATACACTACGGCTAGTGGAGAACGTCGCGTTCGCTGCACGAATACAGTTGCTGGAGTCAGTGAAGGGGCTATGGAAAGCATGAGGTTTATTGATCAAGATGCTGTGGTCAACATTATTGCAAAAGAGGGTAGGCGAGAGCAATCCGTGCTGGAGCTTTTCGTTCCATCTTTGCTAATCATTCTCACAGCTGCGACAAGAATGATTGAGCGACCACTCAAGGATGTTCGCAATGCACTCACTGAGAAGACCATCGATATTTTGGCAGGGTATCGAAAGACTGGTTCTGGTTCACATCCTCCCGGTCAGCTTGTCTTGCCGGAAAATCTGAAGGAATTCAGCATGTATGTCCTCGGCTTGATGAAATCACGAGCGTTCAAGGCTGGTCACGAACCTTCCGACCGCCGCACTCATACCATGCGCCTTCTCAAATCGGCTTCGCCGCTCGAACTGTCGCTGTTCCTTTACCCTCGCATTCTCCCCGTACATACTCTCCCGCCGGAATCAGGCTTCCCACATCCTGTTACGGGTCACTTGGTTGTGCCTCCTGCAATACGAGCCTCCTTTTCCCGAATAGAAGAAGGTGGCGCCTACCTCGTGGACGATGGCCAGGTCTGCCTTCTCTGGCTCCACGCGCACGTCTCACCTAATCTTTTAGAGGACCTTTTTGGGGAAGGAAAAACGTCGCTGTCATCGCTGGATCCTATGATGTCCTCGCTGCCAACTTTAGAAACGCATCTGAATGCTCAAGTCCGCAACCTCCTAGCCTACTGGGCGAGCGTGAGAGGAAGTAAAGGAATTACCATCCAACTAGCCCGGCAGGGCCTCGATGGGTCTGAATATGAGTTTGCAAGGCTTCTGGTGGAGGATCGAAATAACGAGGCGCAGAGTTACGTGGACTGGCTCGTTAACCTACATCGACATATTCAGATGGAATTGAGTGGTCAAAGGAAAAGAGAAGATGGCGGTGGTATGTCCACGATGGGCATGGAGAGCGCAGTAGCTGGAATTACGAGTCTGTGGACGGGTAAGGAGGGATGACATGGCATTCCAATCGAAGAGATAGCTTGGTCATGGAGCTGAGGAAGGCCCTGATGTGTGCGTACCGAATGAATTAAGGAGCATATTGTCTTTTTGCGCGGCATTCCCTTGAGCGTTGTCGTATGGTAAATAGATTCTTACCCTACAATCGATTGGCCGCAAGGTCTTCCACTTGCCAAACTCCCTTATACTCAATCCTCTCCCACTCAGTGAAGCGGATCACCAAATCACTCCGGGTTCCATCAAAAACCACTTATCTGGATCCGTCAAGTCAAAAAAGACCCTGTTCCCCCGGCGAGGAGCGCCAGCGAACGCTAGCATTATTGCCGAACTTTTATCTTATCTCCAGGGGGAAATTGCAGGAAGAAAAGGGAAACGTCCGTCTCTGTTGACGCACCTTACAGTCGTCCTCAGTTTCACAAGCATCACTATAGAGCCTGCACATTCTATTGCTACGTTATAATCACAGTCGCCATCATTGATACCTCAAGCTCCCCTCCGCCCATCTCGAGCCGTTCTACATCACGTAGACAATCCGGCGCAACGTCTTCAGCACACTCCACCCCTCGACCAGCAAGCCGGAGGAGCGACATCAACAGCCAGCTCTACCAATTCGCACTTGGCTACCCTCTGACCCCACCTGACACAAGCCCGGTCAAAGAGCGTTCTGAGTCTTCGGTACAACTTGAGGCCTCTGGTCCCGGGACCAGCATGGGGAGCTTCGTCTTCAAATGGTGCGTTGGGAGACATTGGGAAATGGCACAGATCAGAGAGCAGCCACGAAGACGTCAATGAGAGAGCCAGGAGAAGGCTTTCATGTGAAGACGTGGCACAATAGCGCGCTCATCGTAAAAGCCAAGCCCGCTGACTTCTCCTCACAATAGGCATCATCCAGCACATGAGGTCTACGTGACCGGCACATTCGACGATTGGGCAAAGAGTGTGAAGCTGGAAAACAAGGGTGAATATTTCGAGAAGCTTGTAGAGCTACCCTTGTCGAAAGAGAACATATTTTACAAAGTACGTTACCCCACAGCTGCGCCTTTTGAATGTACTCCGCGAAGAAATCCGGCCAATCCACGAGGCTCGGATTGAGCTGGTCAAACGCCATTGTTTCCACATACCCACGCTACATAAAATGGTGGATGCGCGAGTTCCTTCCGCTGCTCGACTAGCTCAAAAACAAGCGCAAAGGGTCTTGCTCGGCGATAAGGCAACGCTGCTGACATCCATAATGTTCTCTTTCTTTAGAATCCGGCTGCAGTGAATTTACAAGGACGACTTCCTATTTTCTTTGCTTTGTAGTGCATAATCTCGTTCGACTTGATCTTCTGACTGAGCACATTCGCTGATCATTATTCTGTTCAAGTTTGTCGTTGACGGCAACTGGACGACAGATCATACAGCTCCTCAGGAAAGTGACGGCGCAAGCAACGTGAACAACGTCCTCCTTCCCAAAAACATCACAGGACCACACTCCTCAGGCCCAGCAGCTGTAGGGATAATGTCCGGAGTTACCCCTCTATCTACTACTGCAGGCTTGGCGGGCAATGTGCCAAAGGAAGCAGAACGAGATGTAAGGCCAGAGTCAGCATCTTCTGATGTACCGGGCAGCTTGGCCGAGACACCGTTCCATGACGCATCAGAATTCTACGTCGATCCGATTCCGGCGACTTCTGGTATGGGTAACCCCGTCAACTTGGCACCTGGAGAGAAAGTCCCTCATCCGAATACTCTCACTTCCAACACTGTGTCCTCGACTGCTCGTGATGATTCGTCACTCAAGAAGAGCGCAGAGGGCTCTGAGCAGACCTTTGGCGTAGCTCCTCTCCCCGCCACCACTGGCACTGGGAATCCGGTCTCATTACAGCCTGGCGAGAAAGTTCCTCACCCCAGCGAGTTCACTCAAAATACTACAACATCGCACGTAACCACGGACAAAGAGTCATATGAGAACGCAGGGGGTGCGCCACAGCTGCCAGGTGTCGTCACTCCGGACCACGAGCGTGAAGCTCTGGGAGGAATGTTCAAGATGCCAGGGATCGGAGGAACCATGATTCCTGAATCTAGCTTACCAATGGGAGGAGGAGCTGCATCAGAAGTAGATAAAGGCCCAGTGATACAATCCGCTGGAGCACAAAGCACAACGGCTGCACTTGCGGGTAACGTGCCGTTGGAGCGGCGAGGGGTACCTGAGATCGTTCAGGAGAGTCAGCAAGAAGCTGGATTCGGTCCAGAGGCTAGTGAAAACAGGGAGGCTGTGAAGGAAAAGTCTGCAATGGAGAAAGAGCTCGAGACCAAAGTCCCAGAAGAGCCAGCTACGTCTGAAAGCACTGGTGTAGCTGCATCTGAAGGCACCGATGGCGCCAGTGGTGGCATGGGCAAGGACGCTGCGATGGCCGCTGGAGGTGTTGCGGCTGGAGGTGCAGTGGCTGCCGCCGCTACAGCTTCTCACGGTCTCCCAGCGTCAGTACAGCACTCGATCGACGAGATGAACAGAGGGTCTGCCATCGCTCCAACGGTGCCAGACGTTGTCCAAGAATCTATCACCGAATCTCATCAATCACCAGAGGCAGCCGCAGACAAGACAATGGTCGGAGAGAAGAGTGCAATGGAGAAGGAACTTCTGTCTGACGTCAAGAGGGAAGATGGTGTTGGAGAGCCAGCCCCTTCCTCAAGCGCTGCGTTGGCCGAGACTGCTCCAGCTCCCACTGGATCCGAGAATGTTCCACCACCAATCTCCAAGGACTCTGCCGCCGTCACTACCGCTGGAGCGCCCGCCCAAACACCAGCTACCGGAAATTCAATGAAGCAAGCAGTGCAGTCCCAGCCTGACTCTCGAGATATCTCTCCGATGACCAAGCCCATCAAGCAGACGCAAAACCAAAGTCAGCCAACTGTGACGACCGGAGTGGGCTCCAGCGCTGCTCCTCAGACATCACAACAACCAGACAAGGCCGCCCCTGCAGCAAAACCGAGCCCTGCAGCAAATTCTACGGCCGCGGACAAGAAAGCGAAACGAGCAAGTGGATTCTTTGGGAAATTGAAGTCGAAGTTTAGTGATAAGAAGTAACGTTGATAATGGGATTACTCCAGCGGTTGTAGAGGGGTAATGGATATTGGACAGAGTAGGAAGACGCACGCGGTGGGTCAAATTGGCTTTGAGGGGGCTCGATGGTCCGTTTTGCATGATACCAAGCCTCGATTGTTGCTGCATTGTTGCTGCATTGTCTATATAATCTAGACGGGTTCTATCTCTTCTTGCGAATATCAAATTCAATGCAACATTTCGTCTCCGTGTGCCTTTCATTAAGAGTCCGAGATGTAAACCGCAGTAGTGAACCGCTATGTCCGGTGCTCTTTCGCTAGGCAGTGGGCCGGCTGTCTCTGGATGTCGTAGAGTGGACGTTGTAGGGGACGCGTGTTGAACGCAGGGTAAATTGCTCCAGAAATTATTCGTGCTGGCGACCTTGTGCCCTTATAGGATTCGAACCTACCTGTAAATCGATTCTGCGTGCTGGTCAAACACACGTGATACCAAGAGTACACTCGCAGAAGTGCTTGCCAAGCACTCCCATCGGGCTGTCGCTGCGGACTGTGATATACCTAGTCGATCTTGAAGTGACAGCACTAGCGCCAAGAGATGTCTTGGCCGGCTTCTCTCCAACACTTTACACATAACTCAAAAGGAAAATCTCACTCGCCAAGTCACAGTCATGCCTCTGATTACAGAATCTTACGACTCTTTGCCCTGTACTAGCAGAACTCTTCATCTTCTACGATTGAGCTGATTTGCAAACCTAGATGTCGACCGCGCACCCAATGACACCGAAACTGCCGCCGCCCATGAACTCATAGCTTCTTCCTTGTCCCCAGACGCAGAGTCGGTTATGCACCCTTTAATGCTCGACGCTCCCGCAACCAGTTTTTCACCTCTCATACAATCGGAGCTCGACCGCGTCGCCGCCAACGAGCCCCTAAAAGCAATAGACCTAAGACGCTACGAAGCCAACACAACAAGCCTCACCCCAGACGCCTCCGCCCTCAAAGCCGCCTATGTAAACTCCTCATATCTCACTCTCCGCTTACAAGCTTTAGAGCTGTTGGAACAATTCGGCAAGAATGCGTGGCTCGTTGCCAATGATCAGTTGGAATCTTTACTGAAAGAAGTGGAGAAGGAGCTTGTGGAGACTAGGGAGGCTACGACAGAAGTGAACAGGGAGAGGAAAAGAGCGCAGGAGGGGAGGAGGGGGGAGTTGGAGGGCGGTGAGAGGGTGTGGAGAGCGGGGGTGGGAGGATTAGTGGAAGTGCAGGTTGCGACGGTTGACGTGGAGCGGAGGTGGAGGGAGAGATTGAGAGGGGCTGGATGATGAAGGGATGAGAGAGTTAGGCAAGGTGTATGATTCGGAAAGGGTTCTGAGAGGATCCTGTCACTGAGGTTCATGATGGGACTGACGAAGAAGACGTATACGCGCGAGCTGGAGTCTTTACTCGGATTCGAATTCTACCACTCGACCTAATCTACGGCTTTCCAGGGTATCATGCATCGATCCAAAGTCTACGGATGCCGTATCTCGGACTCTATTTGGTAGAGAGGATTTGGACGGAAGGCGAGACGTTCTTATCGAAGAGTCAGATAATTAGGAGGAAGAGAAGGAGATGCGCTAGATAAAGGAAGCTTCAAGGTCCAACGGTCCTAATCACAGCAAAAAGAGTCTATTCTAATAAGATGGAAGCAAGATAGGATAAATGATACTTTGTGGCTTATTCGCAATGTTGGTTGATGAATGATGACAGGGCAGAATAATGAAGTGTTCGGAAAGAGGAAAGCTTCTGGAAGGCGATGGAAGGCTTCTCGAACCTTTCCCCACATTGTCCGTGCGACAAGCGACCTGCCACTCCAAAATTGACTTGCATTATAAAAATACATGTACATGTACATGGCGAGAATGATAAGCACATGCCACGTCCACAATGCCCTTCACCAGCCCATTTGATACTATCGACTGCTTCCACGTATTCTCGGAGGATGGTAGTGAGAGTAGTGAGATTGCCAGTGCCTTGAATTGGCCGTAGAGTCCTGGCAAGAATCCTTCCTGGCTGCCTGCATATCTTGAAACTGGCTTTTAGCAAGTAAACATGGTCATGCTTGCTCTACACTTGCCATAGGCTGCAGATGCATTGAAAAGAAAATGTAGCTTTGCCGATCTTATGAACAAACTTGACTTAAGTAACTTAAGTAGCCTCGTAGCGTTGAAGAGTCACAACTTGCCCATTAAATACCTACGTACTCAAAATCCCACTTACTGCCCCTCTTCTACTCATCTCACCTAGTACGAATCTCTGTTGCCCTCCTTGAACCACGCTCACGCTCCTTCCTTGCCTATTCGATTTCCTAACCACGGCAACTTCTGCATCACAATTCACAATCTCCACTGTCTCCACCTGAATTCCAACCTTTTCCCTGAATGATACCATCTATTTCATTTCACTTGCATCCTCCCATCACCCAACACTGAGCAATTTCTCCACCTCCTCTTCCTCCAAACCCCTCCCCCCCCCAAACAAACAAACAACGAAGCCACTATTCCTTTCCACGATGGCAGAATCCACCTTCCCCGGCGGCTCAGGCCCCTTTGGAGGCTTCAACTCTGGCCGCTCCCCAAGCATGGCCAACGTCCATGAAGACGAAGAATCAGACACCATCACCTCTCCCACCAACACTGCCTCTGCAGCTGCTGCCCCCCGGCTCTCCCTTTGCCAACTCATCAAATTTCTCCTTCAATGCCTCCTCCGGCCACAGTCAACCGCCCTCGGCATTCCGTCCGCCGGGCCCAGACGATCAAGGCTTCCCAAATAATTACAACATGACGCGCAGAACTTCCGTCTCCGCCGAATCCCTCACGCCTACCCACCACCAGGATAGCAACTGGAAAGCGCCTTATCACCAGAAAACCGAAGACCAGCTATCTCGCCTGCGTGCTTCCGTCAGCTCCAACTTCCTCTTCTCCCACCTCGACGACGATTCCGCCAACCTCGTCCTCGGCGCCCTGGTCGAGAAGCCAATCCCGGCCAAAGACATCAAAGTCATCACCCAAGGCGACGCAGGTGACTACTTCTACGTCGTCGAGCGCGGCGCCTTCGATATCTACGTTAACCCTGCCGGGCACGTCACCCCTGGCCCTGATGGTATGGGCCAGAAGGTCAACACGATTGGTCCTGGAGGTAGCTTTGGAGAGCTGGCGTTGATGTATAATGCGCCGCGGGCGGCGACCGTGGTGAGTACGGAGAAAGAGAGTACGCTGTGGTCGCTGGACAGAGTCACGTTTAGGCGGATCTTGATGGATAGTGCGTTTCAGAGACGGAGGATGTATGAGAGCTTTCTGGAGGAGGTGCCGTTGCTGTCAACTCTTACCCTCTACGAACGCTCGAAAATCGCGGACGCTTTGGATACGCAGAAATTTCTACTCTGGGGCTACCATTATCCGCGAAGGTGACCCTGGAGAAGCGTTTTTCATCCTCGAAAGTGGGGAGGCGGAGGTCTACAAGAGCGATAGCGGCGATACCGTTGTCAAGAGGTATAAGAAGGGCGATTATTTCGGAGAGCTGGCTCTGCTGGATGATAAGCCGAGAGCTGCTAGTGTTGTTGCTGCGAAGCATGGAGGGGAGGTCAAGGTCGCGTACTTGGGAAAACAAGGCTTTCAGAGACTGCTGGGGCCCGTGGAGGGGATCATGAGGAGAAATGATTACTCTGGGGGTGGTGGTGAGGGAAGTGCACCGGCGACGACATGAGCATTCGATGATTGGATTACAGGAGAGCGAGACGGGAGGATAATACGGGAGTAAACGTGTTAGACGGGAGGATAGAGACGATGGGTTGGATGAGTTGGCTGAGGGCACTGGCTTGCTTGCTTGCTTGCTTGCTCGCTGCCTTCTTACTATCCTTATCACCTGTTGTGTTGTGGAGCTTGTCGGAATCAGTATCGGCAGATATCTGTAAGATCGGAAGGCGGGAGGACTATGCTGTGTACATTTGCTGTAGGAGCTCTTCAATCAATCTAGCTGCAGAAACTACTTCTACTGGCTGACCACGGGAACTTGATCAGTCTGAGAAAATGAAATCGATGTGGGTAAATTTCTGCTGGGCTATCTGCAAACTTCTCTTCCCACTGTATTTCCTCGTCCTCCTCCTCCTCAGCCTACAGCAAGAGCCCTCCTTCTGATCCTGCTGACCAAAACCCATCAGACTCCAACCTCTCAACGACATCCGCCGACCCTGCATCTCTCTTTCACAAAGGCTTCATAGCCCTCCGTATACTGAACTTGTTCACGTCCGTCTTCCTCACGAGCGTTGCAGCCTCGCCCTTCCGTGTGAAATTAGAGGAGGGGGGGGCTCTCGGGAGAGTTTGCTGCAGTTGTTGATGGAGAGGACACTTCCTGTTGCCGGGCTTTGATTTGCGTAAACGCGTCGGGGTTAGGTTGTTGCGGGACGCATTGGGGGTAGAAGTCTCCGTCCTCTGTGTGGTCCCGTCTCGGTTCTGCGTCCGTGCATGAAGTGCGCGCTTGGGGGCAGGGGTTTTTGCTGCCAATGCAAGCTTGGGCGCCGCAATGGCTTCGAGCAATGGTTTCGGATTACTTGGTGACGATGGTTCCCGACCGTATTCATCATTGTTGGTCCCATGCAGCCTCTGTAATTCCTCCTTTTTCTTGGCCGCGATGGCGTTTTCTCTTGCCTGTCTACGTTCGGTTCTGGCATGACTTTCTCGAGTGCGAGCAAGCTCTTTACGAGGCCGAGCAAGTCTCTTACCATCACTCGAGCCATCTTCGGGATCAACGCCTTCAACTGCGTTTCTGTCGATGGCCTCTAGCGCTTGCTTGGGAAGATTGTCGTCCTCTTCTGCGATGCCTTATACCGACTAACCCGCTTCCTAAATTCTCTACTGATCCTTTCTCTCGAGTAGTCTCTGTCATGTCGCTCGCTGTGATTTGCGCATCGCTCTACTCTGCTCCGGAGCACCTCGAACGGTCTGTAGTTTGCCCTTACTAAATTGTCCAAGCAAGACCATATCCCGCCCTTTGCCCTGTCATCTGACTTTCCGTTTTGTTGCTCCAAAGCGGCTTGGATGCTCTTCCTTGCCTGATTAAAGGTAGCTTGAATGTGCTTGATAGCATACGCATTACTGCCTAGGTCATTCAGATCATTAGCTGGGTCTTGTAGGCACAGAAGATATGGCTTCCGTGTGTTGAACTTTTGAATCTGACGGATGCCGCTTAGTTGTGGGTAAGCTCTCTGCGCTATCCGCTCTTCCATGGACCACACTTGCTTTCCCTTGGCAAAGACACGTGGTGGATTAGCCGAAAAGCCAACTTTATACAGGTCTGCCTTGCCATAAAACTCCAGCACATGCAATAGTTGACCGGCAAGATCGTCTGGAGCGAATTTGCCGCTTGAGTGCTTCATGGCAGTGACGATCATCATGAAAATAGAATAAGAGCCAAGACCGCCCTCGAAGACTGTCGTCAGATCTCGTAGCTGAAGGCAGTACCGAAGGATGATGTACAAGGGGCGCAGCGACGGAAACTCGGATAGGTATGCAGCAGTATATTCTTGCGCAGCTTGATACGGGGCCATTGTCTGAATTTGGACGTCTAGCCCTGTAGCAACATGCTCAGACCGAATGATAGGGACACGAGCATACCGGACGAAGTCGGTATTGCTGAACTTGTTTGAGGAGCGAAAGTGCCCGTAGACCTTCCATAACGCTTTCACAGCCTTGAGCTTGTTGTCATGGTTTGAAGATTGCGCTTGAGGCACGCCAGCCTTGCTGGGTGGAAGTTTCCAACCTCCCGGAAGAACATTCTGCAGTGTCAAGCTGAAGTCGAAATCGGAGGCTGGTGTGGCCAGACCAGTGCTTCGAGATCCGAGTAAATTCAATGGCTTGATCTCTGACTCGTTCCACGCGACTGAATTGACGTCGGAGATAACGAGCTGAGAAGCCGCTTCTTCTTGTGGACTTAATTTCATGTAGGCTTCATAGGCTTTGATTTCGTTCGTCAGGCTATAATGCATATCAGCTAACGACACCCTCGGTGGCTTTCTATAACGAACCGCTCGAGGTAGTCTTCATTCGTAGTTTCCATATATGCCAGCCAGGGCCGCTGCATTGACATGATGTCCTTGAAGCCCTGCTTGATTTTCCAAGGCTGCTTGGGCCATTGTGCAACGCCAGTATACTCTAAGGGATCGGTCTTTTTGACAAAGACATTGGAGCCTGACTTTCCGTATCTTTCTTTGGCCTGCACAGAGTCTGCTGGCCACATCTGATCCGGTTCATGCTCCTTCCCTTCGTGTGTTTTCTTGACCTTGCTACCTCCATCGACACCCATACCCAGCAATGGCCGCATTATTGGTCCTGCGGGATCAATTGCGCGTGGTTTGACCTTTCGAATGACAGCTGCTCTGTTCGATGCTCGATGTGCTTCAAGTGTGGCAGCAAGGTCGTCGACAATGATGTCTTTGGCGCCCACCTCCCTTCTGGCCAGCGCCTTTCCACTGCTGTCTGGCCATGGTTCCAAGGTCTCTATGACCTGTTTGTCGCTGTAGGCCACGGGCACTGTGCCAGCACTTGAGAGACGCCGGAGATGGTAGTTGTAGAAGCACCCACGGAGCCTTGTTTGACAGCAAGACCAGACATGCAGTGCGGATCGATGCATGAGCAACGCATCTTTGGACTATGCGGACATGCTGCTGTCGGTCTGCATCAGTTGCCGTCGTCGCAGCCAAATTCCCTCGATGTGGCTAAAAGTCCGCCAAGGGTGGATTTAGTGTTTTGATATGGTGTGAGTATTAAATTATTACTAAATCAACATCTATGGATTCATAAAGATCAACGCCAAGAGGGCAAACACCCAAAAACTAACAAACCACACACAAAGAAGCAGGAGTAAAAAAGGGAGCACAAAAACAAGAGCACAAGGGAAGCTAAAGAGGGGAGGACTACTGAGAGGCGCGGACTGGGAGCACATAACGGGCTCTGAGTAGGGAGGCGCCGGGAGGCTCACATAGGCGCGACGATGGGCGACGATAGACGGGCGCCGGAGCGAGGGAGCTGGTAGCTGGCAGGCTCCGGACGAGGCAGAACAGCAGACGACGCTCCCTAAGGACTGGAATCGTTACAGAAGAGGCTGTAAAGCGGAAAGTGCTGGGTCGGCTTCAGCAGCAAGCATACTGGACAGGTTTGGCCCAAGCTCCGGCGTCACCCAAGAAGTACTGAAGCCAGGCAAGACGCTTGAACGCGTACGGAAGCGGTTCAAGTTGCAGCCAAGTAGCACGACCGTAAAAGGCAGATTAAAAAGGCAAAAAGCTAACTATAGGAAAAAAATAGCATAAAACCTAAAAGAAAAAATATCACACTCAAGGCCAACAAACTAAAAACAAAACACACAAGCCACATACAGCGGGCACCAGATTTAAACGAGGAGTCGGGGTGGAGTTATTATCTATGAAGAGGAAGGCTGCAGCAGGATATATGTCCCACCAGGCCAAGCCGCTTTGCACATGTACTAGCTGCAAATGCCTGCAAGGAAGCCCGCCCGATTCTCTGCCCTTCAAAAATGGTGGAATATGGACATAATCCCCTGCACACCATCGTATTGCAAAATTATTCGCCGCTGAGAAGCTCCTAGATTGGTCAATTGCTCAAGTGTACAATGATATTCTTGAAAGGGAAGGAGCCCGTGTTCCTTTCTTTTCAAGGTATGAGACCGCTAAGTAGTACCCGACTGCAAGAAAACAATATTTCTTCACTCCTTACATACAGTCTACCACTCATCATTCCACACCTGAACAAAGGCGTCCCGCAATAGAAATTTTCTCGTCTGAATAGTTGTCGACACTGCCAGTCGGTCGCTTGTCTACTCCGTTCAATAACCACAGACATGGTTGCACAGCGATTGGAAGAAGCAGATATATTGGCGACTTACCCATCAGCCAAGCAACGTCTTCTGCTATTCGACTATGATGGAACTCTGACGCCCATAGTTGAGAACCCTGCTGCTGCAATCCTTTCAGAGAATGCTCTTAGGTCGATCCAAACTCTCGCAACAGATCCTAGGAATGCGGTCTGGATCATCAGTGGACGCGACCAGTCTTTCCTCGAACAACTGTTCGGTCGTCTGATTGGAGTAGGCCTCGTTGCAGAACATGGATCATTTCTACGCTCGCCAGGATCTGATGGCTGGGAGAACTTGACTGCAAAAGTCGACATGAGTTGGCAAGAAGAGGTCACCAAGGTTTTCCAGAGGTACACAGATCTGACTCCTGGTTCACGCATCGAGAAGAAACGTGCAGCCGTAGTCTGGCACTTCCGTCAAGCTAGTCAGGATTATGCTACTTTGCAGGCGGCCGAGTGCAAGCAAGATCTGGAGAGCACTATCGGCACAATTTCACCCCTGGAATTCATCAATGGAAAGTGCGTGCTCGAAGCTCGCTTGAAGTCTGTCAATAAGGGACAGATAGCGCAGAGACTTGTGGACGAAATCAGGGCAGCGTCAGGGAAGCCTCCGGACTTTGTGCTCTGTTTTGGCGATGACGTTACCGATGAGGGTATGTTAGATGCCTATTCTACAGACCTTTGATCCGCTGATTGATTCTCAGACATGTTTTGTGCGCTCCGCGACTCTGGCCTATCCAAAGACACGGTATACTCCGTAACTATAGGCGAGAGTCAAAAGCTCACAGATGCCGATTGGATCCTCTCGGATCCAACTGAGGTCATTGCTACGATAAGGATGCTGAATGAGTCCGATGGATATATTGGGGGTGGAGGTACCGGGCAGAATGGCAACAGCAAGAGAGATAGCAAGGTGCTTCCGGTCCCTCGGAGCTACCTATTGGGGCCTGGACCCTAGTGGCTCAACCAAACTATGGGCGCTTGTTCCTATCAGCTTCAGGAAAGGATGGTTGTGAGCCGGGAATCCATGATATTCTACGGTGGCGGAGAACAGATCATGCGGCGGGCGCCCAATGGGCCGCACTCTTTCGACGATGATCCACTACAGAAGGATCCATTGGTACCCCTCTAGTGTGTATGTGGGGACACTCGAAATGGCTCTTCTCCATACTGATGCAGCACAGCGATGATTAAAGTGCTCCAGCGTCTGGTGTGCTCTTGCTTAAAGACCTATTTCTCCTAGTAAGATGCTTGCACGCCGTCATTTCAACAGAAAGACCGTGCCCCTGCTTTTTTGCATGCCCAATCACCAGAATCATGCCTTGAACGTGCGGCAGAGGTACACTGGATCTCTCAATCTTTCTCGTTTTTGGATACTAGGCGGAACCAAACGCTCTCAATCCAGTATTTGCGAAGGAAAATGACGCTGCCAAGCTCCGTATCTGAGAGCCAAGAGCTTGGCCATGTTCAGGCTATATGAATATCTCTCTCAATCGTTATCTACTAGGACAAACTTTCCATTTACTCCTACATTTATAAAAGCAGACCTTCCCCTCCCAAGCTTCAGCGTCTTACTTTTCGAAAACCTCCAATCACCACGTTCTTCCGACATCGCAAAGATGAAATTGATCTACTTTTTTCTCCCTCTTGTCTCTTTGGCGCTAGCTGATAGCCAGATCAAATGCCCATGCAGCAAACAGGACTGCTCCAAGGTAGCAGATGTAAGTGAAATAAACTTCTGCCCAACATCTAGTCTGACCTCTTCGAAAGTCATGTGCCTGCGAAAACAAGAACATTGTCAACAAATACTTCTGCTGCGACGCCAACACCGCACCCCCCAAAGATCTCGGTCTCAAGGTCCGTCCAAGCACTTACTACCACCTTCCACACGGTCCCACACTGACATCGTCTAGGAATGTGAAAGTGCTGAGAAGTCAACAATTCCCATAATGCCCCACGGCCCCAAGGATTGGTTGGACTCCTTTTTCTCCAGCCATTCCCAGCAAAGTACCAGCACCGCCGCGTCGACGGCCTACAAGACTTCTACTCTCACTGTTCCCTCCAGCACCAGCTCCAGTATCTCTTCCGTGCCAGTCTCTACATCGACTGCTGTTGAGACAACCACGGTTGCCCCATCGACTCTCGTCACTGTGATTACCACTACTACTACTACTACCTCATCGACTACTTCCGTAAGGAAAAATCCCTTGGCGACAGATACTGTTTAGTGTTGTAACCACGACACGCACTGCGATGGAGCTCCTACTGTGATCATGACAAAAAGTGCCCCCCTCCAATTTACGGCGTGTCGGCATCGGCAGGATGGCATTGCACGGGACTTGTACGCGAAAGCCGCATTAGATAGTGTGAACGGGACATATAAGTGAGAATTGGGGATTTTAATGGATGGAAGTTGGGAGAGGATTTCTTCTGGGAGCAAAAGGGCTGTGTGCTAGTCAGGTTAGGAACCAAATGCATTTCATGCTTATCTCTCACTTTGATTATTTGGTGATTACACATGGACCCCAAGAAGTGAAATAGATCAGCATCGTGTGCTTTGTGTCAAGAAAGGTGACGGTCGAAGGGGTATCAACCCCTAAAGCATCGACAACTTCACACTGGAGGGGAGGTCAATAACATCTTTTTCAGGAATGAAGCCCAATATCGGTGTAAGCTTTCTGAAAAGTTGCTTGCCGATTCCACTGCGGGACTCGGAAATTTCGCAAATTCTCTCTCTACTCATGACTTTTGATCCAGTCTCTTACGACAGATGTGGGGCATTTAGAGTACGTAATGTCGCGGTAATAGCTCTGCTTACTCCACTACCGCAGAAGCAAGAGAGAAACTTAGGGTACGTACATTTCGGAAGAAGTCCTTGCTGTTTGATAGCGAACTAGGGAAGCAGGAAGCCCCTTTACTCCTCCGGAACCGTCGTTACTTAGGTGAAATGGCATGTTCCGGCTGCGAAATCTACTCTTCAACTGTGTCTAATATTATCAGGCCTTTACCCAAAAAGAACGACAGTGGCTCCGTAATCTGCGCAGGAATGCAAAATGTTGGGCCTGGAAAAGGATATAGAATGAGGGAAGAACACAGTGACTGTGTGTGCGCTTGCTACGCTGGGATCCAGTCATAACGATGCGCTTTTTTGCTCTTCTTCTCCGGCTGTTCGCCATCTACACCCACGGATCGAACCGGTGCGCGCCGAGCAGGTCCCTCTCAGCTTCCACACAAACTGCGTCGTTAACCTCGTCCCGCAGGAATTCTTCTGGAAAGAAGACGTGGAGAAAGAATCGAGAGGAGTGTTATACATCAAGCATTAAGAGCACTCGTCACCTCGAAACAACTGCGACAGCTCCTTGACGATATCAGACGTAGTTGGTAGAAGGTATTAGGTCCATTTCGAGTTGCCTCATGGTGCCCCGTCACTCAGACGTGCCTAGCTCGCTAAGTCCTTTCAGGTTAGCGCCTTCCGCTTACTACGCTCTTACGAAGGCTGTAAAGTCAGCATGCTAACCCGTAGAGGCTTGACATCTTCGTTGTCATCCCTCGATCATATGAAGCCAGCTCAGATAGAGATTCTGCCAATCACAGCATCTAATCCTCGTTCTCGTTCATCTCGATTCTTGAGGACTCGGACAGCTACCACTGCAACTCTTATTTGGAAGCACGCCTGCCTGTGGCATGTTTTGAAGTCAGTGACATCAGTGTTGTTCGACCCTTCACGGCCACGCGCCACAGCCAGGACCATGTGGATCTCAATGTGTGCTTCTCCTAGGTCCAGCGTCAATGGAAATGTTCGTTGAACGCATAGCTCTTTTCTGTCGGTCGATTTCGCTCGAACGGCGGACTCAAACATGGCTGCATCACATCTTGGCGTAAAAGGCCTGCCCCTCGCAGAAGCAGAGGATAATGCATTTCAGCCAGCGCATCTACATGAACCTCTCGTCCCCAAAGAATTCTGCTTGTGTTGTGGTCTGCCTGCCATTGGTATGCGTTGCCGTCATTTCACATTGTCTTTCGCGGCGGGTTGGCAAAATACATGTCAATCCGGATGATTAGTGTATTCTGCTGGCGCGCGTAAGACACCGAAGCCTTGGCAAGTGTCCCATAGGAGTACCTCGATTGCTGACAGCGGTTCCAGCATTATAGCCATCCCCTATGCTACCATTATTCTGATCTCGCGCTAGGGTCCCGGCCGCCATTCGTCCTGATAACGCATTTTTCCCATTGTCAAGGGCATCTTGGCGACCGAGGACCTCCTGAAATCTGCAACTCTCGAGCAATAAAGATCACATTCCTTCTCCTACATCGACGCACGTGTTCACCAGAGAACCATTAAAACAGAGCCGCTTTGCCCACCTTCCGAGCCCTGGTCATCCACGTTTGTAGAGGTAGCGGAAATGCAACGAGGCCATATTCTATTCGAAAGCTAAGAACGGAAAGAGAAGTGGGGTACGGCATCTCGACTGAAACTGGGAGCTTGAATCTAGATCAACCGCTGACTCGACTGAAAAGTGGTGAATCCTGAGAAATACCTTTTAGCGAGCGACTATAAAAAGGCCTAACGCATGTTGTGAATCAGGGTCAGCAGAAAGGTGTCAAGGACGATCGTGGGCGGCGTGTAGATGCCGATACTGTGAGACAGGCAGACCATCTGCAAGTGTTCATTGCGTCCAGTGCATCAGCTTCTGTATATATTTTACTTTCTTTGCTTGTCCAATCGGCTGAATATTGACAAGTTGTAGCAGGTTTGCCGGCTTGGCATCGCTTGGCCGCATGTGACCAAACCTTTATCTCCAGCTCGTACCACCACAAGCTCATCAACGTCTCGCATTTTCTCAAGACACTGTAGAGTCACCGAAGGCCTAAACACATCATCCACTGCGGTTTAACAGCCGCTGGCTTAGTCTTCCATCATGTCACGCTCCATCGTTATCAGCGAGATGTCTAACAGTGTGACCGGAACTTTCGTACTCTATGACCTCCTCTCTATCAGTACTATGTCTGGTTCCATCGAAATCACGATAGTACCCCATCCCGCTTCCTCTTCGAAAGCCCCGGCCGAGCTTCGTCTAAACACCGTCTCAGGCTCGATCAAAGTGACGATGGCGCCATTCCTCCACGACCCTTCTACCGCGATACCCAAGCGCCCCTTCAACTCTTCTCTCAAGTCTATGTCCGGCTCAATCACTGCGGCGCTTGTCCAGTAAGCCGTCTTCAGTCTGTCACTTTCTGGTTTGAGAAGAATTTGCAGTCTCCAAACAAATTTCTCTTACATTGAAAACGCGACTCATAGTTCCGGCACCATCGGTACTGAACGGACCTCAAGGAAGTTGATACTGATTGCCGAGTGACCACCATAGCAACTACAAAACCTATGTCTCCACCATGACCGGCAGTATTGCCGCTTCGCTATATCCGCTAGGTCAACCCAGCTCCAAGTCTCATGTCGACGTACGCTGCATGTCTGGCTCAACATCCATAACTCTTCATCCCTGCGTCAACTTGTCCCCAAGCCGGTCTCAGGGGAATCTCCACGGATTTTCGCGGCAGCTCCGGCGGGTTGAAGGTGCGCTTCCCTTCTACCTGGGAGGGAGAAGTGATCTCCCATTTGAACAACGGTCGGGTCCAGCACGAATGGGAGGGTTTGCGGGTCCTGAAGGACGGGCCCAGCTTCACGGCAGTGAAGGGGAGTGGAGTGGCGCAGTTGAATATTTGGGGTAGTTCTATGAATGTGGAGTTGGTGGGGGAGCGTGTGCCGGGTTTGCCGAGGGAGGGGGAGGTCAGGGGAGAAGGAGAGGGCGTGCCTGTCGTACCGGGTATGCGTGCTTTGCGGAGAGAAGTGGAGGTGCGGGAAGATGAAGAAGAAGAAGAAGACGAAGAAGAAGAAGAAGAAACCGACGACGACTGGACGATTGTCGGGGACGAGGACGGAGCCCGGGAGGTTGTCAAACGGCCTCCGCCCACTTATGAGGATGCAACGAGGACGTGATGGATGAATGTCAATGAAGCTCGTTGCTAGCTAGATCATGCATACTGCACACAGTGACCCGAAGCAAGGACACACTACCCTTCGACCGCTTGGGTAAGATAACACACACCCCCATTCACTCCAGCATGCTCTTCCTCTTCTTGCCCCCACCTCCCCCATCCTCCACCGCCGTCTTCCTCTTTCCCGAACCCCTCTTCCCCATCTCCGGCAGGCCGGCCGCCACCCTCGCACACTTACGCCTTCCATCCACCTCACTGTTCCCCAAGTCAGCAAAGCCGGTCCGCGTGTCGAAGGGGGGGCAGGTAGCGTCCGTCCTTACCGCCCGAAGAGACTCCTGGCCGACCCGAAAGACACAAAGGGCGACTCTTTGTAGTCGGTGTTGTTCACCACGAGCCAGGCTTCGTAGAACCACCAGGCGTGCTGTCGCGGATCGTCCTGGTCCCTGAAGACGGCCAGGAGGTGGCTGAGCGTCGCCGTCACTACGGGGAAATTCAAAGCGTCAGCCATCCCGATGGGGTTTTTTTCGCAACTCAATGGCGGACTTGGGGGGAGGACGGAAGGGACGTACGGAGCTGGCGGGACTCCCAGTTCCGGAAAGCGTCGCCGTAGAGGTCGGGCGGGGCTTGGGGCGTGTGGTCGGCGAGGACGGTCACGTAGCGGCGGAACGCGATGGGGTCTTGCGGTCGAGGGGGTAAGCGCTGGAGGACTGGTGCCGTTGCGGCGGGGATGGGATGACTTACCCGCGAGCATCTCGTCGAGGGTGGGTGGACCGGTGGTCGCTTGAGTTGCATCCTCCGCTTTGACCTGGGTGGCACCTTTCACTTCGGTGGCCTCCTCGGTGGTGTTCTCCATGTTGATGGTGTCCTCCTCTACTTCCTCCTTCTTCGTGGACTCCATGATGGCGCAGGATGATGAGCCTAGGCTGTGGTCGGGAGAAGAGGTTGAGGTTGGCAAGTGAGGTGGCGAAGTGAAACCTCATTTTGGATCCCATACCCCGTAATGCTCGGCGTTATGGTGGGGTCTATCTGTGTGAGGAAGTCGTCGCGCTCGCCGAGGGAAGGTTGGTGGAGTATTAAGCGCGGACGGAGAACACAAAGAAACATTGCCCGACGGAGGATCCGGATTGCCAGGCAAACTTCTGGGGATCTGAGGCTTGTCCAGTTGGTAGCGAGATGGAGGCCCGATGTTAGGATCTCTTGAAATCCTCTCAGGATGGAAGAAAAAAATCACGACGCTGATGTCGCTCCTAAAGTTTCACTGTGTCCCGGTTCAGACCAACTGGAGCGGGAGGCGTGTCTGCGGTCACAAGAATGTCGAAAGACGCTTGCGGATCCAGTGGTTATTGGTATAGAACCTTCACGCGGAAGCTGAGCAAGGTTTGCAGAAAGTAATTGGTGTAGCGTTAGAATATCAGGTATGTGATGTGTAGAACGGACGGATTAATTCTCCAAAACCTCTCCCGGGCCTCCGCATCTTCTTGACGCTCCGCCAACATCCGCTCCGCCACGGTATGAAGTTCTTGTGAAAGCTCATGCAAATGCGGTAGACGTCTCTGAAGTGAATCAAGGCCGGCCCTGTCGGACGGTCTCAACGGTTCGCCGCCGTTCTGCGCGAGTCGCTCTCGGTTGCGATACCCAGCCAACCTGCCCTCGAGTCGTCGCATCACCTCATCATGTTGGTTCAAGGCACTCCGCATAATCTCGGCGGTTGACGATGTTGGCTCTCTACCAAGCACGCTGCCGACGCGTTGTCTTTCGAGAATGTCACCTTTTTGACATAGTCCAGTCTGTTTGCTAGGACCTGGAGGAGCTCCGCTGGCCAGTAGGAGCACCTAGCTTGTTGATTTTCTCTCGGCTATAGTCAGAGAATATTTATATAGCAAAAGTCGTGCGTAGAGAGAGCTCGGATTCGTAGTAGGAGAACGCTCTCTTTCGTTTTGGTTATATATATTTTTATAGATACTCCGTAGAATACTATAAGTCTTTCTAGTAGAGGATATTAAATAAAGAGAATTCAACGTATGAAATACTAAATCTCGTATTGTAGATAAAATAATATCTTCTAACACCGCGTCTAATTCATAGAACTTTTGAAGTGTCACTATTAACTTTCGTCCTCTAGAAAAAGTCGGTGAAGACAATCACTTTATTCTGACGCTATATAGAACTCATTCATTTTCATTAAAGGTTTTCGCCCCCAAAAGTTTCGCCCTCCATAAAAAAGTGACTCTGTTCACGAAGTTTTCTCAAAAGGTTCGTCGATCTGCAAGGTAAGTCATTGTTGAAATTCTATAATTCAGGCGCGGTGTTAGAGAAGATTGAACCTGTTCGATAGATTTTCCGAACAATTGCGTTGAATCCTTTTATTTTGAACTGGAACACGGTCTGAATAGTATGATTCACAGTAACAGCCATGAAGGTCTAAGGATGTTGTGAAGGCTGACTACCTACAGGTATGTAGGTAGTGCCAAGCCACACTAGACCCACTCTTGGGAGCATGAAGGCGAAGTTAGGCAGCCTTTAAGGGGTGCAGGGGGAACAGCTTCTGGCACGTCCGGACACGGGGACTTTCAGCCAACCATTCGGCTATTGAGACTGTTTCAATAAAGGCGGACATCACCCGTGAGCCTGATTCCAGGGGGTACTCTAGATATCACATTGTACGTAAAGACCGGACACGGCCGAAAGGCCGACTGGGAACTCTAGACCTATAGAATATGGCTGGAGGGGCGTCCCCCGATGTAGGAATCACACACACACACACCTGTGAGCCTGGGCAGGAGCAAGTGTTATGGCTGGCCGTTGGACTGCTTTGGAGAAGATCGCCCGGCGCTAAGATCGGTCGGACAGTAAGGTATTCACTTGCGCCCGAGGTGGCAAAGGTAAATGATTGTCTTCGAAATTCACATCGTGCAGTTCCCATAGTATGTGTTCAGTTAATTCATGAAGCTCGAATTCACATTGTTTGGGTCTTGTGAATCCGTTGCGTGATCATGATTCTTTTTGTCCGTTTGAGATCTGACACAGGGTGGATTCTTAACACACACCGGTAGTCGGGCCGATGAGGCCTAGCGCGCCTTGGCATGGGCTTCACAGTGTATAAATACCGCAACTCTTACCACCACATTCATATTTCATTCAACACTGTTACAATATCATAGATGCTTTTGTATCGATATATTTTCCCCCTATATATCATTGTTATACTTTATTCCAGTGCTTTTTTCTCTACATTCTCTCCTACATATCACTGCCATACTTTTCCTGTGCTTTTGTGTCTATATATCCACCTCCTCCACAATATCTTTCACTGTCATATTTCATTCCGGTGCGTTCCATTATAACGGCAACGCAAATGCACAACACAGTGGTGTCTACACCGCTAAATATAAAAACATACACCAAGCACGCAGCCCCTATGCGTCAGTGAGCTTCTGCCTCGGTCGGTATTCCAGCCAGGGATCCTTGCCGGCCAGTAGTGCTCTCTCAGGCCCCAGTGGGTGCCTCAGATCAACGCCCACAACACAAACCTCCGCAACATGTACCAGCCCCTTCTACGCCATTCGAGACTCCGGAACCCGTTGATGATGTAAGTCCCACTACGAAGAAGGTAAGGAATTGGCTCATGCTGACGTGGAGTTGACAGTCGCCCAAAGGCTCACACAAGGGCGCTTCTTGCAGGCTGCGAACATCCATCGCGCAGGCCTCGGGGTTTTTACGGAGAACGAGGGCGACGGCAAAGAGAAGCTGTTTACGTTAGTGTGTATGTGGACGATATCCACATCTATGGTCCAAAGGGATCAAAACAAATATCGGAACTCAAACAAGACCTCCACAAGCGATTCGCCATGACCGATCTCGGTCCACGCTCATACTATTTGGGTATGGAAATTCAGAGAAATCGCAAGGAGAGAACCGTTCGGATCACCCAAACGACGTACCTAAAGAAGGTACTTGCACGTTTCAACATGACTGACTGTGCACCTGCGCCTACACCAATGGTAGTAGGCACTCAGGCTCTCAGCTACAGGAGGAACTAGTCGACAAGGCCAAACCAGAAGTTATTCAGGAGTACCGAATGGTGGGATCGATAATGTACCCCATGATTCAGACTCGCCCGGATATCTGTTTTGCCGTCACAATTCTTTCACGATACAATCACAACCTCAATTCGAAGCACATTGCAGCCGTCAAACGAGTCATCCGTTACCTAAAGAGAACACTAACTCATGGCATCACGTATGGGATAGCTAATGCATTGGAAGGCTACACGGATTAAACATCAGAGCATCTTGATAGGGATGCAAGCCAGAAGACGCGACACCGTGCGGGAACCCAGAGAGCTACGAGAGACGGGTCAATATCGCGAAAGCCCTGCACTAGCCTGGAGTGCTCGTTGACCTTTCAAGTTGGGACCGAGTGGTATCTTCCTAGATCCCACGTGTGCCAGGACAGCCTTTTTTGGTGGTGAAGTACAAACTTCGATGAATCTGTAGCAGTGCTAGCGTTTCGGGGCCACGAGTCCGCGAGATGGAGGTCAGGGGGGCGGCAAACACACAGAAGCGCTGTAGCTGTACCGTAGCGTGCAAGGTTTTAATGGTGGAGAGGGACATGTTGGACAGAAAGGTGCCTTAGACTTTAGGATAGTGGGAATGGAAGATTAGGACTTCAATCGATTCCGTTCAGAACATCTCGCCCTCCACGCACAAATTTTGCTGCTACATCCTCTCAACAAGTGAAGCATGTTCTGATGAAACTATCGCAAGAAAAAAATGATCAACTGCACTGTAGGAAGCTGTCACTCCTTCCCGCACCATGATCCCATCATCAACAAAACCCTCGACCTTCTCATCGTCCACGGGGGCAATCTCGTCGGCGCAGAAAGCCTTGAAGAGGGGTTGCACGCCCCAAGCCTGCGCTCGATCCAACCCTTCGCGCGCGATCTGTCGCTTGGAGCCGGCAGTCCGCGCGGTTGTGTCGCTTCCGCATGCAGGGTTTTCTGGCCTGGGGTTTTTCAAATGTTTCTTATTGGCTGGGCGAGGGTTGGGGAAAAGGGTACGGGGATGTCTCGAGCTTGGAAAGTAGAGCGGAGATGTGGGATGACGGGGTTGATAGGGCACGGCACGTGTGTGGCTCGAAGGGTGAGGTTGGGGGAGGTTGGGGTTGCGAGGGCGGTCTTTTTGGGGGGGCTTGTTTGATGCTTTTCGCAAGGTTGGTTGATGGCGTGTTTTGACGAGCTCATTAGAACATTGATAGCCACTCATCTACGTTGGGAAGAGGCATATGGTATATGGCACGTCTTCGACTCGTCCCTGACGAGGATGCTCTTCGGGGGCCTTTCCCCGGGAAACTTGCTCAGAACAATGACTGCGAGACCCTACACAGCTTTGGGTTCGACCGCTAGGAAGAAGGACAGGGGAGCTATATGGACTGGCTCCATACTGCCGATCTCGCGCAGTTTGTACTCCTGTCCGAAGCCGTATTCGCCAGCGACTCCTGGCCTTGCTTGCAGCGGTGTTCCACATGTTCAGACTTTTTTAACAATCGAGGAAGGTCTGTCCAGCGACCACAAGACCTTGGCATTCTTCAACGGCAGGTCCTCTTTCTGGACGAGACAGAGCTGAAGCGCCCGTTGTTGAGCGACCTCTACCGCCACCATTTTCCCAAACTCAGGGAATCCGAGAAAGATCAGATCCAGATGTGGTCTGCCCTGGCTCTGGCGACGTTCAACTTTGTCTACCGATGAAGCGAGTGGGCCCTTAATTTGTCGCTGAAAATCATTCCCGTGGGGATCGCAGTCGTCTTCATTGAACTTTCAAATCCTCGCCAGCATTCTTCATCAGCAGAAAAACTGTCCAAAGGAGGTGGGACCGCATGCATGAATTGAACCCGAGCCGTGGTAACCAAATGCAGGGTAACAGAAAGGATCCGCAGTGCCATGAAAATGTATGGATGGATGGCGTGAGCCATGAATTGTTTCGTCTTTCTAAACCCCCATCATCCTTCTATCGGAACCAATGAGATGCCCCTCTGGCTAAGGATTATGCAGCGTCTCATTTAGGCGCATCCAGGACCTGTGCAACGAATCCGTTTGAAAACCTAACCATCTGCTCATATGCATCGGCGAAGCCGTTCCTCTCCCCGTAGTAAGGATCGGCAACTTGTTCTCCTTTCTTTCCTCCAAAGTCCCCAAACAGCATCACCTTCGCCGACAGCTTGTCCTTGTTCAATCCGGCATGTTTGTTCTTAATCACCCGTGTCTTCAATCGCATCAGATCATGCGCATTTTCGTTATCCATTGCCAGTATGTAGTCAAAGGTATCGAAATCTGCCACTTGTATCTTGCGTGCCGAATGCTCGTAGTCCACAATGCCATTGTCCTGGAGCGTGCTCATAGTTCGTGGGTCTGGAGAGTGGCCCTCGTCTGCGAAATTTTGGAGTCAGCATCGATCCGGCAAGAAAAGGTTCCGAGTCACCCGTAGTTGTACGTACGATAGGCTCCAGTACCGCAAGAATCTATCTGACCAAGACGTTGGTCTGAAGCTGTGATGGATCGGAATACTGCTTCGGCCATGGGAGAGCGGCAGATATTGCCCAGACAGACGAAGAGGACCGAGATAGGCCGTGAAGACGCGGTAGAAGTCTTCGCAATCGTTCCATCGGCAGATACCCCGTGCTTCTTCGGGGTATGGACCATGTGATTCAATAGGGAGTCGGTTGACAGGTTGCGAAGGGCTGCCATGCTTACTCTCTCTGGATGGATTGCTTTACGTTGTAGATTTCTTCATGGTGGAGAAGTGTACTTATGAAAAGCCAGTTACACTTTCAAAGCAGATATGTTGGGAGGTTGGCTGGCGCATAGCCAACATTGTGATGGTTGAGCCTCTTGGGTAGTGGGGGATTGGTGGGATGTCTCGGATGCGGACCGAGCTCTTGGCGTGTTCCGTAAGTATTAATATCGAACGGACTACTGTAGTGTTTCGAACTTTCGTGTCGCTTGTGGCTGAGAGAATCCGTGATCGACGGCAGGGGTGGCAGGTGTCTCTATTTACGGAGAACCCTCGAACCTCCAATGTCCACCTTCACAATGATCGTTTCAACGTCCTTTCGAAACGGCAAGGCTCCATCGTTGCTGTTGCCTATTCACCAAACGCAGACATACCTACAGTGACTTGAGACGCTACAGATAATCTCCAAGTCAGACGTGGCGCGCATTGTGTTTACCCGCTTGCGAAGCAGCCTTGCCATTTGCCATTGTCCTTTGCACCGAACAATCATATACCGCTAACAAAGATCTTTTCTCGCTGCGTCATACGTGGAAGAAACGCCGGAGCCTCTTGGCTTGGTTTCATTGCCCTTTGTCACTTTCTTGTCGCCTTGTGCTCCGTCATTCCTCGGCTACTTGACCCCAGTCTTATTGTGACAGCCGCCCGACATGTCATACAATCGCCTAGGTACTCCTCTTCCATTCTACTCTCGGAATTCTTTGTTCGAATAGACTACATATGCTCGCGCGCCCACAGCTTGCTGCTCTTTTCACATACTACATACCTCCAACCCTCACACGCTGATCCTTGAAACCCAACAGACCCCTTTAATCAAAACCCAGAAGACGAAGAGTACGGCGATCACCCCATGGATCCTCGCCATGCTGGTCGGACGCCTTCTCCAGGACAGCCCCTCCATGGCTATCAGCTAGAAGACGGACCATACAGACCGCAACAGACCCCAATACAGATGCAGATGGGGCAGGGCGACAGGTTGGCGGCGCAGCCTACCTACTCTGTCCAGAACATCGGGAACTCATACAACCACAATGAGCAGTATGAAGCGCAGAATCCAGTTTCAGCTCATGACTATGGTTATGGGGGAAGCGAATATGCCATCTCTCCAGAAGACCACCACGACCAGTACTTTACGGAGCCGTATGAGCCCCACCCACAAGATCAGGCACAATACTACGATGATAATGACCATCAGCCCATATTGCAGCCCGATAACCCATACGGGCCAAACCCGCACTCCCCTGGACCTGGTCTAAAAAGCGCCTACGATGGTGTTCAACCGGGCCCAGCTCCCACCCCCGCGCCAATCAGACGATGGAAGACTGTGAAGGAAGTTCAGCTCTTCAACGGGAATCTTGTCCTCGATTGTCCTATACCACCCAAGCTGTTGAGCCAAATCCCGCATGCAGAGCCCCCCAGAAAGAGACGAGTTCACACACATGCGATACTCAGCAGCTACCTGTGACCCTTCGGAGTTCTACGACTCGAGATTTACGCTGCGGCAGCGGCTTTTTGCAAAGCCCCGACATACGGAGCTTTTCATCGTAGTCACTATGTACAACGAAGATGAATTCTTATTTGCAAGAACCATGACCGGTGTGTTCAAAAACATCGAGCACATGTGTTCACGGACGAACAGCAAGACATGGGGAAAAGAGGCCTGGAAGAAGATCGTGGTGTGCGTAGTGAGCGACGGACGTGCGAAGATAAACCCCCGGACGAGAGCTGTGCTAGCAGGTCTTGGTGTGTATCAAGATGGGATTGCCAAGCAACAAGTTAGCGGCAAGGACGTGACAGCACATATCTACGAATACACCACCCAGGTGGGTATAGAGCTGAAAGGCAAGACCGTCCAACTCAAACCTAGGGGAGCCACACCTGTGCAAATGGTATTTTGCTTGAAGGAAAAGAATCAAAAGAAAATCAACTCGCATCGATGGTTCTTCCAAGCCTTTGGTCGTGTCCTGGACCCCAACATTTGCGTTCTCTTGGATGCAGGAACGAAGCCGGGAAAGGATTCTATCTACCAACTGTGGAAAGCCTTCGATCTAGAGCCCATGTGCGCTGGCGCCTGTGGCGAAATCAAGGTCATGTTGAGTGGGGGTAAGAAACTCCTCAACCCGTTAGTCGCCACACAGAATTTTGAGTACAAAATGAGCAACATACTGGACAAGCCGCTCGAATCAGCTTTTGGGTTTATTTCTGTCTTGCCTGGGGCTTTCTCTGCGTACCGCTATGTAGCACTGCAGAATGACAAGACCGGCCAAGGCCCCCTAGAGAAATACTTCAAGGGTGAGAAGATGCACGGTGCAAATGCTGGTGTCTTCACAGCGAACATGTACCTGGCCGAAGACCGGATCTTGTGCTTTGAGCTAGTAGCGAAGCGGAATTGCCGATGGATTCTCCAATATGTCAAATCAGCTACGGGCGAAACAGATGTACCAGACGCCATGGCTGAATTCATCATGCAGCGAAGGAGATGGTTGAACGGCAGTTTCTTCGCTGCAATCTACGCCCTAGCACATTTTTACCAGATCCAACGGACGGATCACAGCTTCTTCAGAAAGATAATGTTCCTCATCGAGTTCACATACCAGACCATCAACATGATCTTCGCATGGTTCGCAATTGGCAATTTCTTCCTCGTCTTCCACATCCTTACAAACTCTCTTGGCGATAAACAACTTCTCTCCACGGCAGGCCATATTCTTGGAATCGTTTTCGAATGGGCGTACCTTGCCATCCTCCTCACTTGCTTCGTCCTGGCTCTCGGCAACCGGCCCCAGGGTTCTAACAAGCTCTACATGACTCAGGTCTATTTTTGGTGCTGCATAATGGCTTACCTGTTATTCGCCTCTGTCTTCATTACTGTTCGCTCTATCCAAATCCAAACAGCAGAGAAAGGCTTCACCGTCAAGGACCTCTTCGCCAACCAGCTTTTCTTCACACTCATCGTGTCCCTCCTCTCAACCTATATCCTCTACTTCGTCATCTCCTTCCTCTTCTTCGACCCCTGGCATCTCTTCACCTGCTTCATCCAGTACCTCCTTCTAACCCCTACCTATATTAACATCCTTAACGTCTACGCTTTCTGCAACACACACGACATCACCTGGGGCACAAAAGGCGACGACAAAGCCGAAAAACTCCCTTCCGCAAACCTCAAACCTGGCGGCAAAGTCGACGTCAATATCCCGCAAGATGATGGCGACCTGAACGCCCAATACGACGCCGAAATGCGCACTTTCGCTACAAAGGCCGCCAAAGAGGTCAAAGTCGTCAGCGAGGCGGAACACCAGGAGGACTATTACAAAGGATTCAGGAGTGCGGTTGTGCTGTGCTGGATGTTTTGTAATTTGGCGCTTGCTGCGGTGGTGTTGGGGGTCGGTGGGTTGGAGACTGTAAAGGTGGGCAAGGAGACGACGGATGGGGCGCAGAGAAGTACGATTTATATGGCCGTGGTGCTGTGGAGTGTGGCGGGGTTGTCCCTATTTAGGTTTATTGGGGCGGTGTGGTTTTTGATTGTGAGATTGGTGAGTCCTAAACCCCCCTCCTCAAAAGTGTCTTTGATGGTCATGGCTAATACGCGTGTTACAGTTCCGAGGAGTCTAGTCGGGATGGTCGTCATCGCATGTCATGACAGCATTAGTATTTGTGTTAAGAAATTCGAATTTGCATCATGTTTGCATTCAATACCCAGTGCATGTACAGCGTGGCGTTTGGAAATCAAATACAGAACCTCAGCGTGAAGTGGTCAGAATGCAAAAATGATTGTATGAAGAGAAGTGTGATTTCTGAAAAAGAAAGCCCTTTTACATTGAATGGAAAAGGGTATTATGACAATGGTGGACATGAATGCAACTTCCCGCATCGATGAGAAGGCTCTAGAAACATCACCGTTTGCAACTCAACACACGCGAATGAGCCTCGTGCTTGAACATCAACAAAGACTTTCGTAAGAGCATGGAGCAACTAGCAAAATTCATGAATGCAGGGGAGGTCAAAATCAAAAGTTTTCCCACCGTAGAACAGTCTAGAGATCGATAGCACAACGGCGGAATAAGCAATCATTGCGCCGTAGTCTATAATCACCAACTTACAGCACGAGATTCCCGCACACGGAGCAGGCTTCGCGAGACACGGAGACGGCAATACGTATTGAGAATCCGTATTGCTATCTTTGATGAGCCCGTAAGTCTACCTGACGGCCAAAAAGTCCTTATACGATAGCCCCCATGGGTCAAATAAGTGACATCCTCCCCGAACTATATCTGCCACCTCTGAGGTCTTCATGGGAATGGGGACAAGATGGGCATTTCGTCCTTGAGCGTCTGTTGCTGCGGAATCTCGACTGGGACTTGTAGCATCGAGCCGTTAATACAAACGATACCACAGCCAGTTCGCCAAGCACGTGTGTGCTAGTGTTCTTGACGGTGCATTGTTGTGTGAAGCTATGGTTTACGTATAATAAATCCATCCGAAACCGTTTTGTGAATCACTTCGATGGATAAAATATTCGCTATGTATCTAGAACCCATCGAACAGCTCTGCTATTCTATCGGCCCCATTCTGTTATATCTTCGATGGAGGTCTGTCTCCGCTAGATATATCAACGAGTACGATATATCCTCGGACCCAATCTATGAAAACCAGACTCATCAAGCACCGATGATGATCCTTTGACCATCCTCTCCCACTCCAGTCATACTTCCCGAGAGCCCCGAACCGTGATGGCGGAGAATGATGTTCAACGTCTCTAATACTTTGGGACTCACGTACGGGTTTTGCAGTGTCGGGACAGCCGAAGATTGTCCAACCCGATTCAAAGTATCTTGTCAGTTTTATAGTCCGAATTGTGACGCACGGGCATAACGATGCCGTAGGTGAGGGCAGGAGTATGCGTTAAGGGATACCGCGTTATGAAGTATGAGCGGCTGAATCGTAAGAATGTTTCAAGTCTTTCAATATTTACATGTTCAGGCTACACTTTCTCGCAATCCTTCCGCTGAGTGATTCATCCGACGAGGCTCTCTTATGAAGCGCAGGCAGTGTTGAGCCACGGAGTATCCACTTTCTCGATTGGCAATGAAACCTGATTGCGATCCTACCCCGCTGGCCGTTCGATGTCTGTGCTGCTGGTGGTTGGCTGAGATCCCACGCGGGTGACCTTTTCAATCAAGGCTAACAATGCAAATTATCCGATTAGCGTTTATATGGATCTCTGACACGAGATAAAAGAACCTTGGTTTCTTCCTTGCCACACTTGCACACTTGATTTTATCCAGAGTTCTGCCATGATGGGTGGAAAAGGGGGTTTAGGCGGGCAAGGACTGTTTTCTAAGACAGGTTTGGGGTGTCTTGTAACCTGTGTGTTTGTGAGCTGGAGTGTGTATGTAGGCGGATGTTTCCCTAAAGTATCCCGTAAACTCCAGCCGCGGACTTGTACTTCTTACGCTTTTTTATGAGGGTACGTAGAGTTTCTCGCGCTATCACTCATCAATATGGTCTTAGTAGTATAGAGGAGAATCCGGCTTTGGCCTCGGCGGTGTAGGAGGATTTGGCTTTGGTCCCGATGTTCGGAGAAGAGGATCTGACCTTGGTTCTGGTGGTCTGAGAGGGTTTGTCCTGGGATTCAGTATCATGAAAGGGATCAGCTATGCGCTCGCCGCCCGCAAGATCAATAGCACTTGAGTGTCCATCAAGGAATGTAACGGTCATGAAATCATCCAGTCTAGATTGTCCCACCAGACATAGGCATCGTAACTCGTCATACAGATATCAAGCGTTGCGCTCGCCTTCTCTTCCCTCTCCCAGTCTTATTCGTCCCTCTCCAGCCCTTCGCTCTTCCAACCTATCCTGCGCTTTGAAACTCCAATGGCAAAGCATCCCCGCTAAAAACCCCACAGCATCATTCTTGAATGCCAATATCCCCGCCACAGTCATGAACATAACCGCCCACCGCCTCTTCCTTTCCTCCTCCGTCAATTCCCCTCCTTTCCCACCATCTTCCCCTAGGTTACTCAAATCCCTAGATCGAGCCGTATTCAAACTCTCTCCGACACCCACTAGCTCTAGTCCCGCTGCAATCACTAGAACGCATAGAAGGACATTGGGGAAACCGTTGAAAATTGCCAAAGCGACCTTACTGGCGAAGAGGCCGAGGAGGAGTTTGAGCAAACCGAGGAATATGATGCTAGCGCCTGAGCGAGCTCCGAAGCGGTATTCTACGCACATTTCGGGGTCAGTATTGTTTCTTCAAGATAGATAATTGAGTTGCAAGACAGGTCTTGGGAGCAGAACAGGTCAATTTGCTCCCGAAATAAGACTCGAGACTCAATTTCAGTATCAAATAGGAAGGATCTTCTCCGAAATGTACGTACGGGCCGCGAGTCCACCGGAGCCGTGGCAGACGGGCATGGCGCCGAACCAGCAGCCGACGAGGTTGATGGCCATGACGCTGAGGCCTAAGCTCGTCGTCGAGGGCGTTCGCACATTTGGTAGGATGTCTTGAGCCAAGAACGCAACCGCTATGACGGAGTTGAGCGTCGTGAGAGGCAGCTGGCCGATGCCGGCTTCTAAAGTGCCCTTCCCAAACTCTCGTGGTGACGGGACGAATGTGTGCGGGTGCCAAGTACTGAAGTCGGGTCGGAAATCTTCGCCCCATCCCGGGTAGAGCCAATCGGTGCTGATGACGGATATGATGCCGACGAGGAGGATTAAGAGGGCATAGGGGACGCGACGGAATGTTGAGCTGGCCAGCAAGCCTAAGAAGGCGAGGATAAGGACGAGAGGGTTGGTGCCGAAGGCGGTCGAAATGGGGGTAGAGATTCCCAGCGGAGATGATCAGGGATAGACCGGTACCAACTTGTATCCCCTTGATCACTGGGATAGGTATTCTTTCGGTAAACCAATGTATCAGTCCCGTAATACTCAAGAATCCTATAGCCGCGGCAACGAAGATGCCCGCACTCGCTATCTCGGATTTGCTGAAACCCTGTGCCAAAGCTACGGCTGCGATCGCTTTCATGGGCTGCACGGGCAAGGGAATGCCGAAGGCGAGGCCAGTCAGAATGTTGGCCAGTCCGCTAAAGACGAGCGTGCTGGAGAGGGAGATGGCCCCAATTTGCGTCAGAGCGATGAGGATGGGGAGAAGAGTGCCGATGTCGCCGAAAGAGCCGGAGATCTCGGCGAGAGGCTGGTTGTAGAAGGTTTCTATGTTGTATCTCTGGATTTGGAAGAAGTCTGCCTGTGCTTTTCTGGAGGACTCTCTCAGGGTTGTTAGGAGTTGGGATCGCCGTGAGGGCGCTGATACTGGGGCGTCTGTGCTAGACATGATTTCGTGGTTTGTGTTGTCCACCGGAAGCTGATGACGGACGATGGGCATCCTAGAGATGCTCCACTCGAAGGTGGAACAACTGATGCCATCGTCCAATTGCCCACGACGACCATGTGGCAGTGTGGGTGCCGCGGATGTGGCTTGGGGCGATTCTAGTGGCTAACGCGCTTGACGCGCTAAGATGGTCCTTCTGTGTGGTTTCATGATATCTGCTTGAGCTCTGTCAGTCGAAGCTCTGCCATCTCCGCAATGAGTCTCTCAAATCCACGGAGGCGGCTGCTCCGGTCAGGTGCGTGCTCGTTTCCAAGGGCTTCCATTTCTCTCAATGTCACTGACCGCTTTCTCAAAACAGCCACCTCCCTCCTCCCCCATTCCCACTTCCACCCTCTCCTCGCCTGTCCTCATCTCAACCAGCGGCGAACCGCCATTACAGACTTCCTCAAGAATCCCTTCAGGTCTCGCCGAAGACGCAAAATCCTCGATCTTTCCTCCCCAGAGGTCCTCAACGCAAACGAAATTCAAAAAGCCAAGGAAGAAAAAGAGCGCTCCAAGCTCCCCAAAACTGGCGGTCTAGCACCCGGTTCTATCCTCGATACTCTTTCGCCGACCACCGGTCCACGGATTGAAGACACAGGCGTCATCCGCGACCCGGAGAACATGGCAGCGGTGCTCGACCCGACGCCCCGAGCTCGGGAAAAATGGCAGCGGAGGATGGTGATTCGCGAGATCCGGGGCCGGGGACGGATGAGTAAGACGGTGAAGCTGGCGAGGACGGAGCGGAGCCATCTGAGCAAGAGCGAGTTCTTCAAGACGAGCGTGAAGAAGCTGTTCCCGCTCGCGAACCAGATTGCGGGGAAACCGTTGAGCGAGGCGATGGTGCAGATGCGCTTCAGTAAGAAGAAGGCCGCGCAGGATGTCCTGAGGCATTTGGAGTATGCGAGGGATCAGGCGGTCGTGATGAGGGGGATGGGGTTGGGGAAGGTGCAGGCTCAGGCCCAGCAGGCGGAGGGGGGGAGGTCGTGGATGGTCGGGAGGCGGAGGGGGGCAAGAATCGGCGCGGGAAGAAGAGAGGTTGCTGGTGGAAGATAAGAAGGGCAAGAAGAGGGTCGTTACCGACCGCACGGCTATGTATGTCGACCAGGCCTGGGTTGGAAGGGGGGGCCTCTGGGTTTGGAGTAGAGTATAGGGCCAGGGGCACTTCGAACAGGTTGAGGTTGCCTTATACCAGTAAGTCGGCCTTGTAACGAAGGGCCCGTGTGGTGACGATGCTTGCTGACGATGATCCAGGTATATCCGTGGTGCTGAAGGAGGAGGCGACGCGGATACGGCAAGCGGAGGACAGGGAGCTGAAGAGGCAGAAGAAGAAGGTCTGGGTACCATTGCCTGATAGACCCGTTACGGCGCAGAGGCAATATCCTTTGTGGTAATTTCAGATGTGTGTGTATACGTAGGGTACCTTGTCGGCGAGGGAACTGCTACCTCTGGCTGTACTCTTGGATCTGTCACATATTGACGGCTCCGATAATGTAGACCCTGCCATTTGTTTAGGGTATATTCCACAAGTAATCCCTTGCCATAACCATCGATCCCTGACCACTACCCAGTCTTCTTGTCCTTTGTCGGAGTCGTATTTCCCAAAAACCCGACCTACGCTTCCCCGGCTGTGGGTCGTTACAAACGCAAACATGGGGACATTGGTGTTTTGCTACTCCTACACGTATTATTATTTTGGCCACGTGCCTACGATGCTTGGCTACAAACCTCGGCAATACATCAATCAGAGACGACAACGCTTCAGGTTTCACCGGTCAGTGTGCAACGGACGGTATGATTGGGAATCGCTTGTTCGATAGATAACTATCACGAGTCTATGCTAATGAGGGTCGAGCACACTTCACATCACTGATCTCCGCCGTTTCGTGTGTATCATCGCTCAAGCTGTTGCAGCACAAGAAAAAGAAGGAACCCCCCCCTTTTTGCTCCGTCGCTATGCCCCCTTCGCTATGCTGATCTGATCTGAGAATCGACCTCCACCCTCCTCCATGTCTATTCCCCAGACACATCCGCTCCAGCAGTTTCAGCTCACTCCGTGCCCTTCTCCTCCTCCTCCTCCATGAATGTGGTATCCTCGCCTTCGGATGCGTGCTTCTCGTAGCCGCGTGTGAGACGGCGACGCTTGGTGGGAAGCGCTTTGGACGTGAAGGTCGGTGGGGTCTCGGTGGTGGTGATGGTGAACGACGTGCGCTTGGTGGGGAGCGCTTTAGAGGTGGGGGTCACGGCGGTGGTGTCAAGCGGATTGCGCTTGTGGTGGGCGGTGTCGTTGGTCGCAATGTCTGCAGCGGGAGTCTTGCGCTTTTTGGTGGCAGAGGCGTCGGAGGCGCTGTCGGTGTCAGGCGACTTGTCCTTTGCCGGTCCTGTGCCGGAGCGCTTGGGGGACGGGGAGGATCCGGCCTTCTTCGCGGCCATGTCCTTGATGAATTGGATGTTGGCACGGGTCTTGCGATTGAACGCGGGTTGGTCCAGTGTGATCTTCTTGTAGCCGATCTCGCCCTTCTTGGCGGCGGGCTTCTTGACCTCTTTGGTTTTCTGAACGGCAGGCAGGAACTCGACACCAGGGAACGTCTTCAACTTCTTGTCGCGGTTGCGGTACTCTGCTTCGTTGAACTTGCGTTCAATGACGTTGAGAACTTCCCGTACTCGAGCGAAGCTCTTGCTTGAGCCAAGGTATGGGACTAAGAATCGCTCCCAGCACGAGGAGATGTAGTTGGTATAGGTAACACCATTCTTGTTCTCCTTAGCTAGAGCATCCTGCTCAGTTTTACGCAAAGCGATGGTCCAGTTGCGAACATGGCCCCAGTCTTCAAACGTCTGCAGCTGATTCCTAACTAGACCCAGTTGGATAGTATGCCAGTTTTCGGCATCTTCGGCACGGTATTTGAATCTCTGGTAATGCTTGCGGCACCAAAAAATCCAGAGATCATTTGGCAGGTCTCGAGTGCAAGCTTTGTTACGACCAAAGATGTGTGAAACAACCTTTCGATGATCACCAGAGTTAGCAACGCATGTTGAGACTGCCACACATTTCGTGTCAATGGGTTGAGGTGCATCGTTGTCTGTGTCTGTGCCATCTGCGCCATCGATCTGTATACAATTAGCACTGACACTGATGGTGGAATAAAGACCAATTGCAGTACTGACCTGAGCTCCATCACCAATGCTACCATCAGCATCGATGTTGTCGTCAATATCTGCAATTGCTGAGTCTTCCATTTCAGAGTCATCCTGTTGCGGATTGTTAACACCAACATTGTACCTGCCATGACAACTAAAAGTGGTACTGACTTGAATGTCATCATCGACGATAACGTTCGCGCCAGTGCTGTCGGTTCCTGAAGTCTCCATGCCATCACGCTGTGCAATGGTGCCTTGACCCTGACTTGTGATGACAATGGCCGTGCCACTGGCCTGTGCATCATCATCAAAGCCGGTGGTAGCACCGATGCTGTCTGTCGTAGCTACATCTCCATCCTGTATGATGTTAGCCTAAGCTGGATGCTGACAGTGCTTAACGCAGGCTAGATTACTGACTTTCGTGGAGTGATCGATCTCGATTCTATCATGAACGCTATTAACGTTCTTCATGGCAAAACCAGCAATTGGCTTCCAGGGAGCCATAAGGCCCACGTAGTTGTCAGGCGTAGGAGACGACATGGCAGTAGATGTGGAAGAGAAGGGGAAAGATCTTGATGGTCAATAAAGAAACCGACAAGGAAGTCGGATGGTATTCTGTCAATGGTATACTTAAAAAGGTTGTCACAGTCAGAAGCTGCAATGGAGAAGTTGAATGTTGAATGTCGCGGTGGTATGGAAAAGTGCGTTGCGCTTGGGGAGAGATGAGGGTTTTTATACTTGAGAGGTCATCAGGTGTTAAGAGCTAGCCCCCACGATGGGAGACGTTTTGGAATTTCCAGTGTTGTGTCCCCTTCTCCGCAGCCCAATTTCCCCTCCCACCATAGCCTCAGCACCGTCACTTTACACAAAGAACTTCTGCGCCAAGACTTTTCGCTAGGGAGGCAAAAGCAATACCCCCACCCCGTGTAAGAGATTACGACGAATGACATGGTTCACTTGAACCGAATGAGGCAAGTATAGTAGGCAGGAAATTTCTCCACAGAGAAGTGAAGAAAGTTGACAGCAGGCCAGTCGGAGCGGAGACATGGCAAGCTCCTTTCGGTATGTCCTGCCAGAAGCGTACAATCTTCACTTTCACTCTCATCTCACGGCCACGTACTCAGATGTGAACGCCCGCAACAACATGACTGCATTCCCAGCGACAAAGCAATTGGAATCTCGAAGCCAATCAGACTGTAAAGAACCAGGCAGCCATGGCTAACGTACATAGATCTGCTGAGAATCTTCGAGTTGGATCTCGAGCTTGTTCGCATCATACGTAGGGTAGTGTTAACAGGAAGCAGTGCCTCAGTCCAATATCACGCTTTACCTGCAATATAGACGTCGACAAGGTGGCGCGCTATAGAGTATGGAATTGGCATGCTGAGCAACGAATTGTCAAGCGGATGTCAAAACCCTTGGGCAAGGTTTCTCAGCAGGATCGTCGATGCCGTGGGATGAGATTGGCGCCATCTGAGGTTACATGGATGACAACAAGGAGTAGACATGATGTGATGATGTGATCAGGGCTAGTACGGCAATACAAACAGTATGAGGACAAGATTATCAGACGCCCACTCGGTATCCATTAGTCCAATCGCCTTCCCTTGCAAATGAGCATGTCTGATGTTGACTTCGCTTCGCTTCTGTATGGCGAGATCACGTGCGCGGTTAGCTATTCCTTTCATGGCTAGATTCGATTCGACTTGTCCCTGTGGACAATGGAAGCCGAGAAGCCGACGGGAGGGCGGATGGACGGCTTTTTAGAATTCAGGAAAGAATTGTGTTTCATCCGGCGCATTGACTAAGCCTTGTTCATCCGTTGCGCATTCCTAAAGTACTTTACCTTACTTTATGGGAGTAATTCCAGTCCAGCCATCGATGGATAATAGTAGTAGACAATAATGAGACAACGGGATAATGGGAATCGAAGCACAGACGAGGCATGCTTGCTTGCCATGTTTGCTGTCTTGGCCATGTCTTGGCGAAATAGTACAAAGTCCAACCATCCTGTATGGGAATGGGCCTCTCCTCTCTCTCTTCCTTATTTCACTATCTCTTCTTTCCTAACTACGGTACCTTGTATTTCCTCAGAGTCTAGGCTGAATCGCGTGATTTTGTCTCAATGAAAAGAATTCACGACAGCGTCTCAAAGCACTCGCCTTCAATAATGACCAGTCCACCTTCTTCTTCCAGCACAGGAGGCGAAGCACTCCTGTGCTCCGCATGTCAAGGTACCCCTCCAAGACGCTTAATTCTCGCCCGCTGTGCTTACGAGTGACCTGTAGCTACTTTAAGCCTCACTATACCTCTTTCAAAACGGTGTAAATTCATTACGGCCGGAAAAGCGGACGGACTTCCGTTGTTCTGGACCGAGCTTCACACACCTATTTCTCCAGTTGCCTTCTGAGTCATACTGTTCTTTCAGGCTCGAAACTCCAGTCATACCCTTTATGCTATAGCATTCTATCGTCAACCAGCTCTCAGCAGCTTTTTCTTCCACACCATGTGCACGAGGAATGTGTCTGTGCAACATCTTTTGACCTCCACTGAAACCTGCGGCTCACACATTTTGGACGAGAAATGGACGCAAGAAGGGGTTCAGCACGCAGTTCCTAGTCACCTAGAGGGGGACGATGTCGATGAAGCGGCCAACAAGACAGCCAACTCTCCCATCCACTGCCAACCACATGGGCTAGGATTCACTATAATGGCCAGCTGCAGCCTCTCTCTGGTCCTCGTCCACGGAGCTTGCTAGACAGCTCAGATTATGTGGCCACTAGCTAAGCCCTTGCATATGGTGGCCACGATGTGAAAGTACTAGCTCTGCCGTCTCTGAGCATTATTCCTACCGTTCCGATTCATCTAACGACGTTTCAGCTGCCCGCACATTGATCATGGCCGAGGTAGCTAAGGATAAAGACGTCGTCGTGATCATACACTCTGATAGGGTGGATGTAGGCTACGAGGCGTTGAAGGGTGTCCAAATCAAGAAGCCATCCAGATACCACAGTCCGTCGGGCGTGAGTGCAGAGGGTGTGGTGAACTTAATCATCATCGCTGGAATGGTGCTGCCAGTAGCAACAGTGGCTGTGACTTAATGGTCTGCGATGGGAAAGGACTGGAAGGAAGATGCCGGAGGGAATCCTTGAGGTAACGGGACCTAATAACTTGGGAGACGACGTCAGAAATCACCGTGCATGGAATTTCATGATGTGTTCTAATTTCCTCTCTCAATATCAAGGCAAAAATATGCTAACTTTCCACCTCTGCAAGAATAACTTCATCACAATTCCTGACGGCCGCCACCGCCTCTATTACGATCTACCTCAACCCGAAGCCGCCGAGCTCGCTCAAACTCTTGTAAGCAATAACAAAATCGGGCCCTCTCCCCTTTTCCTTCTCGTTGGCCGCCAGTCTGACAATCGAAACCAACAGTGCCCTAAGCTCTCCCTCTCACCCACCCTGCGTACAATCACATCCCATCCTCAAATCTCCTCTGCACCCTCTACAACGCCCTCCCACTTAAGGCTCAAAAGTGCATGGTCGATAACGCTGGCATCAAAGATGTTGGACGTGACGAGAATGACCATGCGCCGTTCGCGGATCTGGAGAAGAGTGGTGAGGTCGCTAGATTGGTCCAAGACAAGATCGATAAGGCTTTTGGCGGACGTGTGAAGAGGATACCGAAGCTTTGAAGCATGGGGAAGATCTGCGATGGTATCCGCGTTCGCTGGAGAGGGAGGGGGCGTAGGCCAAGGTGGACGGGGTGGTCCAGGGGGTGGTCTTGGTCTGGGAGGCATGCTTGCGTTCAACTCCGGTGAGTTTGATGCGTGCGCTCGGGTGGATGGCGATGCAAGATGGTCAGTGTTTTCTCTTCTGGCATGCAGTGAACTTGGTGAGAGATAATTCTGGCGTAAGAGGACCCGGTGTACTTATAGTGACAGGTCGCAGCATGCTCCACTTCTCACACCGCACGGTGTCCATGACGCATGAGCGATAGTGCACAACGCCACTGCTATCAGTTGAGGAAAAAACTTGATGAAATGGCGGCGAACGGCAACGGCAGGGAAGGAACGGCAGCGGCGCAAACACATTGACGACGAGAACACTCCAACGGGGACTCGAATGATTTGAGGCTTTGAGCATGTCCGATGCTCAAGTGCCCGACGTTCTCGTCGCCAACGCTCGTGTCATTATTGTGTCCCCCGGATGCCAAGATCCGGCATGTCCTTGGCCCGCTCATTTAAGTCAATCTTGGCTCTCGATTCACGCCGCTGCCGCTCTATACTTTCCTCGTATTCGGTCGCATGCATTGACTTTGCGGGAACCACGAATAGTAGCGCAAGCTATCGAACGACGCATGCAGGGACGAGCGCAAAAGTGCGATTTAGAGACTGATATGAAGAAGAAGTCGGTCAGAATAGGAAGTTGTGAGGCTGGCTGCACAACGATCGCCGAGGATAAAGAAGTAAGACCTACTGTTGTAGATGATCTGCGCGATGGTCATCAGCTTGTATGTCAGTGGCACATTGTACTGTTGAATGTGCAAAAAAAGGGGGCATGAGGTCCACGAGTATCGGCGCCAGTCCAAAACAGTCCCGATCAACGCTCTTTGAGCAGCCTCAAGAGTTGTTACGTGTCTGTCAGAATCGGCAGGGTCGAGTTTATAACCTCTACCCTAGAAATCATTTCCGTCGCCTAACTCGGTGGCTGTCACTGAGAAAGTGTCATGCGTCCGAAAAGCCACCTGTACCATCCCGTAGGATCCAACGGGGAATCGAGCCCCTTGCATATCCGATGCAGTAGCCCGGAAGGCAAATTTCTGGCGCCACGAAGATAAAAGCGTGACGGCCTGATCTCCGATGCGAATTCACGAGAACCTTCTGCAGGCGCACGTCATATGCCTTGGCTGCAGTTGCAAGGTTGCAGACATGACGGACCTAAGCCAGTAGTGACGAAGAAAAGAGAGCAGCCGGTATCGGCTGCCTTGATACGGCATGGTTTCCACACGTATAAGGTTTTCCGGATCAGCTTCCCCCTGTTGACACTTGGATCCGAGGTGGCGTTCTGGAAAATTACCCCGGAGCCAGCTTCGAGATACTAAACCCGACCAAGATTCCAACGTGCCCTGTATCGAATAATAGATAGGGAAGCGAGCTTGAGTGCCCGGAGCTTTACTCTAAATAAGTGCCGAACGTACGGAATCTCCAAACTCTAGCGGCGAACACCCCGAGCGAGCGAGCGCCTGGCGACCGTTCCAAACATGTAGTAAGGCTTCCAGGCGAACTCGGACGGACTCCGTCGGCAGCACTGCCTCGTGGAATTTCATTCGAGGCATACCTAGCCTGGATAGAGACTGCGATTCAACTTCCGGTTAGGATATCTGGATGTTTGGGATAACAAGAGCTCCCGCATGAGATCTTCACAGGCTGTCAGTTAGCATCCATCCGCGTCGTGTAGCATGAGTGCTGTTATATCCCCGTAGTGATACACTAGCTGGAGCGTGAAAAGACATGCAGGGATTTGCAATGCGGGTCCGACGACGCGTCTTCTTGGTTCGGGGGTCTCGGCCTTATCTCTTGTCTTGTCTTGTCTTGTCTTGGGGAACTTCAGTGCATTCTACCTGGTGGAAATGTGATTCCCCAGCAAGAATCGGGGTTCGTAGTTATCATTGCGCCGTGAAACTTGTACCATACATTAGGAAGTTAGTCGCACCGCACCACACGCGATTTAAGCCAAAGCCGCGCACATGCTTCCCCATTGCTGAGATAATCAGCACTCAGCCTGCGTGCTGTCGATATTGACAACAGGTTCCCGAATGACCGAAGAGGGTTCCAGACTCCAGCTGAGGTTTTAATTTTAGAGCCTCCCAGCGACACTCATGTTGCGGCGTGGAAGGTGCGTACAAACTGGCAAACAGTCCGAATCCATAGCCCACACGCAAGATCCGTCACAGCTTGTGGCCGTTCAGACAAGAGATGGATGAGCACGACGCGAACACGGAGCTGGAGTCTGATACGAGAAGCTTTTGCAACGGAGTACGTATGATACATATCGGACCGTGATTTGTTGGCACGGCGTCGAAAGGTGTATATGGAGGGTAGAATTACGTGGCAGGGTTGGGGGCTATGGGGTTCGAATGCTGGGGTGGGGGATGGAGGGATTGCGGAGGGTTGGTCGCTAGTTGTTGAATGAAGAGGATGAGGGATGGAAGAATGAATGAATGAATGAATGAATGAATGAATGAATGAATGAAGAATGAAGAAGAAGAAGAAGAGAAGAGTGCTGACAGCAGCGACAGACCTACCAGGTAAGCGTGGATAACGTCATTTCTTGAAGGTACAACGGGTGAGTGAGTGAGAGCCCTTCCTTGCGACATCTGTCAATCGAGGTGGATGATTTCAACACCTAGTAACAGAGTCGCGACTTTTTGGTCTGGACAATGCCCTGGGATGTGGAAGGGGAGGGATGCCCTCTTGCTGCAAGAGCAGAGGAGGGAGGGGGGTTTTGGAGGGATTTTGCGCGCTGTTGTGGGCTGTGTCGACTTCAATACCCCTTGGTGCGGAATGGTCAATCGGAGACTTTTGGATTCTGTCTTGTTGTTGATGAGCCGTGGGAGGGGGACGAGGGGGGAAACGAGCTGTATGGTTTTCTAGATGGTGTTTGGGGACATTCTTGGTTGGTGGACAGAGGTGTGGCTATGTCGGCTTGGGATCGGATTGGTGAAATTGTGTGAGAGGGATTGAGGGATGGAAATGGATGGTTTAATGCGGAAACCCTGATACACTGTCTAAAGCGTAGCGCTCCGTTATATACTTGACGCCCTCGGGATGAGGATGGTGTTTCGCTACTTTTGAATGGTGGACGGGATATGCATTTTCTTCGCGCTCTGTCAACAGAAACACTTCTTATTTGCCCGAGAAGCCTAGTCGTTTCTTTACATCTCGGCTATCCTGCCGCATCGGTGACCCTGTGAGCCTATTCAGTGGTTCCTGATTGGATCATAAGCATTGAGGATGGACTGTCTTTTCTTTCTCTTCCAAAATCGGAGCCATGACCCCTCATCGGTGAAAAAGCTGCCTCGAGGGCAGAAGAAGAGAGAACTAGTCACGGTCCAAATTAAAGGATCCTGAGGGTGGCATACTGAGCACGGACGCGTTGCCGAAACACGTAACATGTCGCTGCACAAACATAGCGATGACGGGCTGTTGTTCTCACAGGTTTGCATAGCGCTTGCGCGACGCATCAGGCAGCACAGGAGGCAAGATGATGCCTAGCAGAACCCATCACGTCGTTGAGAAAAATGCCGAGCCGGTGCAGATACTCCCACGCTTCAGAGTTTTCCAGTGTCAGTGTCAGTGTCTTCTGTTCAGGTCTGGTATCTCAGAATAGAAGGTCTGTTTGGCTTTATCTCCGTGGCATACTATATTCTCAAAGAGAACTTTGGAGAATGAGTGCATTGAGACCCGGTATAGATGAGCCGGAAGCCCACTGGTTGTCGTCTTTGAAATTCAGTTTTTGAAGTTCATCGGCTTCATCCAGTGCAACTGTCCTGAGTCCAGCCATGATGAGCGTTGGATGAGAAGTGGTGTTTTGGCAACCGTGATGGAACAGTTTACACCGATAGAGGGTGGGACAAGGGCGACGAGAAAGATGATGGAGAACAAGAAGGAGGTAGAGCTGAGCGTCAGGTATTGAGATTTTCGCTGTCATGAGATCTGGTGGCAAAGATGATGAGCTGGCGCGCATTGACTGGTTCGGAATGAAGTAGAGATTTAGGCAAGCAAAACCTTATCCGCAAAGTCATCCCGTCATTAGATCTTGTGACTCTTCGCAGGTCTCACGCTCTCATTTCCAGTTGCGTAGTTAAAAAGGCATTTAAGCAGATAGTGCATGTAGCCAGTGTCTTGGTAGTTGCCGCCCATGTTCGAAGCCGAAGTGGACCGAGCTTCCTCAATGCAGAGTTTTGAAGAGGCAGATGTAATGGGAGAGTTCTCAGCCCTAAAACCATTTGGACACGATGACTTCTTCAGGATCGTGGACGTTTTGAAAACAGGAAAAATCCTGGAAACCGAAGTGGAAGTGCTAAGGCTCAGATCAGGTACCTGCCAAACTAACCCTTACAGAAGTCTTGCTAATAACAACTTTGAGCAAATTCACCGGACGCGCCACTTTCTCTGGACCAGTCTCCTATCATTGGAAAAGCCGTCATCAGCACGTCTTTCTCAAAACACTGGGAAGCAACCATAGAGCTGGTGCAAGCGAACACAAATGACCGCTTTCTCAACATGCAGATCTTTGCTGGACTGTTGAGGTGCGTTAGTAAAATTTGTATAGAGAGGCTCATTGGACACCTTGTGATTGTGGACATCGAGGATGTATCACAGAAGTGGTACCACGATTTCTTCAGGCTTGCAGGGTTCTATCGGTGTTGCTGTCAGAGCTCGGCTGGCAGCACACCGGAGCTTGAGGCTCGGAACTGTCTAGCTTCGAGACAGTCGCCGGACAGAAAATTTTCAACCGTGTACGAAAGTATCAGGACCTGGCTTGCAGAAGGCCGATGCACAAGGGCCTTACTGGACTCCGTCGCGTCCGGCGAAGCGGTGGAGGTGGAGCGCAGATATTTTCACGATCTTCTTGCAGAGCTCGGGAAAGAGAGACGTTCTCAAAGCGCACAGATGCGCGGGGAATTCATAGCCAGGGACCAAACGCGCAGCCAAAGACCGTGGCAAAAGTCGGTTGGGAGGCCGGTAGCACCAAGGAGCGAAGCCTTGAAGCCTGGGACCAAGACTTTATCGTCGAGAAAGCACTGGTGTAGCCAGGATACGGTCGTGAAGAGTGTGGGGGGCCCTGCACTTGGAGTTAGGGAAAAGCGTAAGCGGAGTCAGAACACTCAGCAAGAAGGCTTTTGGCGTACAAGAAAGGCACACAAAGCTGTACAAGTGTTCTCGACAATGAATAGATTTCCGGATCATGAGTGTTTCCTGCTTGCTTGATACTCTGCTTGGACCGAACGTATACACCAACGGCCAAGCAAATTGACATGAAGCCAATGATTGTGTGGTCACTGCAAGAACGAGCCCCAGATCCTGCGTCTTTTCAAGTGAGGTCGATCCACTCGGCGGCACCTCTTGTGGATCGAAATGCTTTCTGAGCAGTCAGCCACTCGAAGCATGATGAGGAACTCGGTCTCTTAACCAGGTCCAGTTTGACTGACTTCCACGCCAGGGTTGTAGATAGCAATGCTGACGTCTAGAGCCAATTAGCTCTTTTTGAACGAACAGTGAAAACGCCCTGTCCCTATACCTTCGAAGCGGTGGGAAAAACAAGCTTCGAATACGAGCGATGGATCTTCAAGGTCGGAGAGAGAATTGCAGACCCGAATGACGAACGAAATTAATATGACAGAATGCAAATTTCCACCGAGGCTTCGAACCTAGAGGCATTGGCCAGTCCTTAAGATTGTGAGCTATGAAACAACTGCTTTTCACTTGGCCCAAGTCAAGAAAGGAAGCGCAGGCCCGATGCATGAACCCGATGACTGTACCTGAAGGTCAATCCCCATGAATGCTTGAAGCCACCGCCACTGGCCAGTATCTGCACCTTCACCTCGTGACAAAACTTCTTCTTGCATTGTCAAATCGAAGGGTTGAAGTGTACTAGATGGATGAACTCAGCGAACGTACGAAAACGTGAATCTCTTTCCAAATGTGAAGCCGGAGCACGGGCAGAGCACTGGCTGTCATTTAAACTTCACTTGCGCCATAACTTCTCCGTCATCCTACAACAACCGTGACATCCCAAATACATCTTCGCATGCTGCTACATTCATTCAATTGACCATCAATAAGCAGTGGACAGTCATCCACATTCGTCCTGACAACAAACATCACACACACAAGCGCCGGCTCTAACCGGTGCTACGGGATTCACAATGACCATGTCCACCATCCCAGGACCACTGTCCGAAGAACATGGATCAATGTTTGAAAGCCATGGACCACACTTCTTCTCTCGAATCTCCAAGGAGGAGGGGAATGAGAGTAGAAGTGATGCTCCAGATGCTGCTTTATGTGAAACCTATCATATAGAGCTGTCGGCAAATGGGCTAGGTATCAATGGTATTGTCTTTACTGGGCTGAGGGCATGTGCTGACGTTTCAGCTACAGAATTTTTCGACTCCGACAACCTTGAAGAAGGCCAGCGGACAAATATCGGATCTGCGACCATCTCCATGATCGAGACGCGCTTCCAGGAACCTGAGAACGTCTACAGAAGCTGCAAGATCGAGCAGCTTGATTTCAAATTCGAGGACATCCTGATCAAGATGGAAGCATTCGCTGTGACCCTCCGCCGCATCCAGTCCTTCTGCGTCGAGCATCAGGCCGAGCATCTCGCGATGGCTCCTATTCAGGGCTCATGCTGGTTCTCTGGCCTTCTCAAGCCCGCAGGCTTCAATCTTTGTGATTGCGAACGTCTTGACAAGCCTGTTGGTGTCGGATTTCAATTATGCATGGTCCTGCCAACTCCGCCAATCGAATCACCAACACGCATCAATGAAGACTCTCCCATGGACGATACAGCCGTAAGTGAGAGAGATGAGGTAGCAGCGGCGGCAAAGGACAGATTTGCCAGGGAATTGTCAAGTATAGGCGATCAATATAATCGGTTGATGGAGAAGATGCAGAAAGAGGCCAAGGTATTAGGATTCCAACAAGTGCCAGCAGAAGGCCGGGTCTTCTCAAATGCGAGCACTAGCATAGGGCGAATCGACGAAATACGGCGTACCCAATACTCGGGCGGGAAGGATGTTTTAGCTCCAATCTCCAATGGAAAGACACGGGCGTCCCCTTCAGCAGGAACTGCCTCGATAGCGCCTCCTCATCGAAACATGATCAATCAGACCAGGGCGATCCCGCTTACTGAAAACCGTGCCAATACTGCTGCTGCAGATATGAAGAGAGAAGACCCGCTGTTCATAGCCGCACTCACATCAATCATGGTCCAGCAAGGCCAATTCGTCGGTGTCGGTAGCAGCAACTCCCAAACAGCCGACAAGCCAGCGAACAAGGCCGGAGGGCGACCTGGCCAGGATTCTGGAGCAGTCGCTGAGGGCAGCCCGTTCGAAAAGCCATCTCTGCCTCAGCGTCAGGGCATTGTTACAAGTCCAGCCGCACCAGAGGAAGCAACGGGCCCGGAAGGTTCGACGCCAGGTCCTCTTTCAAAGAAGCGATACTGCACGTACTGGATCCGAAAGGGAGAGTGCGATTACATGCAAGAAGGTTGCAGATACAAGCATGAGATGCCAGTCGACGAAGAGACGCAGCAGAGAATCGGTCTTCGCGAGATCCCTTTATGGTTCAGAGAGAGCCCAGAGTACGAGCAATTCTTGCAGAAAGTACAGCAAAGACGGTCAGCAACTGGAAGATTGACTGATGTCGGCTCTGACAAGAAAAACCCATTCACTGCCCAATCATCCCGCCGAGGCTCTGGTCGAAGCGGCAACGATATTAGTTCGCATGGCGGCCGAGGGACTGCGACAACAAGGCGTGATCCTGTTAAGATGGGCTCCTACACCGTGCAGTCCCCACACGAAAATTTCGATCAAAGCGCCATGGCATCCAGTACCGAAGCAAAGACGGCTTGTGCCGGCCCGCCTTCAGCTTCCAAGATCAAAGACACTCAGGCTGTCAACGCGACAGCGAACAGGCGATCGAACAAAGAGAGTTACAAGCCTTCGAAAGCCATAGCGTCTTCCTGCGGCAGTGACATACGAACGGCCACCAAAGAAAATCCTATCGTCAAGGACAGTAACATCGAAGAGTCACGCAAAGGCTACGCAGAGAACCGTGGTGGATCTAGATACCGCGCCAGCAGTACGCATTCGGGCGCATCCGAGGGGGGTGTCCCCTTATCACGCTCAGCCACCGATTCCGCACCATCGATGCTACCAGGAAGAACGAAGAGAGAATCCTCAAGCCCGTTTTCAGACGCCAGTGCCCAGAAAGCCAGACCAGGGCTGGAAGGAGCAAAGATGGGAAGGAAGAATGGTCAAGCTAGCAACTAAGTTCAGCAATTCAACCCCATTTTTACTCAATCATGAGTCTCGGCCCACGATTTGGCCGACCACGGCCGCGCCATGCGCGAACAGCCACTGCGTCAATACAAATCCTGAGAGGCAAACGTGTTTGGTCAGGGACCTCGAGGGCGGAGAATCGCACGCACACTTGAATCGCTGATAGATCACCAAGTGCAGCTAGCATTGATCAACCAGCTTTTTCAAAGGCAAGCAATATAACAAATTAGGTAGATGGAAGCAATGGATCCCAACACAACAATAATACACAGTCCACTCATTCCGTGACATGCACCATCACACCTCCTTACTCTGCTCGTACACCTTCTAGGGCTAGACACCGCCGGGAGATTAGCAGTCCCTTGTATACACCCCCTGATACTGTCAATATTTTCGCGCGTAGAACCGTTTTTTGGCGGGTCTGCTACCCTACAACAGTAATATGACCGTCTTTCACGCTCGTCCAACGGCGTGCTACCAGAGTCAAGGCGTGCGAGAAGGAACCACTCATACATAGAGCCTATATATTCGCACCTCCTCGGCTCAGAGAATATGTAAATGGACATCGCTCTCGGGACTCCATCTAGCCCATGGTTTGCCAGAACGAGACGGCAACGGACCGGTAAAACGTAGGGATTTTCAAGGCCCAAAGATCATGTATTCTTCGACTGAACGCATAGAGCAATACCGCCCAAGACGAAAGCCATGCCGATCCAGGTATCTGTTTCTCCGTCATTAGAAAGTCAGCACCAATACTGATACGTAGTCTGGGGATTAATGGATGCCACGGGGGGGCGGGAGGTGGGGGGTAGGACGTACCTCTCGATATAACCTTCCCCTCAGCCCACCACTCCCCCAAGACCGTAAACAAGAACGCCAGAGAATTCGTAATCGGGACCGTAAGGCTCAACTCTACACCAAAAGCCGTCAGCCGAGCTCTAACCCACCACCACCACCACCACCATCCATCCATTCCATTTCCCCAACCCCAAACTCTTCCCCAACCCACCCCCTTACAAGAGAAAAGAAGAAAAACCACCACCACCTACCGGCCCGTCCAATCAACAAAAAGAACCACACGCTCCCCGTCAAATTCACCACCAGCGGCAGCGCGTACGCCGGACTCCGGAGCAGATCCGCGACCGTCCACGCCGCCTTCAGGACGCGCCGCCGGGCCCGGCCGGCCCGGGTGCCGGTGTCGACGCGGTCGAGGGAGGGGTGGGCGGGGGGGTGGAAGTGGAGGGCGGCGCGCCGGATGAAGGGCGTGGTGAGGCCCCAGGCGAGGCCGACGAGGAGGAAGCCGAGGGTCCAGTTGAGGATCGAGGGGGGGAGGGGGCGTCGGTGTCGGACATTGTTGGGGTGGGTTGGAGGGGCGGGGAATGGGATGGGGAGTGGTTCGCGGTCTTTGGAAGTTTGTTGCATGACTAAGCGAAATCACCCTGTCTTCGAGCCAATGAGAATTGAATTAGATATGGGAAGCGACAATTCTATAGGAGTGACGCCTTCGATGTGTCTATATAGGTGTATACTAGCTCAAAAATAGTTACGGTCTTAAACGGTTTCCTGCCCAGATTTTCAACATGATTCATGGCCCGTAACCCCTTCTCCTGCCCGATCCGATGTCAATCCTCCGCATCTCCTCGCTCAAGGCATCGCCCCAATCTTCCTTCCCACCGCCTATGGGAATCTTCCCGGGCACAGGAGGTGGGACATTACCAGGCGAAATCCTTGGATATTTCTGTAGACGATTTCGATTGGGCGGATTTGAAGGGCTGTTTCCCGCGTTGTGATTATACAGTGGGGTGGATGCTTCGTTAAGTGGTCTACGTCCAGCCGACGGCATGGGTTGCGCGCCTTGCGGACTATTCCTGAACCTGACGGTGACCTCCGGACCCCGCCTGGTTGGTGACTTCTGCTCCGGTTCTGGAGCCCACGTATTAGTTGGTAGATGGTCTGATGGGTCAATAATCCGTCCGTCGTTGCCAATGATGGGTCCGTCACCGAGCTTTTCTTGTCGTTCATGTTGTCGAGAAGCTTCCGTAGCTTGCTCTGGTGTGCTGTACCTCGCGCCTGGATCATTGACGCTGTTTGCAGCGCTGATGGACGGGTTGTAGGCATCAAATGAGTCAGGCGAGAAAGGTATCCCGGATTGCTGTGGTCTCTCTGCAGGTGCCGGTTGTGGGCTCAAAGACTTGCGTACAGGGGTACGAGGATCTGGGCTTACCGCTCGCGGCTTGGATATTGGGGTGGAGTATCGGTCGACAGGGGCGGAGTAGCGGTGCGCTCGCCTCTCTTGCATATTCTCAAAGCTTCGAGGCAACGGCTGCTGTATAGACTGAGTTGCTGAGGAAGCGGGTTTAGCCTGAGGAAGCGGCTGATTAAGAGACTGTTGCCTTGCGCTCATGCGCCTTTCGTACGTCCTTTCCGACTCGTCCTCAGCTATTTTAGACTCGTAGCCAGGAACAAGACTAGGCGGCATGCCATGATGCAGGTACCCTTGCGAATTAGAAGGCGATACTGAGGGTTGATACCCTTGAAATGTAGAATTGCTTTGGACCTTGGCCAAAGGACTACCAGAGATACTGCCGGTAATATTGCCTCGAGCACGTGGAGTAAGAGGCGCCGCTAGAGGAATGGATCGGTGAGCTGGAGGCGGAGGAGGGGGCGGTCCTTCATCATCCACAACAGTCTCGGCATCCGGCCATGCATGTGGCATCGTATTCTGGCGGAGCCGGGGATCTATGAGCCGGTGATCTACCATCGCTGGCGAAGAATTGGAATGAATCATGCCATTCTGCAATGGTTGCGCTAGTGGCCTCATCTGCCAATCATCCGCGTATTCCGTATCGTACTCATTCTCTTGGTCATAAGGTTGCCCATTCTGTGGGCTTTCACCGAGCACCGGAGCGCTGACTTGTCTGTAATCTGCTTGGCTGGTAGATTCGTACATGTCGAAATCAGGCTGGCTTGGCGCTGGTGCCATATTTGGGTTGTCGTTGTACGGTCTTTGGGCTTGTTGGCTGTTGGCTAAAGGCGAGCTTCGAGGCTGTTCATCTTGTAGACGCTGGTGTCGCTTATCTGTTGGCGGTGTAGACTGGAAACCGTAATCGTCTGGTGACGCAACGTAACGCTGCTGAGAGCTTGAAAGATTTTGGCTGATTGGAGGAGGTGTTTGAGGGAGAGGTGAGGAGCGAGAAGGGTCGGTTGGGTCCGCAGGCAAAGGTCTTCTCTTGACTGGCTTGGGCTGTCTCGGGCCGCCAATGCCACTGCTTACTTGATCCATAGACCCCATGACTGGGGCAGATTGACGTCGGCCTTCTGCATTCTCTAGTTTTGGGCGTATATCATAGTATGTGAGCTCAATCCTTATGTCTCCTGCGTATCTTCCCTTGCAATTGAGGCCATGCCAGAGATCATTTGTTCCTCCACCAGGTATGATTATTTGGTCGAGAGGAACCCAGGTCTCTCCGATGAGTTCAGTCTTCCTGTCGTCGTTGAATACAGATACTTTCAGTTGGTAGTAGTCAGGGGAATCATGAACAGTGAAGCGCATTTCCTGATCCCTGAAGCAAGTCAGTATGCTACCACTGTGATGGAAATTGATGTCTCACCATTTCGGTGTCTGCCCTCCTCTTTTGTCTGTGTCGGTCTTCTTGGCCTCCTTCCCTAGTCTAGCAGCACAATAAGGATCCTGCTTTCCCATCGTTTTCCGGTTTGGTAGGTTTTTCGCTCGATCAACAATGACGACAAGCGTCCCAATTTCAGGCCCATCGAGAGTCAAGTCGGCATAGATCCCAGCGGTATGGGCGCCGCTGAGGGCCGTTTTGGCCATGATCCGTATCTGTGGTCGAGTCGCAGATGGTGGAATGTCAGATGCGCACTCGTCAATTCCGGATGGCTGGGCAGCTGTCCAAAAATAGGCGTAAACAAAAGCGGGTAGTAGCCGCATCCAAACCTTAAATTCGGCGTGGTGTCAAGATCAGGTCTACCGTCTAAAGTACCTTACGCATCGCCGTTTATCGGGAAAGCGAACGATGACAAGCTTCTTAGCCGCCTTGCACATCTACTTGAGCTGGTGAAAGTGCTTTGCACAGTTTCATTCGTTATGAATGGTAGTCTATAGCGTACATGATCTCCGACCTCCGCCAAACTCCCCACCAGCACCACCATTGACCACAACGTGCTGTTCTTCTCCAACATCCGACATCCCCAATACCACAATCAGTAACCCCAACCCGCTGCTCTCCTCCCAATCACAGCCAATGCTCAATAAACCAGGAGAGAGTGATGGGAAAAGATAGTGCGCATCAACCAGCGGTAGTGTAAGGCCGGTGACACAGGAGCGCAGATCATAGGCAGTGCCTTTGAAGACCTTTGCAGAGTTCCAAAAATTGGTTGCATGTCCCTTCCACGGTAGACAATATGAGGATCATGATGCATGAAAGTAGATGTGCTAAGCACAGTGGAAGTCTCGGTGTCAACCAGCGGTAGTGTAAGGCCGGTGACGTGAGAGAGTGGCAAAAAATTTGGGTTTTGCGTATTCCCAGACGCATATGAGGATCGTTGTGCATGAAAAGAAGTAGTAATGGGAAGTCTCAGTGTCACCAGCAGTAGTGTAAGACCGGCAACGAGAGAAGTGTTTTCTAAAAATTCTGGCGCCGTTGCATGCGGCAATAAGAAGTGGATCAAGAGTATGTTAGGGAGCTTGAGGCCCATGCAAACTCAGTGTCAACCAGCGGTAGTGTAAGACCGGCGACGAGAGAGGGTTTTGTAAAAATTGTGGTATGTCTCTTTCACGGTAGACAAGATGATGATCATGAATCATAAAGATGGAAGTGCTAAGCACAGTGAAAGTCTCGATATCAACCAGCGGTAGTGTAAGGCCGGCGACGAGAGAGTGTGAAAGGAATTGGCTCGAACCACTTGCGTGAATTTCGGCACAGGGTGAAGATCAGGGCATACCTTGCAGTGTTTTTTGGCACTAATGACTCCACCAAGCGCAATTACAAGAAGCAGCCTAAATTGAAGTATTATCAAGAGTCCTCCGAAAAATAGTGTGAGTGATGAGTACTTACTGTTCCCTTAAAGCTCACGATCCGACACAAGAGATAGCCTAGAGCGAGATATTATCAAGAGTCCTCCAAGAAATGATATAGGTGATAGGTACTTACTGTTTCCCTTAAAGCTCACGATCCGACACAAGAGATAGCCTAGAGCGAGATATTATCAAGAGTCCTCCAAGAAATGATATAGGTGATAGGTACTTACTGTTTCCTTAAAGCTCACGATCCGACACAAGAGACAGCCTAGAGCTAGGTATTATCAAGAGTCCTCCGAAGAGTGATGTGGGTGATATGACTACTTACTGTTTCCTTAAAGCTCACGATCCGACACAAGAGACAGCCTAGAGTGAGGTATTATCAAGAGTCCTACAAGAAACGGTAGGGGTGGTGAGTACCTACTGTCGTCCCAAGCTCACGATCCGACCCTGTAATGTTAACAATACCAAAACGCACAAAGCACGCGAACAACTAAATGATGATGAAAACCTGGTACCACGTTGACTCACTGCTTTTTCTAGGAGGGTTTTTTGGGTGTTCAATTTTTTTTCTTGGCCACGTACTGCCTTTTCTGTTATTGTGGGTGATTGTAATCAAAGCATAAGTTGAACGGAATTAGATCTCGGAGATGCGACTCGGAGGGAAGAAGTTAGTGAGGTCGGATTCTTTCAACTGTTCTGACTGAAGGAACACAATTCGAGGTGCCCAGCCCCAAAAAGGTCGTAGTAGAAATCGGTCGAAAGGTGATGATCATATTTCACTCTTACTGACGAGCGGTGGCAGGGTGTCCAAGCCCGACAGCCGCTGCAGCCTCGAGACGAAAGATGAAGGTGTTGGCGAAGAGAAGATGGTGGTGTCCCAAGAAAGCTTCCGGTCTGCCTGACGAACAAACACCATGAGGGGCCGAATCCCCACGGCGGTGTTGCAGTCTAGAGTCGGAAGGTGAGAAGGAAGAGAATAGGGAGGTGGAAGACTTGGCGTAGTGATGTCCCGACATAGCTTCCGGTCTGCCTGGCGAACAACCACCATGAGGGGCCCAACCCCCATAGCGATGTTGCAGTCTAGAGTCGGAAGGTTGGTGGAGGAGCTTAGAAGACACATCGACGTTTGGCTTGCGATGTCGATGTAGGAAATGTTGAGAAGTCCGAGATTTGTGAACTAGTCGAAAGTCGAAGGAGGTCTGTGGGAACGTTGCGGTGAGAAGTTGTCGAGCGGATCGCTTGTGAGACATGAGTGCTGTGTGGTCTTGTGAGTTGGTCTCGATGATACTGGTGACACCCGTTAGGATGGAAAAGTTGGTGGGAAACGGGTTAACTCACGACACGAGGATCCGCTAACAGGCCGGTATGGATTGCCATACGCTACCTCGTCTCAGCCTTCCAGGTTGCGACGGAGCGCCATGCCAGACCGCCTCGTGGTTAGTATGGGAAAAGGAAGGGGGAGGAAGGGGGGTGTGAAGGGGGGGGAGGAAGACGAGGCAGTCTAGCACCCTACCGCTGAAGCGAGGCAGTCATATAATGGATCGTGATCGAAGCGAGATGTCCAAGAGCATGTCAGGAAGACGACCTCGAGGAAGTGCGATGACGAGGAAGAAGGTTTGAATTGACAGGCGGACGAGCTAGAAGACTTGGTCGTCATCGTCGGAGGAATTGTCGTCTTCTTCCACCCTCATATAGTGGGAATCCTTCTGGAAAGTCCCGTTCTCTCGTTGCCGTGTCCTTAGACGTGCCCTCCCAAATGAAGGAGGCGTTGGGATCTCTGGCACCTGCGAATGTATGAATGAGGTCCTCGGCAAACTGAACGACTTTGCGAGGGCGGTCAGTGCGAGATTTACGAGGATGAGGGTCCACGCCCGATTCCGCTGGAGTGGTTGCCCACTGGTAAGGGGGAATGTTGTAGTTCCGGACGGGGACATCGCCGTCTTTTTCACAACAATCGCAGGTCCTGCCCTTGTATAGTGGCCCATAGCCACAGTTGCGTCGTGGTCCTGGTTTGCTTGGTCTTGCAGGGCAGTAGTCCGAGGTACCTCGGATTTTGTATGACTTCAGGCGACGAGGGAGGTAGACTGGCGAAAAGTGCCTAGGGAATTGGGACATTGTATGCGGCAGGAAGACGGGCGAAATAGAGTGAGGTATAGGAGTTCGGGTGAGAGGAATGTTCGCTGGCTTGAATCTTCCAAGCAGTTGAACACGAGCCTTGCGACCGGTGGGCGCCGATGGGATGAGAGATTCGGCGTCGAAAATTCGGTCGGATATCTGTACCAAGGCGTAGATGTGATTGCACTCTCCTGGCTTGTCCTGGCGGAAGTTATCTGGCATCTGGACGGTAAGCCAGCCGTACCGTCGTGGCGCAGGAACGGCGACAGGGATGGCGGCGGCAGGAACGATGACATCTGATGGCATCGATGATGGCTGGGAGGTCGATGCTGGCGCGGTGGTGACGGGTAGCAAAGACGGTACTCTGGACGACGTCGAGGAGGACTTGATAGTCGACGCCGGAGTGATCTTGACAGGAGGCGTAGATCTCTTGGGACCAGGTGCGAGGTTGGCAATGACACGCTGGCGGCGCTCGGCGATCCGTTCGGAAACAGATGCGCTGTTGGCTAAGGGAGCGATCTTGGCGAGAGATCTTTGCTGGTGCTGACGCAAGGGTGGGCAATCCTTGGAGGCACTGGTGGAGGCGGCGATGGGGAGCTTGGACTTCAACGCATGGGATGTTGATGGTGATGCGGAAGTGGGCTTGACGACGGTGGGCTTGCTGATGGACATGGCGGAGAAGAGCGTGGCGATGTCACCGGCGGTCTTGACGGAGGGGCGACTGGCTGCAGCTGGGACTACAGAGTCGTTGACGCGGACAGGGATGCGCGAAGATGCTGCGAGGGAAGGCATGGCAGCAGATGCGCGGTTGACTGAGAGTGAGATGAGTTGTGGCATTGTAATGTTGTGTGAGTGTAAGAGCATTGGTAGTGAGAGCTTTTGGTGGAGGAGAAAAAGAAAAAGAGAAAAAGAAAGGGGAAAAACCCAGATACTTATACCTGAGAATCCCGCAAACTTGCTCACACAGGACCTTGGACCCTCAGAACTTGTGCCAGCAGCAGCAAGACAGCCTGGGAGGCATGGTGTAAGAATGATGATGATGATCGGGTGTATTGAAACCCGTATATGTCTCCAATTCATCATACCTAGCCATCCGCCCTTGTAGCCTTCACGGAATCCTCACAGCATCTTGGGCTTGCTTTCATCCAAGGCCTGTTGGGTAGCCCTGTGTGCCAAGGCGTTGGGGAGCTGCTAGCATAAGTTCGTTGAGTCCCTTGGCAGTAGAGAAGCTCAGACTGTTCACCGGATGCATGAAAGAAAGCATTCGAGGACGAATCGCTGAAATCAGTGGAATGCGAGGAGACGTTGCAGAGAAGTAAACAGATGTCGTCTAAATGGACGTTGAGATAGTGGAGATAGTGCACCTGCCCGTAACGAACCGCTGCGAACCAGCGGCACCGATCTCGGAGCGCTTGTCCACGTGGGCCTGCCCAGGTATGGCAGTCAGAACGCACTGGAAGCTTGGCGAAACTTTCGATGGCACCGTACTCAGTAGAGCTTTTGATAGACGACAAGGCTTCAATAGACAGTAGTGATGAAACAAGATCATCATGAGCTTTTAAGATGCGTCCGCAGTAGATAGAAGATGAAAGGATGCTAGGATATGTCTTGCCCATGCACTACTCCTACATATTGAAGTCTGCTACAACAGGTGAGTGCAGCCATCAAAGGCTCTCAAGATGATAGGTATGGGCCTATCTGGAGTGAGGATTTGATAACTGTACTACAGCTACTATAGAATACTTCGTAATGTAGGGCATACCATTTGGAAACGGGGAACGGAACGCTGGGGTAGATAGAAAGTTGGCAGATCAAACACAACACGCTGAACCATACACACGTGTCTTTTCTGAAAATTTTGAAAGACCCTGATCAAGTAGGTGAAGCCGCAGTATGCATACGTAGCACTAGAACGCGTCAAGGACAATGTGGCGGGCTAGTAGGCATGGCAGCAGAAGCGGATGAGGAAGCTACGCTGTTCATAGAAGACACGATCGATAGTGGAAAAATTCGATGAAGGCTCCTCAAGTGGCTTGCTCCAAACAGACGAGTCCCTACTGAACAGAAAATGGCCGCTCTGACAACGGGCGCACCACAGGCGTTTCTTTTGATACAGCGCTAAGCGGCTCCGTCCGGGTAGCGACAAAAGCAAAAGTGAAACCAATATCAAAGTTCAATGAAATGAACCTTAATTGCGGTCCAACAGCCTACCAGTTTTATGCTTGGCTCTGGCCCGAGAAGTTTTTCGGTGCATAGCACAGCTCTTACTTCGGATTCGCACGACTATCAGATCTACTATCGTCGCGGGATCGGTCTCAAGGAGATGACTTTCTGGCTAGGACTCACAACATCACGTGGAAGAGTGATCGAGGTCCATACATGTCCCCATCGCACTTAGCATCGGCACCGCGGCTGTGGGTGGCCATCCCGTGCTACACAACGACCTCCAGATATCCGCTGACACCAGTCATCGCGCACCAATTGAATGCCAACGTACATTTTCAAGAAATTCCAAACTCGAGAGACCAAAAGCAAACCCCTCTCCCACACGCTACAGCACCACACCAGAACCATCAGGAACTCTATTCCTAGATGTCCAATCCCACGCCTCACCGAAGTTCCGGCACTGATGCTTGATCCCCCACCCATCCACAAGCACCGGCTTGTGTCCTCCATACTTCTCACGAAGTGCATCCTCGCCGATGCCCTCGAGCCATTTTTCGGGGAACTCATTCGCAGACTCGATAGTCAGATCGCCCGCGCACATGATGCCCTGCCGTACATAGTCGAAGCAGTGGGCGGTATGTCCGCGAAGTAACATGAGTTTCTTCTCCTCAGAGACGAGTTCGATGCCGGGTTGGGTGAAGGCGGGAAGGGTGCCGTTGAGGGCGGCGTAGTAGCTCGCTCGGAGGACTGTCTGCAGATGGGATGATGTTAGCTGAGGGCGAGTGAGGGCCTGGAAAGCTGATTGACTTGGGGGATATATACAAGGCAGTGCAATTGGTGAAACATGGAGATGCCGTAGACGTCGGGTCCTGTCTTCATGGGGATGCCGGGCTTGAGTCCGTAGGCTTTGGCGTTCGGAACTACGATTGCACCCCCTCCTTCTGTGCGCGGAGTATGTTCAGTGGTAGCTGATAAATGTGGGGCGAGGGGGAATTCCTCACTGGGTCTTAAGGCTTCCCACGCTGCGTCGCTTTCTGGCGAAGCCGGGGCCATGAATGTCGCATTTTCATCGAATGTTGTAGATATGATAGGAACTAATTAGCCACCAGCGGTTAGGACTTCATGTCTCACCAGGCAATTGCTCATGGTAATTAGATCTTACTGTCAGGGATAACGGCCCTCGGTCGCTTGGAGATGTGCAACAACCCCTGAGCAGTCCAGACGGTAGCGAAAACCAGATTGAGCAATAGCAAAAAGGGCGCCACTTCGTAGATCTTTTGAACAACAAAGTGCAGGTTGGTGGGTCTAGGGGTATTGTGCCTTTCCCGGCTGGAACTATCTTCACCTTCCGGGACCTGTCTATACAAACCCTGAGCTTCTTGTCGCCAGTAGTCGAGGAACCCTAGCATGGCTCGAGCTTCAGATTTTGACCGGGGCTCACTGTTCAGTGGGGGCGTTGCGGAAGTCAAAGCGAGCTCGAGGGGTACATTCGAGCTTCACGCCTTGGTGTAGGTGTGGTCCATTTGCCATCAGAAGTCTCCTCGTACATTCAGGTCGAATGCCGAATGCGTAGATTGAGTTCAGTGGCGAGTAGAAGTCACACCGCATTGGGCAGAATCAATGTTACAGGTGGACGGTTTGATTTTTGCTAAGAACCACACACCAGCCCTTGATATTGTTGCTTAATATTGTTCTCATTGGATGAAAGGGCCCGAATTAGGCACACCGACTTGTGAAGTGCTAGGCATAATCAAGGAACAAAGAACATTCAAGGCATTGCAGCCAAACTTCGAGAAGCGGCAACGATACAACGTTCTAACCCGATCGTAGTATACCTTTCTTAATTTCCTGTCAACCAACATTTCTTTGAATTATTGGCGGTTAACTAGTAAAGAAAGTGCTCTGGTCGACACGGCACCAACGTGAGGCCGGTATTGGTACCCTGCTCGTCTGCCATATTTAAGTGCCTGGAGGTTTCTTTATAGCCATCCGGCGCCTTGCGTCGCTGTCATCGGAAGAACTCTCGTCCTCGCTCCCATCGCCCCAATTGCTCTCGTTGTTTTCATTTGCCCAACTGCCTTCTTCTCCCTCATCACCATGTTTGACCTCTTTTCTCTCGCTCTTCTCGTCTAACTCATCTTCTTCATCGCTGTCAGATATAACGACCGGATTGCGCTCGTTATTCTCATTTGCCCAGTTGTCTTCTTCTCCTTCATCGACTTCATCACCCCGATTGAACTCGTTTCTCTCGCTCCTCTCGTGTAATTCATCCTCCTCATCACTGTCAGATATAACGACCGGATCTTTAAGGTCATTGCCATTACGACCGCTTGAAGTACCGTCCGATACAACAATGGGCTTTCCAACGCCGTCCACTCTTGGGCCCTCGGATGCTTCGTGGTGAGTGTCCTCATCGTCGTCATCGTCATCTCTCCAAATATCCTCATCATTGCCGTCATATCTCCAATTATCCTTGTCGTCGTCGTCGTCGTCGTCGTCGTCACTGGATTTGACACGGGTTTCCTGCACCTCTCCTCCTTCCTCCTCGGGGCCATCTAGTTCCGATGTGGGAAAAGGTGGATATTTGATGGTTTCAGTGAAAGGGTTTTTAGGTTCTTTTGGATCTGGGAGGTCCGATGGCTTCGGCACATCCTTCACAACAGGATTCCAGTAATTCCAGTCCCCAGGCGGCATTTGGTTGATCTCGCTACCTGCGTAGTAAAGTCGATCTTGTTTCTGTAGGCTTGGATTGGCAGTATACTCGTTCATTATGCGCTGACACTTTGCCCCGATCTTGAGTTCAAGCTCTTCGATGCTCGGACGATCCCATGGCTCTGGCATTAGGCAAAGCTTTATCAGCTCTGTTAGAGCGCCGCTGTATCTTGGGGTTCGGACGTTCGGAATGTCGAAAAAAGCCTCATTGACAGTCCACTCGTCATCAGTCAAATAATACACGACGGCCTCATGTGTCAGTAGTTCAAACATTATTGCGCCAATGCCCCATATGTTGGTGTGCGCAGAAATTTTTGGCAGTGGAGCTGTCCCGTCTAGGTGCCTGTTCATTTGGGTCGTAAGTGCAATTCCTGAGTGGAAAAGTCTTTGCTCCTTTCATGAGAATTAGTGACTTGCCAACATTGGGTTGGACAGTACTCACTGGGGCGTAATACCCTTGGGTTCCAGCGCCTCGAAGTCCAATTGGGTTTCCTTGGTCACCGTGCTTGATTTTGATAGCAAGACCCCAATCTCCAGTCTTGGCGACTGGGTATGATGAAAATGCACTATCTTTGTTCTCGACGCCTAGGAATACTATCCATGTTATTGAGTGTCTAACTCAGCCCAGGCAATTTGGAATGGAAAGACTAACTATTTGCGGGCTTCAAATCACGGTGCACGATTCGATAGCCCCAATTGGTGTCATCCGGTCCATTCTCCATCGCTGCAGCTACTTTAACAAGGTTGTTAAAAGTGTGCCATAAGAATGGCTCCGGAAAATAGGTCCTTTGCTTGTTAGGCGAAGACAAGAAAACTTACAGGTAAGGATCCACCAACCTGAATCTTTTATAGTTGACATTAAGCGTTACTAAATCACCATAGGGACAATACTCCATATATATGCGATGTTTTCTGACATGCATATAACGTTTGTACGCTATCAGTTTGGGCACAGCCTGGCAGCCGGTCTTATTCAGCCTGCGCATCATTTTGACCTCCTCGGGCACTTCCCCGGTCCATTTTTCGACAGGTATAGTCTTGCTTTCTTTGATGACGATTTGCTTGAATATCATTCAGCCGCTTAACAGAACAGAACAGAAATCTGACAGTACCTCTATCACAACGTTATTGTCATCTCGCAATTCCCACAGACCTGCTGTTCCAAAACTTCCTGAACCCAGTGGCCGCTTGCCAAGCCAATTTTCATTCTCGAGACCGGCAGCCGACTTGATGAATGCAGCATGGTCGGTGTTCCAGAAAGGTGATTCATCATCGGCTAGAAACATTGCATCTAGTAGGCCGGGTGTGACGTCGAACAGTTCTGGCGGACCAGAATACGGAAAAGAGTTCGGAGAGGGTGGAGTGGGCACTTTTCCAGGCCGCAGGTGTCCAAAAGAGGATCGTTTATTTCGCTCGGATGGTCTGGCTCCCTCTGAGACAGTAATTAGTCGATGGTGTAGTCAGGATGGCTGTATGGGAGCAGAGGGTGGCTTGTAATTACCGTCTTGGATCGCATCAGCTTTTACGTGTCTTCTATCTCTATCTACTTCAATGAACGAAGACAATCGCAATTTTTTCCGTGGAGACGCAGAGTGAGGTTCGCCATTGCTCTTGGCGGCCTCATCAGAGATACTCTGCCGCTTGTTCGTGGACATTTCTACTCGATCTTACTCGCGCCCCACGTAATTCTAAAGACTTAGAGAAATGGAATGGGGAACAAGCGTTGAAACTAAACCCATCTCAAACGACAGAAAGATTCAGCTCCATTTCCCCACCCTACCCGCTTCAGGATTACTGTTTTCAGAGTGACAAAGGAATGCGTAAATAACAAAGAATCATCCAACAAGCAAGCGGAGAAACGGAACTTTTGAGGGTAGACAAAGGAGAGGGAGAATGCAGCACTCGTTTGCGGCATGCTGAACGAGCAGAGTGTTTTATGCATGTATTTTATGCCCCGTACGATCCCGTACGTAGGATTATATCAGTCAAGCAGAAGCTTCTGCACCACTTCATTGTCTGTAATTGAGTTGGCATGATGTCTCTCGATTGACGTCAAAAGCTGAATTACGGAAGCTTTTCCTTGGCGTGGCTTGTTAAGGTCTAGCTCGTTTTGGTTCATAGATTAGATTAGATAAGATCATCATCTACAAGTCTTGGCGTCCTTAGCCCTCCCTTCGAGGCACTTCTTCTCTGCTCCCACCACCTAATAATATCAACGATAGTGACTGTCTATTTCTACCTGTATCTCTAGATCCGCGATACGGTTTCTACTTCGTGTCCACTAATTCAGTTCTCCAATCGCATGTAGCGCTCCTATCAGATGCAATAGAGTAGCCACTTGAACCACAGAGAAATCAAGGCGACGAGAATGTAACGGTCGCCGTGGACCAAACCAATACCAGTCCATTGCTACCGGGACAATGAATGATAGGAAAGACAAATTGAAGAAAGCCAGAGATACGAACGTATTTGATTATAGCAGAAGCTCGCCATCAAGTGGACGTCCCTCCAGAGTCTCGATGGGTTTGATAGTGCGTTCTTGAGGATGCTTGAGAACATTCGGCTGGCGATCAAGGCACGCTCTGAAGAAGGACATTGAATGGCGCAGCTACGTCTTGGGAATTAAGCGCCTAATTGGTCTCCAGTATTGGCCTACTGTTTGCTACAGAAGCCTCTACGGGACCTACTCATATTGCTCTCGGCGCAATCCTTGATTCTTGTACTTGCTCCCGCGCTCGGACCTGCAGTTTTCGCAATGTTCCTTCCTTCCTGCATCTCCTCATTAAGACCATCGGCACGAATTTGCGATACATAGCAGCGAGCTCCGCCGATCTGTCGCCCCCAAGCCCTAGATCTTCTCCCCCATGTGCAACCACCAGTTCTGGCCAGCTACGCAAGCTCTGTTTGTCCTCCTTCTGAGCTTCATCTTCTTCGCAAGCCTGATCATTACGATTTTCTTCTTGTGACTTGCTACAAATTTCATTGACGGCACTTTCTGACTTTTCTAGTAAACTCTGCAGCGCGATCTCCCTTTCAAACTCAGAAAATGGCCCTCGCTGTCTTTATCGGTGGTAGACTACTCGAGCAGCCATTTTGGATGGTCCTGTCTCTTCACCGGCTTGTCTTTGGTGCCAGCTCAGGGGAGATATTGGGCCGTATCCAAGGACGACCTAGACGAGGGATTGTCATTGCTATGTAGGAAGTTGACAGCCTTTGGTCTTGAACCAATTTGGTGCGAAGTAGTACTAGAGGGGTTGATGGTAGGAATGTACAGGAGCTGAAAGGCTTTTGGAAAGCTATTCGAAAAAGAATGCGCCTATTCTTAGAAGCCAAGCTTCTACAAGGACGAAAATCCGAGGTTGCAAGCAGAAAACGAGAGAATACATTCGGCTTGTCCTTCATCCTTGGGTCTTGGCCCCAAGCATAGTGGTAAACCATGGCACTTGCTCTGCGAAATCGTGGACGGATGAAAGGAGTTTGTTGAAGCTGCCCTGAATTGTGCCATTTGTCTATCAGCCACGACCCTGATCAGCGTCAAGTACCCTATACCTTCGACTAATGTCGGCATATCGCACAAAAGTGCTCTGAATTTGGTAGTTGCCTTGCACTGCAGCAATATGCCTATTATGAAGGTGCCGAACGACAGACGCCAGCCGTCTCTCAGCTCTCACGGCCAAAGCAGGTCAATTTCGAACGGCGATATGCTACCACTGCTGCGGCAATATCAACACGATGGAAATTTGATCGCAAGATATGGAGGCTAGAGGAAAGCGGCACTAGTTGTGGCATCTCAACAGATTGTGACTGTTAGACCTAGAAGGCAGCCAAGAGTGGAAGCTGATTGACTGAACAGGTCAGAAACAATTGTCAAGGAAATGCAATGTGAGATTTTTGGTACTGGTTTACGAGTTGCCGACTTATGACTTTACGGATCTCTTTCTCTGAAATTCTCTGACGCCAATCCCCATGCAAGTCCAACTGGCATCCGCATCCTCCTCTCCTTCTCGATCTCTTCGACAATCTCCTCCGCTACTTCAGCTCTCTGCTTCGCACCCTCGATCTTCTTGTCAAGATCATACCAATTAGTCTGAAAATTCTCATTGAAATCATCGAGCCATACAATCCAGCTATCCGAGTAAAAATTGAGAAGCTCGATAGCCCAGTGGCCGTCTGGATTATCCGTCTGCACCTTTGTGGCTGTCGCTCGCGCCTTTTCCATGATCCATTCCACATTCTTCATTACGTAAACGAAGTCAGGCGTGCCAGACCACCGCATGTCAGTCCCATCGAGGATTTCCGGCATGCAGTCTTTCACGCAACGGGCGTAGCGACCGCGTTCCCTCAATTTTCGCATGTCGTTTCTCGTTTTCTTCATCTCTTGCGGACATACCCAATACTTGATCGCATTTAGCACCCCAGGCGCTTCCTCCTTCTTCTTTCTACTGGCTTCTTCCTGGTTTCGATCTCTGTCCCTGATGTTCATCGCTTTCAAAATGTCAATGTTTTGCGCAGCATAGTCTAAAAGCTGGTACTCCCTCATGCTCTGCTCTGAAGATCTTTCCCATGTTGAGCCGACGGCCAGTTGGTGGAGCTGGCCTGGGAGTCTCGAGAGGTTTTGAGTGGCATTTTGCCTCATCTCTGCTGCCGCAGTATCGGAGATTGGGAAGTTGTGATGATCATTAATACCCATGGGCTTTTTCCAGTATTGGACTTGGTATGATAGCTGCTTGGGTGGCGGCATGTTCGCGGCCGAGTTGTGAGATTGGAAAGGCATTTGGGAATTGTGAAAAGTAAGTCGTTCCAGGGTTGGGCAGGTGATTGAAACTGATTTTACTGGTACCGTGGAGTAGGAAGAAGAAGAGGAGGAAGGAGCGGTGCGTAAGCGGATTTTAATAGGAAACGATATTGCAATATAAGCCTTGGCGCCTTTGCTCAGTACGCATAATGGCATTAAATCTCTGCAGAATCTAGTGAGTTATCTCTGTACCATCAATGCGAGCTAGCATACTGAAAATTTTCACCAGTCATGGTACCATTGTTTTGCACCGGATGCAGGCCATGCGCCATCCTGCTTGGCAAGTGCGTTCGATGTTGTGGATCAAATCAACCATTCTATCTACACATCTAAACTATCACCAAGTCCCACGTCAACAAGAGGATAAAGAAAAAGATAAGTATGTGTAAATATCTATTACCTGAAAGAGACTATAACGTATCTCTTCCTCGCAGAATGTCACAGAACCGTTCCCTCCAAGCCCCCTCAGCCAACCAATCTTCCTCCCTCAACATCGCCTCTGTCCATTCCCTCGCCTCTTCATCCCACTCCTCGCTCAAAAACACCACACCAGCGAAATCCATATCCCTCACAAACGCCGCCACCTCCTCCGCCACCTGCAGCAACCCCGCCGCCTCACTCACGACCAAGAAACTGAAACCCAGCATCCCAGCCGTCGTCATACACCGCCAAAGCTTCGTCAGGTATCCGACCCAAGCCCAGAAATGCCCCTTCAGGTACCCGACCTTCCCATCGTCGACGCTCTCCCCCCTCGCGTGCCGCCGTCCCATGCCGCGGAGCGTGAACCCCATCTGCATGAGCATGTCCTGTATCTCGTCAACTCTCCGCAACGTCGACCCGCAGCGCAGGATGTAGACTCCGCGGCTGACGGGGATGTGGTCGACGAAGTCGAGGCGCCGGGTCAGCAAAGGGAGTTGCCCGCTGCCTGGCGTTGTCCAGTCGACCCTGCTGGCTTTCCATCGGTGGAAAGCCACGTAGGCGCGGATGGCGCGTTGTTCCGGCCAGGTTTCGCCGGTCAAGGGGCCGTGGAGGTTGAAGTTTCGCATTGGTGCGGGAGGGGGAGGGGGAGGGGGTTGGTGGAAGAGGTGGAAGGTCGGGGGGGGGTGGAGTTGACTGATGCATAGCAGAGTAGTAGGAAATCAGGCGTGAATGTGGTTTGACAGACAGGAAAGAATATTGCAGTAGTAAACTTGGCTGTTTTTCCTCTTACGGATGACTGCGTTAGAAGCAGAGATTACTTCGTTAGTCACCTGTCAGCTATATTTGATCAGCAGGCTCCACGAGTTGTCATCAGTGTGACAGCGCGTTCGAGTTTGGGAATTGGTACAAAAGAGATGGAGGGTATATGTGTTGGACGTTGGGATTGATACCTTATGGAACATTTCCCCCTTCATCCCCGAGATAGGGGCTTATCAGCCCAAACCTGATCGTACCTCGACAGTATCTAGTATCTATAACCTCAATAGCCCCGTCATCCAATGTCAATCGTAGCCTTTCCCTTCAAAGACCCAAACCATCCCTCAAACACCTCCCCACTCCCTCTCGTCGCTCTCCTACTCCACCTCCCCCTCCTCACTCTCCCCCTCCTTCGTCTCACTCTCCGAGTCACTCGATCTCAAACTCTGATAGCCCTCATCCCCAAACATCGCATCACGACTACTGACGGTCTGCACAGTATTCATCAGCTCTTGCAGCTGGTTAGGAGTTGTCGAGCGACGGCCTTCGGTGCCTGGCAGGCGTGCTGATAGTCTCGTCAAATTACTGCTAGCGGTGTGAGCATCTTCTGTGTGGACAGACCAGGTCTCCGGAGGTGGGATCGGGAGGAAGGATGCTAAAGTCGGGAGATCAAAAGATCGGTTACCAAGGTCATCGGTTGGTAGGCCCGGGTCGCTGATGTATTCTTCGGGTTCTTCAAAGCGCATGCTTTCGTCCAAAAGCCATCGCACTGGGCTTTGCGCTGGCTGCATCTCCCTTGATTGTTCGAAAGACCGCCATGCTTGATCTGCTCTTGCCCATGTGACATGCTCTTCCGGAATGGGCGATAAACCGCGCAGTCTCATTTCTTCCCTGTCTTGGTCTGTGATTGGAATGCCGCTTCTTGTTAGGATTGGTAAGTAGATATTATCGAAGACCGAGATCTCTTCTGGTGTTCTTCCATTGTCGGTTTGGTTTGCTTCTGGGTTCGGAGTGCTTGCAATATGGTTCAGGGATAAGGCGTCGCCGAGGAACTTGACCGTCGACAAGGGACGCTCTTCTTTGCACATCTTAGCAGCAGCGGAAGAGTAGAGAGGGTAATCCTAAATTTGAGCGTATAATTTGTTGGAAGCAGAGAGCAGTAATGGCGATGATAAGATAGCAAGGGTTGGAATTGAGAGAGATTGATGATAAAGTTCAAGAGACACGGGAGAATAGAAGAAAGGTGACTTCGATAGCATTGCAATAATGACGCAGAGACAAGAGTTTTTATATATATTGCATTTCCTGATGTCTGGCTGAGCATGTTCTTTAATGCTCCATTCAGACAAGCTGTGCTTGGCGATCAAATGGTGACCGGATTGTTGCCTGACGAAACCGTGGACAAATACTTCCTCTGAGGGGATACCATCTTCGATTACTGTACAGGCTGTGATCGGAGTGACAACGCGGGTCAAATGCGAAGATACATCATAGTGATCAGCTATATTGCTCTGGATCCTTGCATGAGGTCAGCAGCGATAGAAGATTCTTGTAACACTACGATCCTTGTGAAATTTCGAATGTGTTGATCAAAAGCCCAACGAGCTGCATGCCTGGATGAGTCGTGGGTATTGATGGAGGAGTTCCTTAACCAATCCCTTCTGATTGCGCAGACTACGCAACTCAAGTCGCAGTCGTTAAGAAGCTATCGGTAGGTAATTGCCTTCCCAGGCGATGATGATCACGATCACAAGGTTGGCTTGAAATACTCTTTTGGTTCGCGCATGGAAGACTCGTTTGATCCGCCCATGAAAGATTATCTCTGTGTACCGAGACCAGATTCTTGGTGAGTATTCGATTTTGAACCTTGCAATGAAAGCCCCAACTTTTCCATTCCCTCTCGCCCTTTGCACACGTCTAAGTAGTGGTGAACACGACGTCTTCTGAAGTATCTGTAAACGTGCGATATTCCATACAGTTCAGGGTAAGTCTATGCTCGGAATGCACATTGACTTCCATGCGATCGGTGAGTTTGTAGAATAGATGAGGACGGATGTCTATTTCGTAGTTCTGCGCTCGACTGAGATGAGCGGTTAAGGCTAAGAATCCGAGTCTGAGAGTATTATTGGTCTACAAATACCCAAGCGGACCTCAAGGTGGAAATGAGGGTATCGCGCACGATGAAGACACAGTTAGTTCATCTGCCCTCAACTGAAGATATGAGGGATGAAAATGATAAGGGGTAGGAGCGAGGTGACGATTGAGCGATGAATAGACCGACCAGAGCAGGAGGAGCTTCGGTAGTCCACAGTGCCCGTCGGAAGCTGTCAAGAGAATGGTCTGAGCGCCACGAAATTGGAAAAGTCTCGGATATGGGTTCACCTGCCAGGTGGAAAGATACACGCGGTACCAACGGCCCGCGCCATGAAGGTGATGAGGAGTGAGGAGTGAATCCATCTAGAATGTTCAATTTTCAGCCAATAGAATATCACCAAGTTGTACAAAACTCTTAACTCCGCTCATTTATCCCCGAAGCAATCACCTTTCTTAGGCGACCGAGATCCTCGAGCTCAAGCTCTCTACACCCGCCTCACTACCTCTACAATGCCCTTCACAATCACCCTCCCAGCGCCCCTCTCACCCCCTCCACCACAATGAGCCTTCCGACTCCCCCTCCCTCGACTCAGACGGCGACACCGACATGCCTCCCCCCTCCAAACGTCCCAAACTCTCCACCAGATCCATAGTCACGCCCGGCGAAACCGTAACCGACGACCCCCAATGGATGCGGTATGCACTCGTCTTCCCTCCCACCCTCCACCATCTCCCACCCAGACTCATCCGCAAAGGCTTCACTGACGCGCCCCAGCGGCCACGGGACCTACACGCACCCCACGTCCCCCCAAATCGTCTCCTCCGTCGCCGGCACCCTGCTCAAGACCAACAAACTCCTCTCCATCCGCCCCCTCCGCGCGCGCTACACGCCCGAAATCGGCGACCTCGTCGTCGGCCGCGTCGTCGAGGTGCAAACGAAGCGCTGGAAAGTCGACCTTTCCGCCCCGTTGCTGGCCCACCTGCCCCTCTCCGCCATCAACTTGCCCGGAGGGATACTGAGGAAGAGAACGAGTACGGATGAGCTTGCGATACGGACGTTTTTTGGCGAGGGCGATTTGCTGGTCGCGGAGGTGCAGAGTGTGTATCAGGATGGGGCGGCGAGTTTGCATACGCGGAGTTTGAAGTACGGGAAGTTGAGGAATGGGGTGTTCTTGTCTGTTTCTGGGACGGGTGGGGGTGGAGGTGGGGTGGTGAGGAGTAGGAGGCAGGTGTGGACTGTGCTGACGGCTAATGGGGGTGGGGAAGTCGATGTCGTGCTCGGTGTGAATGGGTATATATGGATCTGCAAGCATGTGGGTGGAGAACTTGTGGAAGGGAAGGGTGGAAGACATGCGAGTGCTGGTATGGGGGTGAATAACTTGGAAGAGAAGGTTGGAGAGGGCATGTATGAGAATAGGAATGAGAGTATTGGGGAGGAGACGAGGTGGGAGATTGCGAGGTTAAGCGGATGTGTAAGGGCGTTGGTCGAGGGTGGCTGTAGGGTGGACGAGGAGATGGTTATGAGGGCCTATGAAGCGAGTGTGGAAGATGAGGGGGTGGGGGATGAGGAAGGAGAGGAGGGTGGAGAGTATTTGGGTGGGGAAAGGGGGAGGAGGGTTGTGAGAGAAGCGTTGAGGGCTGTGCATGCTGCGAGAGGGTAGAGAACCGATCAAGAGCCATATGTATGTGATCCAAGGCACGAGTTCTCAATTTTCCTCCGTCAGGGAGGCTCGACCGCGAAAGCCTCGGCTCTTCCAATCTATTGTTACACTTTTCGAAAGACAACGCTCACGCAGGCCCAATCGCGCAACCGCCTGCTTGATGCCAGATGTTCCAAATAAAACTAATTGAAGACAGGTGAAGAGTGGAAGAAAGGTACCATCCTACCGCCGCTTTCCACTTTGCATGTTCGTGAACAGTAGCTTGAAGCCATTGCACAACGCCCTCATATCAGGGTACATATTCTTTTGGAGCTCAAATGCCTGCGGAACGACTTTGACAGCCCAGTGTTGGACCTGAGCATGCTGGCCAGCTTTGAAGCAAAGGAAAAAGTAGCCGGCGTGTTTGGGATCGATGCAAAAATTGTAGACGGATCGTTTGGGATTGGCTTCGGTGTAGGTGGTCAACCATCGCTCTGTGGCAGTATGTCAGCAAAGACCTTTTGTTGAAGCAAGGATTGCTGCTGCTTACCAGTATCAGCTTTACTGAGGTTCTGATACTTCTCATGAAGCATCATCTCATCCACCTTCTTGGCCATCGCTTTTACATGGTTGACAATTAGTTCATCGAGATCACTGTAATTATAACGGCCGCCAATCTTGAGTGTAGTTCCTCCGGAGATTTGGTTCGTTTTGTCTAGCTCAAGCACATCGATGTGCTGGTAAATGTTGTCTGATACCTTCCAAGTCACAGCAAGATGGTCAAGCCCTTTCGAGGAAGGACGAATAACCAGGTCGCCCCGAGCTTGAGAGCCAAGATACTCCTCTGCTTGAATGCTGTTGAAGGGTTTGAATAGGGGATGCTTGATGACTCTCTGGGTACGGCCGGAAACATCGTTTTTCTCCATCATTGACTCCTTGTCTTTCCGCTCCTGGTCCTCGTCCCATTCATCCCTCATGCGATCGGCTTCCTTTCGATATGGTCTTTGAAGCTCGTCTTCGCGGAGGGAGAAATTAGCGGTCAGCTGCTTGCGATTGAGGTAGGTTATCTTGGCCTGTACTGTCTGATGAGCGGAGAAGAGTTGCTTCGCGGAGACGTCTGGTCTATTGGAGACAGCAAGAGCAGGTACAGTGCCCTCAATGCCGCAGTCCAGCTTGGCTTCGACATAATCATCGGCAACCTTTTTTATGGAGACGGGTACTACCATGCCTTCACACAATGAATCCGAGGTCTCACCAGTGAACATGGTGAAGATCTCGTTGGTCGACAGGAGTGCAAAGTTCCTTCGCAACTCCTCGTACGGCTGCTGTAGTTCAGCACGAATCGTTTCTAAAGTGGCTCGCTTTCGCTGATTGAAGTTTTTCTCCAGCTGCTCCGCGTACTCCTCCAGAATGAGATCATTGACCTTCTCTTGGGACTCATCCTTAATGAGCTTTCTGACAATGGCTCCTGGACCATTCTCTTGCTGCTCAGCTTCGATATCTTCCTCGTCCAATTCAAGAGCATCAGCAGCCATCTTTCGTCCAAGGTCATAGTCCTCTGGGTGCACTCGAGTGTTGTCGAGGTAGTCAGCGTCCGGTTCTGAGCTGTCGAATTCGATGAAGAGGAAGCTGGCACAGTTGTTCCAAACCTTTGCCCCAACAGCGGCTAAGATATTCCGGTCCGGGTCACCTACCAATTCCGATCGCGAAGAGACGACGCCACCATTGAGATTGATAACTTTGATGAGTTGTGCGGCCTTTCGTGGTCCCAGGCCACAAATGTATGGGAGCAGACTAGCAGTGTACAAATCACTGACAGCCTCATTGACATCTACACCACACAGATTGACCATGTCGACCATAGATGTCTCAAGTGCCTTAATAATCTTCTCTTGAGGTACGTATCGCTGAGCTGCATCAAAGGAAATAGAGATAATATCGCGGCCTAGTGATGCGTACTCTTTCAGAGGATTCTGGAGGTACTTGGCAAGAGCCACGCAGTACTTTGTGAGAGGTGCAAACCCGGGATGCTCCATGTTCGCCCGTTCACTGGTCTGGTACAGGCGTGCCACCTCGTCATTGACAATCACGACCTCCAACTTGTCGCTCCTGTCGTTGCCGTCCTCGTCTTCGTAGTCGGCTCCGCGCAGTTCTTTACGTTCAACGATGTCATCGATCTGTTTGTACAGCTTGCGAGTCTCTGCAGAGAAGCCCGAAACACCGATCACGTCCGGTTTCCGTCGCTCGACAAGCTCCACGAACGCTTTCACATCTGCACCGTCCTCTGTACCTCGTTCAGCGTCTCCCATGACAAGATCAGTGAATTTTCCATTCTCGAGGACTCGTCCGTCTTCCTCCACCCAAGCCCAGCAGACTGCGTCTCTGCCAAAGGTACCAGTGCCATTCGAGAGAGCAAGGACACGTGGCACTGTTCCCAGCATCATACCCTTTGGTTTGTACGGTGCTTGATCAAGTCGCTTGCCATACTCCTCGCGACAGTTTTTGGCTACCGAATTTTCACATTCAAACTTCAAAGCCTCCTTCACGCCTCGTGCCATAATTTTCTCAAGCTTTAGAAGAGCTATGTCTAAAGTCTCCCTTCGCTCGCGATTCCAGGCGTCAGCAACTTCACTGAAGTTATCCGATTCCAGGTCTCCGTAGAGCCGCTTCTTGAAGCCATCGTGGTTTTGAGTCCTCACCCTCACCTCAACCAGACCTTCTTCTTCTGCCTTGAGCATGCGAAGGAAACGGTCCGGGTTCTGTGCAATGTCAATGAGTTGCTGATTTCGAAGGTATTTGAAGTCGTAGTAAGGGTGTTGATCATCGATCTTGCGAAGTCCTTTCTCTGTCCGATAGCACTCGACAATACCGTTCCCAAAGTAATGTCGGCGCATTACCTTTCGCATTTTGGGACTCATCGCTATCTCCTCTGCAAACATTGCTTTTGCAGCCCGCAGACATTGTGCGCCAGACGAGTATTCGGGGGGATCTAGTATGTCTTCGCTGTCTGCCATGTCATCTGGGCGCTGGGTTGGATCCTCTGTAAACTGGCGTCTGCCTTCTTTCATAAGGGCGTTTTGGGCGAAAGAGTCAGCAGATATGCCGAAAGCACGCACGAGTCGATACACCTTGCCAGTCCGAATTTTCTCAAATAACATCTTGGACGCACCCGGCCGTCGCTGGGTTGACCCGCTGGTACCGGTTCCGTTATGAAGAGCCACATCGGCAAGACGTGAAGGGTGTTGGAACTGTATATAGTCTTGCACATCTTGAAGTTCCTCCATAGTGACTGCTATTGGAAGCATTTCTTCGATGACGGGATCGTGGAAATCCTCGGACAAGGCTGAGATGTTGTCGTAGGTTCTTTGCAGAGCGTGACGCTTCTCGACAAGAGCCCTGAATCTGAGGTCCATGTCGAAAATCTCCCATAGATCGGATTGATTGAGTAACTTCTCAGCGTTGACAACATATGGTGTTGCGCTAGGATTGTACGGATCTGGTGTGACGGCTATCTTCTGCGCATGGATGAGATAGTCTTTGCGATGTTGGAAGATGAATGGCACTTCAAATTCGTCGACGTTCATGAATTCCAAGACCTTTGCGACCGACTTTTGAAACGCATCTCGAAGGTCCGGATCAATGGATTTCTTCGGAAGCATAAGATCCGATATCCAACTCGATTCTTCCTTGAGCTCTTCATCGGTAAGCTCAAGATCTTTGTAGGGACTTCTCGCAAGCTGGAAGCGCTCTGGCTGATCCGTAGCCCGTATTTGATTGTCCTCATCCGTCAGCATACGGTCGACAAGCTGAGAAGGCTCGAAAACATCCTTAAGTTCGATACCCTTAATAATAGCGTCTGGATCATCGAGGTCTACGGGTCTTTGTTCGTTCTGTTCTTCCTGGTCTTGGAGCTCCAGTGCCCAGTCATATTCAAACCCTGTACCAAATGCTTCTTTCATATCTTCTAATGCGATTTCGTCCAGACCAGCAGCGTCTTTCACTCCTATGATGTTTCTGCTGGGTTTCCGTAAAACATCGACATCATCGTCGTCTTGTCGTTGGCCGTCTTCGTCGTCGAAGTCCTCCTCGATAAAGTCCTTGAACTCGTCCTCAAGTGTTCGAGGGTCAACGCGGGCGGAGCCACGTTGGCCTTCGGGTGCGCGAGGTAGATCGTCATCTTCGTCGTCGTCAAAGATATCCCCTACACCTCTTGGCCTTCCATCTCGATCATCTTTGTGCCCACGTTTCAGACGTTTGAGCTTGGGCTGAGCGGAGTGTTAGCAGAGCAGGTTTTGCAACAGACAAGTTGGCATATACCTCGCTGGTAACGCGCTGCTCATATTCTGGGTGTGCTTCTCCGATCAGATCCAAGTCCTCTTCGTCTAGGCCGGCCTCCTCTTCCTCTCGTTCTTCCCTCCTACGCTTCTTTCTCTCCTGTTTCCTCCGCGCGCGTTCCTCAGGCTCTTCGTCGTCTTCGACTATAAACCCTTCTCTGACCTAGAGATCACAATGATACCCGGTCAGTGTATGGCTTCAGATGTAGGCGCCAGATGACAGAAATTCTACCGCTTGAGCTGCCTCCTCATCGTCGTCGTCCTCCTCTTCACTCGAGTCGTCGAGATGGCCGTTGACTCCGTTGACTCCATTTTTACCATTCTTACTCCGCCTGATCTCACCAGTCTCTTCATCGAACGATTCATCGCCCTCGTCGTCGTCGTCAAGCTCGGCCTCTCCTACAATCAGGTCTCGAAGGGCACTCATGTTGGACAAAGGTCTGGCTAGGTGAAGAATGTGAATGCTTCACGGATACCTGTATGAGCATGCTTTGATGACTTCAACACTGATAAGTGAAGTGAAAAGGGGAAGAATGGCAGTGCTTGCGGGATGTTTTGAATGTTTCGAACAAAGTCAAGAAGGTATTCAGATCTCGCTTACATAATGATCTGAATTCGGCCTAGCTCAGGTTTCAATGTGGGATGAAATTCAGTTCTATTCTTGGAGTCACAATCTTGTTGACCTGTCAAAACGGCGACATCACCGACATGCATATGTAGCCAACAGCAGCCTATTGAGACTTGAGAGCCTGATGCTCAAGCCGTCATGCAGATGCCGCAAGTTTGATGAGCTTCGCCCTGCAGTCCGCATTCGAGGATCTGCATCCACCGTCTGCACCACTGGCTGATTGCGCAGATTGTCTGCACCTATCAAGTTGCCCCGACTGCCACCACTGCCATACTCGCGAAATTGCCTCTTGAGGGACCATCTATTACCCCCTTGAACAATAAGAAGTAGGCTTCGCTTCCCTTTCAACACTCCTCACACATTACCGTCAAGATGTCGTCCGACATGAAGACCCCCCGGACGTTGGGCCGCAAGAACGTCAAAGGTCTCGTGGTGAGCGCTGCCCCGAAGATCGCTCCAGCCCCATCAGCTGGTGATGCACAGATACCAGGAGCGTTGGGAAATAATGTGGCGAGGTCAGACACTCTGGAAATTGGGGTCGAGTTCAAGCTGGACTTCAAGACTGAGGATCTCATCGTACTGAAAGAACTCGGGGCTGGCAACGGAGGGACTGTTAGCAAGGTTATGCATGCAGCAACCAAGGTCATTATGGCCAAGAAGGTATTTGTTCGAGTCGATACGAGGAAAGAGAAAGCCAGCTAACCGTTGTGCAAGGTCATTCACGTGGAAGCGAAGAAGGACGTTCGAAAGCAAATAGTCCGAGAATTACACATCATGCACGACTGTACGTCGCCGAATATCGTTACCTTCTACGGTGCATTCCTCCACAATTCAGGAGACGTTATAATGTGTATGGAGTATATGGACTGCGGGTGAGATCTCACGTTCCATCCACATTCCGACTGTTTCTGATATGGACGTAGATCCCTAGACCGCATCTCAAAAGACTTTGGTCCTGTCCGAGTAGATGTCCTTGGAAAGATTACGGAAGCAATTCTGAGTGGGCTCAACTACCTTTACGATGTTCATCGGATCATGCACCGCGATATTAAGCCGTCAAACGTACTGGTCAATTCGCGAGGCTACATTAAACTCTGCGACTTTGGTGTTTCGGGCGAGCTCGTGAATTCAATAGCAGATACCTTTGTGGGCACATCGACCTATATGGCGCCTGAAAGAATCCAGGGAGCCAAGTACTCGATCAAGTCGGATGTATGGAGCGTTGGCCTCACAGTGATGGAGCTGGCCATTGGAAGATTCCCATTTGATGCAAGCGATGCAGCGGCAGGGGATAGAGCAAGCGCCGGACCTATGGGGATCTTGGATCTCCTACAGCAGATCGTTCACGAACCTGCACCAAGGCTACCACAGAGTGATGCATTCCCTCCAATCATCGACGAAATGATCCAGAAGTGTCTTCTCAAGAACCCAGATGATCGACCTACGCCTCGCCAACTATTTGTATGTGCCATTTATGTAAACCCTTTTGCACCGATTACTGACACAAGGCTTTTAGGACAAAGACGTGTTTCTGGCAGCCGCTAAACGAACGCCCGTTGACCTGGAGCAATGGGCCGTTTCAATGATGGAGCGCCACAATCGCAAGTCTCACCTTGCCCCACAGCTATCACCCTCTACGCAAGCCTTGCTCCGGGGAGAGTCCGTGCCCTCTCCTAAGGAACCGACTGTTTCGACGGTATCCAGGACTCCTACTTCTGGCGAGATACCAATAGCCGACGAAGATATTAAGGCATCGCCGCGCTCGGAACAGCCTCCAATCCAGCGGGTGATGCCTGCGGAGATCAACGGCACAGGCATGTATCCTTCTCAGAGCTCCGCCTTTGACCGCCAAGGCTTCCCTCCGCGCACATCAAGTACCACAGCTCCACTAACAAGCCGTTCTCGCGAGGGAGAAGGCTTTAGCCCCAAGAGTGGTCTGCCGAGCCATCCAAGGGATAGCGGGAACTTCAACCCTCATCCAAGAGACAGCGGACACTTCAACCCTACCACAACACTGCCAATTCGCCCAGCCCCGCCCCCTTCTGGACCCTTACCTCCACCACCTAGTGCGAACTTTAGAGGCCAGCGTCCAGTGACCAACGGTTCGCCCTACTCGTATAGCGATAGCCAGCAGTACTGAGCCTAGAGGCCAACTGAGCAAGATGTACGATAAAAAATGTTCTAGAATTTGCCAGCAAGCAAAGCACGCATATCGATCGACTCTCAATCCTCAGATTGTCCATCAACAACATCACCACGTTACTTATACCCCTTCCGCAACTTCACCAGTTCTTTTCCTATGCATCTCGGGAGCGATTCGCGAAAGCATCTAGCCGGCGTTTCTCAATTGACATACGGGGGTCGCGTACGAATGTATGAGGTATCTCGAGGCTTTTCATTTCACGGACGTGTGGCGCGGAACTGGGTAACACGCAACAGCCGAACGTCGATGGATAGGAAAGCATGTTCAGTACGAATTAGCTAGTTCACCTGCTCATTTTCGAATACAGGCTGTCTTGTGCACCATTACCGTGCGCATCAGTGGGGGCTCTCTTTCTTTTACGTGGTCTCGCACCTTAAACTTACACGTCCCTCGTCTTTCACTTCTCCTGTAATATCTCCTGTTCATGTACTAGTACCTGGCGGAATGCGCGTACTAAAGCGGGAGTCAACCGAGCAATTGTGTATCTCTGTTCCCCTTCTATGTCGACGTAGCAGCAGCGACAAGCATCGCACCATTACCGTATGTGCAGTAAGAATTTTTTCCTCGAGAAGCATTTGACGCTGATCCGGCGCCACAACAACCCTTGTCTCTCGACTCAAGAGACAGATTTCTCAACCCCTCTGGGGAATCTACCTCTAATCGGGACGTACTGTAAAAGGCTTCAGATACGCCTTTGCAGTATGTGAGAAGGTCCCTGGAAGATACCATACTTTGGACCGATTTCGCTTCGAACTAGGTTATTTGCGTATGCAAGCAGCGTTCCGCTCCTCAGCATTCCAAAAAATTGTATGCGTATAAGCAGCATGTCTAGAGTTTCTGGTGGAGTCAGCTTCATCAATGATCTTCGTCCATCACTGAAAAAAGGAAATGGTGGTAAGTCCAGTGGTGAACGAGGGGACGAGGGGGGGGGGGGGGGGGGGGGGGGTTTTTTGGGGGGTTTTTTTTTCTCGCCATATATAGCATAGCTCGCTTAGCTGGATCCCTAAGATCCTTGGGATCCTGCTTTCATAGAATCTATATCCTCTTCTACCCACACGATACCTGGTTATTCTTATTCTTTGGAGGTCTTGTCTGGATCTTTTGTGGCCTTAAAGTAGAATCTCCTTTATTATTATTCTTGTGTATCTTTAAAATCGTTATTTGATCTATCCGACTGTAATCTATCGTTATTCGTTTTCTACTAAATCCTTCACTGAAAACCTTACTATAAAAGCACTTTCTTGAGTTATTTAGTTTAGAAAGCCTCTTTTATTTATTAAAATACTTCTCGAGACTTAAGAAGTCTTTAGTAAGTATTTTAAGAAGTTGCTATCACCTAACTCGATTTCTTAGCCATCGCTATTACTTACTAGAACTCTCTTACTACTACAAAAGTAAGTCATAACATTATTATTCTGGCGAGTATTAGGAATCTTCTCGAGGAATTAGTCTACCACTATCATCTTAACGCCTTAGACTTCTCGAGAATTCCTCTCAATAAAAAGTCTTACGAATTTTATAGTCTCGTCGTTAGAATCTCATCGAAGCACGCCTTCTTTAGATTAGTCTAAAGCTTTCATACATTTTAGCAATACTATAAAAGTAATTATATCTCGTTCTACGTTTACTATATATGATAACTTCTCTAAGATTACTAGCATATTAGCATTAAAGTAGCTTCGAAAGTTCGATTTCGATATAAAGGATTATTAAGATAAAGAAGGTTGTTTCCCTTTAATTAAGTATCTGAGATATCTTAATATGCTTTTTATTGATAATACTTTCGAGTAGTTAGAAAGTTATTTAAAAGTTATCCGATTTCTTATCGAAGTAGAGTATATCGATTTCTAATAAATAATCTAGTAGTTTCGAGTTATATTCTATAAGAAGTTTTCCTCGAAAGCTATAGAAGTAAACGTGATCTCTTTCGATATCGAGATTATAGACCTATATTAACGTCTCGAAGAATCCCTTACTTTATACTTTAAGCGTGTTATTAACTTAATATAGAGAGTTAAAATCAAGAATAGGCCCGCTGTTACTTTTAATACTATTTTTAGTTTTCTTAAATCTATTATACTTAACACTATTCTCTATATCTTTATTAGAGAATTAAATAATTAAGAGATTTAAAAGAAAGTAACGAGAGGTATAGCATTTTTCGATAAATCTTTATATATAGTTTATAATCTCGCGAAAGAAGTATGGCGTATTAACGCCGAAATCTAGAAGCTTTTAAATAAAAAATCGAGATCTAACTAGCTTTAGTTCTATAAATCTCTCGTGAAATGAAACTTGTCGAAGTAATAGGTGGCTTTTTTACTAACTTTTTATTAAGCTATTAAAGCCTTAAGGCCTTTATATTATTAGTCTTAGTTCTTTTATACGAATTTACTAAAGTAGCTATTAGAGGCTTTCGCGAGACCTTAATATTTTACGTAATCTCAACCTTTAGAGTATCGTTATTCTTTATATAAAGTTTCGACTCTTATTTCTACTCCGGCTTCGATCTTAGCTTAAAATCTTAATAAAGGAAACGCTAATAAGAGCGAATTTTTAAATTCTATAGCTGGTAGTCGCTTTCGTAACTATTAGT